GACATTATTTTCGTTTTCTTTAAATTCAAGAACAGATTTTGATCTTCACTGTGCTTTTGGACATCCAATATTAAATTTTCTATTCCCTTTACGCTGTTCGAAAGGAGGACTGTGTCATCTGCGTAGCGGAGTTCCGTAATAGGGTTGCCACCAATTTTGAGCGGATCATAACTGTCACAAGTCTGGTCATTTTTGACATTTCTCATTATATTGTCTGCGTATATATTGAATAGGTATAGTCAGAGAATGCACCCCTGCATGTACACGACTTTGACAAAATATAAATAAACTTAAGGTGTATACTAAGTGGGGGATACTTATTTAGGTCGCTGGTGAAGGACAAAGAGGATTACATAGACTGATACTGACCTATATGAAGTCAGAGCGCAGACGGGAAGGGAAACTGGACCAGTATGCCTGGGGAAGGATGAATTAACGAGATGTTTATTAAGATACTAATTTGCACCACGGGGAGGTGGGGCTGACTTGTGTGGTCACGGTACAGCTGCTGATATTGGTTTTTGCCCATCACCCTTCTACGAGAGCTCATTGTCTTCAACACTGCTAGCTGTAGAGCCAGGCCTGACCACGCCTTGTTACATTTCGGTAATGCTTTTCAGTTCACAGGCACGCGCTGATCTGTCTTACAAAATCTCGAGGCTAGCACCAGAAACGCAACACACCGCCGTTCTTACAGCACACAACTGCAGGTTACCCGGTCTGGAGTTGCTATTTAAGACGCTTTAACTTAACCATTTTTTTTTTTTTTAAATCTATAATCTACCGTGTTGGTCTACCATCAAGACTGCGCCCCATAGCTCCCTCCTTAATCCCAAGGTGGTAAACTGTCAAATGGCATCCCGAAGGGGACAATCCGATCGATCAGTCTATCGAATGCACAACACGCCTCATGATTTAAAACTTTTTCTTTTCTTCATTGACTTCTTCTTCTTTCTTCTTTTCTCTACTCCTGGAATGCCTCGCAGCGTCAGGGGAGAAAGAACGGGCCTATGTTTTCGCTTCGTATATAGTACTTTTCAGTGTCTCTAATATCTTTGCGGTCCATGTTCCGCACGATCGACCTCTGGATCTGTTACCATTGTATCTGTATAACATTGCTCTCTGTGGTGCCCTGCCTGATGCCAATCTTGTTACATGGCCAAACCATTTGATTTGTTGTCAATCTATAAAATTTAGTTTTTGTTCTGTGCCGATTCTCCTCTTGATATCATCGTTCCTAAGTCGATCTTTCATCGTTACACCTAACATAATACGTAAAAATTTAATTTCTGTTGAGACTATTTTTCTTCTGTCTAACTGACTAAGCACTAATACTTTTTGTACATGTTAACGTTTTTAAAATAAATATACTGGTTGAAAACATCTGCCATTTGTTCATTCCACACTTACAGTGTATCTAGGCGAATCTTAAAAAGCAACAACAAAAAAACTTTTTTTTTTTTTTCTAAATTAAAAACAAGCAAACAGCAACTTGTTATCATTACGTAAATTAGTAATGAAGAAAGGGGACACCCCTCCCGCCTTCCTGCACCACGAATGACCGGAAGGTCTTCGATTGGAATGGAGGCGAATAACTTTAAGTATAGACCTGGACTCTCAGCCTAAGTAGAAAAAATGGAAATGTCCTGACAGATAAAGACAGCACCATGGTTTTCGCCACAGTATACAATTAAATTTGACTGATCGAAAATAAAAACAAAACAAAAATACCGCAATGCCTTTTGCCCGGAGCCTTCCTGGCATAAAATGGATCTTTTCGTACTCGCTGGAATCAAGCTAAATAAGGGACCCTGTGGTTGGGAGGTTACTAGCTTTATCTTTGGAAGAGGAAATGTAATCTGAAAACATTATGTTATGGAAAGGCAAATCAGCCCTTAGTTTTGACTGACAGCTGGTCTAGGAGGTAAGCTCCAACAGGCGGACAGACAGAGCACTGCTCTTCTGGTGCGGCAGCTTCTGCAGCATGATTTGTTCCAAACGTACTGGTGTTACATTTCCTGTGGAGTAAACAAAGCAGGCCGAGTGAGGGAGAGAGAGAGAGAAAGATAGATAGATGGATAGAGAGAGAGAGAGAGAGAGAGAGAGAGAGAGAGAGAGAGAGAGAGAGAGAGAGAGATCATGATGAATGGGCAACATATGGTCTCTACAATACTGCCCAGGCTTTGCGCTGCTAAGAGGAGGAACTTTATCCCTGGCGTAATTGGGCCATGGGCTGCGAGTCTCATGCTTCCTCATTGCGCAATATAGCACTATCGTCTGAAACGCGGAAAGGTGCCAATAAATCAAAATAGCTATTGCTTAGGGCCTTGGGATCTGCAGAGGCCTCAAAAACTTTTATTTTTCATAAATGCATTTAAACAAATATTTTTTAAACGCAAATTTCTATTAAAGAGTTTTTTAGATGATTTTATAATATAAAACTGAAACACGATATATTTCTATTATCGATATCTTTAAAATGCGTGCATATTTGACATTATTTTGAGATTAGCTGGTGTATTTTAAAAGGGTAGGGCCTCAGAGCTTTAACTAGCCTAGGGTCTCGTCATGTATTTAATGTAATTCTTCCCAGACGTTCAGCTCTTAATCTTCCCGTTTAATGATTATCCTTCTTGATTTGCCCCTTCCATGCAACACACACCATGGCGTTTTGTTCACATAAATCCACCTCAGTACTTGTATCGTTCATGTCCTGCTTGCACAACAGCTTTATATCGTAGTAGAGGCCGGCCTCAACATCTTCTGCCAGCTGGTAATTTACTACAAACAACGTTATTAGGGACTCTGCCATCCTCTATCCCCCAAATTTGACTTAGCAATCTGAGCCTACGGAGATTGATGGTTGAGAAAACCGTCATGAAACCTGCTCTTTCTTATACCTCAGTGTTTGTGATCTTGTCTTGCCACTTAATGCTAAGATTTTTTTTTTTTTTTTAAAGGAACAATAACATTCTGAAACCATATTGAACGTTAAATATTGAATTAAGAATCGACATCACAGAACTCGGGACACTCCCACAAGCGCTCCGTCTCGTCTTCAGCAGCAGGCAAAGAGTTCCGATGGTAGCGGTAAACGATTGTACATCTGTCTTATGAAACCATGACAAGTTATGAATCTTCCTACACACGGCGATAAATATGAAACGACACCGCTTGAATGTGTTATCTTAAGTGTGTACTGACAAGTAGGACCATTGCTATAATAATTGGGTCAACCCTTTGACCTCAGTGTGAAGTCTGTCTTCACCTTTGAATGAGGTTATTAGCAGTGTGTAAATTTCTGCTGTATTTCTAGGGTATAGTAACAAATACTGAGCACGGTAATAGATATAAAAATAAAACACAAACGGTGTTCCTAGATTTGAAGGTGTACCGACATCCTCTATCCTACATTGCTTTGAGGGAAAAAATACATTGGTAAGTTTGTTCTTATTTAAGACATTTTTATATGTTAAGCAGGCATATTGGCCGGTTGTGCACCACTAGGTGGTGCACTGATGTATGACAAGCTATATGTTTGCGAGCGAGTGAACAGTGCGGAGGCACATACAGATCATTACGGTCTGCGGAGAATGTTGCTGCGAGAAGTTTACCAGCGGATCTGGCCAACGCTCAACACTCAGGGAAAGGGCGAGACGGATATGCAGACAGATACTGGTGCTATTTTCCAGTTGTTTTAGTCTTTCAGTGTATGACTTCCGTATCTGTTCTTTTGCACCAATCATTTGATCCTCATGTAGCTTTAATCACATCCCTTAATCTTATAGTAGCTCATCGCCCAGAGTAGCGGCAGCAGTTATTTACCCCCTGCTCATTACCTTGCACACCTGGATTCCATGGATATGAAATCCATAGGCTCTTTATCTGGGTCTTATCCAGTAATGCAAGACACTGCGCGGCATGACACCACAGTTTATGTTAATTAACTCTTTGAGTCCCGGGGTTTTTAGCATCAGAGGCCCAAGAAGTAGTCAAGAGAAACGCATAATCGGCGCATCTTGCTTTCACTGGGCCTCTGGGTAGGAACCTATACACATATGATGCGTTACATGGGACTCAGAGAGTTAAGAACTTCTACTTGCAATGGCAGGCCGGCTACTTCGTAACCGTCTGGTGTTCTAATATAACATGTTTTATATGGGTTAACGTGTTTTCTGAAATTTTCTTGTGGGATTCATATCAAAATGATGGCTTTTGAGTCAGTGAGTGTCTGGGGGCGCTTGGTGATTTCGATCGCATGCTGTGCGATGTATAAGGGATACACCGTGCGTCACCTCGGACTCAAGAATCCTGCCACGTGTCCACCCGGTTCGCCCTGTATAATGGCCTTTGCCTTCTAAAGGTAACTAGCTGGGGACTCCCAGCTGGTGGTCCTATAGGTAAGTAAAGTGAAGTAAAGATCCCTTTTCACCCCCTTAAGCGCATCGGGCATATGGAAAGAGCACCCATATTTTTACAGACCAATCGGCACTCGGTGGGTAATGTGGTCAGCATTACGCCGGCCGTCTTTAATTTCCCAGAATAGCCCATCCTGGTACCCATTTGAGGCTGGGTCGACCTGCGACGTTCCATACCACGATAAAAATCCACGCAGCCCGCAGTGGGTTTCGATCGCGATACGTTGAAATACGAGTCAGACTCGCAACGCCTTAGCCACGGACGACTATATAGGCCCTAGGTAGGGTGACCATAAGGACCGTTTCAGCCCGGACAGTATCGTAAAGACCGAGACCGTCACGTCAATACTAAACAAACGAAATTGAGATGATGACATTTTATTTTTCTTTTTTTTTTTTCTCTCTGTAGTATCAGCGGGACCGTCAGAATCTACCTAAAAAAGGGGGAGGGGGGGGGGGGGGGGGTTCTATCTCGCCGAAAACCTTTGACACTCATCCGTCTATCCCCTGCCTAAAAATCAGCATTTTTTTTTTTAATTACACTCTTCACTTGAAAAATGTAAAAACATTCCTTGACAGATCATGGCAGCAAGGAGTATTAGTCGCGTGCACGTAATTTCCACATCAGCGGGGCTTGCAGACGAAATTCAGAGCCTGTTGACAAAGGCTGGACTCAGTATTGAGGTCAAAGAGATATCTCTGCAAAAGTATGGCGCTCCAGTATTTGAAAAGACAGTACTGAGTAAGTACAAGTTTGGGTATGGAGAAACATGATTTGGTGCTTGTGTCATTAGCCTATGTGTTTGTGTGTGTGACAGACAGACAGACAGACAGACAGACAGACAGACAGACAGACAGACAGACAGACAGACAGACAGACAGACAGACAGACAGACAGACGGACGGACGGACGGACAGACAAGCAGACAAGCAGACAGACAAGCAGACAGACAGACAGACAGGTAGGCAGGCAGGTAGGCAGGCAGGCAGGCAGGTAGTCAGGCAGACAGACAGACAGGCAGGCAGGCAGACAGGCAGGCAGACAGACAGACAGATAGATAGATAGACAGACATACAGATAGACAGACAGATAGACAGACAGACAGACGTGTGCCATTAACACACAGAAAACCGAAATCATGTATTAATCAGCACCAGGCAAAGCCTATACTGAAATAACAATTTTGGTAAATGAAAAGAAATTATGTGTTGTGAATAGATTCGCGTACTTTGGTAGGAAAATGTCTAACAATGTCACAATTGACGATGAAGAAAACACCAAGATCTCTAAAGCTGACATTTGGCAGACTATAAACAATGTCTGTCATCAAGATGGAATCTGTCTGTAAACCAGACTAAAGGTATGCAGATATGCGCAGTGCTTTCAGTGCTGTTAAATGTGTGTGTGAAATTTGGACTATACACATACGTCCTGCACACACATAAAGAAAATCGCAACCACTTCCATACAGTTTGTCTCCGACCGATAATGAACATCAAGTGAGTGGACAGGACAGCTTCTCGGATACTGTTGTCTCAATATAGCAGGCATACCCATCCTTGATACCATCCTGATGCAGTCACGGATTCAAGGGGCAGGTTACTTTGTCCCTTTACCATCGGCTCCCCCAAAAAAACTTCTTTGATGAAATACAAGAAGGCAGATGCTCTGATGGTTCCCATAACGTAAAAAAAAAAAGGTTCAAGGACACGCATCAGGCATAACTGAAAGCCTTCAGTATAAATCCTGACTTGAGAGGTTGCTGCAAAGGACCGGATAGAATGGTGAACGTCTATCGAAAGAGGAGCCTCGCGACTTGCGAGGTATTAAGAAAACAAAAGGCAGCTGAATATCGAAGACAGGTTAGAAAGACGCGTCTAACGGGCCTTTTACCTACAAACAGTTCTCTGTCCTGATTATCCTAGATCTCTCTGGGCCCGTATTGGGCTCAAAGGTCAAACCCTGAGTCACAGAAAAACAACTACAAATCAAAGAAAGAGAGGTCATCTTCATATGTGATGGACGGACCACAACGTGTGTGTGTGTGTGTGTGGGTGGGTGGGTGGGTGCGGGCGGGCGGGCGGGCGGGCGTTCGGGCAGGTAGGTGGGTGGGTGGGTGCGGGCGGGCGGGCGGGCGTTCGGGCAGGTAGGTGGGTGGGTGCGTGCGTGGGTGCGTGCGTGAGTGTGTGTGTGTGTCATTCAAATAATTAAATAGATTTTAATGGAGCAATTCCCAGTGTGGGATCTGGGACCTTATTGAGAGAAAACAAAAGAACGGACCCATTGCTATTTTAACTAGCATGTCGTAAAAGTCGACTAATTAGAGACTTCCTTTAAAATAAGAATGCATCTGCCTGAGAGGCAAGGAATCCTCAGTTAAGCAAGATCTGGAAAACGGGTGTGCATGCAAAACTGAAAACAAGAATGTAGTTTAAAAGTGGATGAACAACCAGGACTTTTTACAGGAGTTTACAGCCTGTTAACGGGAAGAAAAGGAGGAGGAGAAGAAGAAGAAGAAGAAGAAGAAGAAGAAGAAGAAGAAGAAGAAGAAGAAGAAGAAGAAGAAGAAGAAGAAGAAGAAGAAGGAGGAGGAGAAGGAGGAGAAGAAGAAGAAGAAGAAGAAGAAGAAGAAGAAGAAGAAGAAGAAGAAGAAGAAGAAGAAGAAGAAGAAGAAGAAGAAGAAGAAGAAGAAGAAGAAGGTAGAAGAAGGTAGAAGAAGGTAGAAGAAGAAGAAGAAGAAGAAGAAGAAGGTAGAAGAAGGTAGAAGAAGGTAGAAGAAGGTAGAAGAAGAAGAAGAAGAAGAAGAAGAAGAAGAAGAAGAAGAAGAAGAAGAAGAAGAAGAAGAAGAAGAAGAAGAAGAAGAAGAAGAAGAAGAAGAAGAAGAAGAAGAAGAAGAAGAAGAAGAAGAAGAAGAAAAATAAGAGGAAGGAGGAGGAAGAGAAGAGGAAGGAGAAGAATATTTTCGTCTTGAATACTTCTGGAAATTAATGAAAATTAAAATTGAACGAACTCAAAGACAAGTAAAGAGAAATACGAGAAATGTCTGGACAACCTCGTCTGTCATCGATTATAAGACAAGGAAACTATGACTTCCAAGAGAAACCATGAGATAAAGGTTTGGGGGAGAGGCCAAAGGTGCTGGTCTGGGTTTCATCGATGATATCGATAACATTTCACAGGGTAGAATGGGGTAGAGGACTATACTGCAAGCCCCGTGTTGCGTATTAAAGCATAACATGATGAAAATGAGGATGATGCCCATTTTTCAATGAAGGTTTGTGATAACTGCAACAGCAAGGAAATCAAAGTCAGGATTTTGAGAGCATGCATCTTCTGTTTAGCAACATACGGATGTGAGACACGGACTGTCTGGCAGTTCTTAAGGAAGATAATTGGGACTTTTGAGCTAAAGTGCTATAGAAAAATTCCCAGAATACCGTGGACAAAGGAGAGCAGAAATACTGACATCTTGAAAGATCTGAACATCAAGAAAGATTGGCTTAAAAAAAAAAAAGCATTCTGTCTCGGAAGCTGAATATTTTGGTTATATCAAGCGCCACAACGGATTGGAAAAAAAAATTATAGCAGATGGCATGGCACTAGGAAGGAGGAGTAGGGGCCGACTAACACAAAGATGGGCACAGAATTTAAATGACTCCTTGAGAATGAAAGAACATGAGCTCGGAGAGCTGGCGAGAGACCGAGTTTCTTTCAGGCAGGCCGTGATGATAGCCGATGTTCTGCAAAGGCCCCTCGAGATGATGATAATTTAAGGGCTTGCATTTATAATCTTCTGCTTTGTTATCTGATATTGTATCATATATTCAGATATATGAATATCTAGTAACATTTATGTTTCGTCTATTTCAACAATAGGGAAGTTAACTAGTGCTGCTTTAGAAGATGTCAGAGTTGAGGAAATTGAATACTTGATAGCATTTTGTCCAACTATAGCAGAGGTTCTTTCAAGGCCCAACAATCAACTAAAGTGGGCCCAGTCTACTTCTGCAGGTAATTTAAATCTTTAACCTTTCAGCTAAAAATTGTTGTACCTCCACCCTTTCACTCACTGATTTAATTCACTCCTTCTTTTTCTTCTTTTCTCTACTCCTGGGAAGAGATCTCTGGAACGTGCCCTTCTGTTCGCTTCGTATACAGTACTTCTGTTTGATATTCTTGCTGTCTATTTCTGCGTGGTCGACCTCAGGTTCTGTTAGCGCCTTATCTGTGTAACACTGCTCCTTATGGTGCCCTTTCTGATGCAGTCTTGTCACATGCTCGTTAGTTCGCGTTAATTCACTTATTTATAGATCGATTTAGTCTGATTTTCTTTCCCTTTCCAAGGACTTATTGAATTCCACAAATCATTTCCTTCACTCTTCTGCAGACAAGTTGTTCCTTCAAACCTCCTCGATCTTCACACAGCGTCCTCTGGTTAGGGAAAGAACGCTAAGAAGCCCATTTTGAACAATGTTAAAAATTCTCTGTTAAATTTTTTTTTTTTTACGTTTCGTATTCTCTGTTTAATTTTTTTTTTTTTTTTTTACATTTCGTATTACTACAGATGTACTATATTGTATTTATTTATGATTCTCCACACTTTTATTATTATTAGGCTCTTAAACAAAGAATAGGCTCGTTGTGAACCCCTCCCCCGTCCGTTCCTGCCTTAAAAATATGTATGGCGGGGGGGGGGGGGGGGGGGGGGGGGGGGGGAGCTAAAATTCCCACCCTGCCCATGTTCTTAATGTATCATAGTGCCTGGCAGAGCTTGACACGAAAAATTATATCTGTATCAATTTGTTCTATATATAATTTAACTTTTAACTTAGATCTACCAGCAAAGTACTCAGCAACCCTGTGTTACCAGGTCTAATCCAGGTCAGCTGTAAAAAAATTGAAATCATATTGTCTTAAAGATTATACATTGAGTTTACTTATGTAATTGATTTGTCGGACTTATCAAAGATGTAGACAGCGGGAAATGGTGAGTGAGAAGCAACAACGAAATTCATGATCTGTTTAAATCACCACTGATCACTGGCATCATGAGAGCTAAAAACAGGTTAAATGGCTGGGACACATTGAGAGAATTTAAGATGACAGAGAGGTAAAAACTGTATATACAAGGGAAATGAATGGTCGTAGACAACAAGGCAGACCAAGAAAACGATGGAGAGATAATGTCCAGAGAGATCTAAAAACACTTGGTGATATCTGCAGCAATGAACATCAAGGGTTCAGAATGCTGAAGAAGAAGTAGAAAAGATGAAGAAAAAGAAGAAGAAGAAGAAGATGAAGAAGAAGAAGAAGAAGAAGAAGAAGAAGAAGAAGAAGAAGAAGAAGAAGAAGAAGAAGAAGAAGAAGAAGAAGAAGAAGAAGAAGAAGAAGAAGAAGAAGAAGAAGAAGAAGAAGAAGAGGAAGAAGAAGAAGAAGAAGAAGAAGAAGAAGAAGAAGAAGAATTGATATGTCGACATAATATAATATTGCCAGTAATGCAAATGATCAAATACGATCAAAGCACTTTTCCAAGGCATTTATAAATGACAAACACTACATTAGATTAGCCATACAGTAAGTGTGACATTGTTTAGGACAGCGGCATACTGTTGAGTTAGTTGCCTATCCTTGCGTCACCGACTCCAGCATTTGTTTCGCTGTTGTCGTTTTTTCTAAGCAAATTTTACGTTCAGTAGTTTGCCATTTCTTTCTCAACGCTCGGCTCTTAATATCAGTGTCGAAAACAACACGACAAAAAATCCCCTGCAGCTGGGATCGAACCCGCGTATCCCGACATAACGAAGCGGGTTTGTAAGGTCTAAGACATAGACGCCGACTTAGGGGAGTAAATATGGTCACACTATTCAAGAAAGAAAACTACTCCTGGCAATACGAATTGGAACCTAGATCACTGGTTTTGATAGGCTAGTACATCATTCACTGCATTCCTGCAGTTTTTACATGATTGCGTTCTTATATTCAATCAGTTTGCTGTCTTCTCCGCAACAAAGGTTCTTTGTAGCGCTACACTGTTTCCTGGCCTGGTTGTGTAACCTGCAAAAACTTGAGAGGATAGACTTCATTGCATCAGGTGCAAAAACTTGAGAGGATAGACTTCATTGCATCAGGTGCAAAAACTTGAGAGGATAGACTTCATTGCATCAGGTGCAATAACTTGAGAGGATAGACTTCATTGCATCAGGTGCAATAACTTGAGAGGATAGACTTCATTGCATCAGGTGCAAAAACTTGAGAGGATAAGACTTCATTGCATCAGGTGCAATAACTTGAGAGGATAAGACTTCATTGCATCAGGTGCAAAAACTTGAGAGGATAAGACTTCATTGCATCAGGTGCAAAAACTTGAGAGGATAAGACTTCATTTCATCAGGTGCAATAACTCGGTTCTCTCCCTATGATAACTAGCCACCTGCTAACAGCGTCACGGAAAGTACTAACTAAATAGCTCCGGTGACGATCCACAGGGATCACTGTAAAAATTGCATTAGTGAACCTTAAGACACAACCGGGAAAAAAAACACGCCGCGGAGATTTATGGTTGCTTATGTAGCACAGCTCTCTTCTTTGTTACGTATGTTGATGTCTCACCCAGGTTCGTCTTTAGGTTTGCTACAGGAGGAGTAGATTGGAAGATTATAGACGAGGAGAAAGATGGTCGTGTCGATAGTGGTGGTGATGATGATGATGTCTTGCTTGCTGCATGCTTCTCGTGTGACTCTGGTGCTTGTATCACAAAAAATCTGGAAACAACTGTTCTTGTCTATACTGTCTTTATTGTGATACTTCAACAATGTCACAAATACATCAATGATATTCTGAACAGCACTGTGTTCTCTCTATAGCTAAATACTCGTAGGTTCGCTTTGCGTTCTTCATCTCTAGTTACTTTATTTCTAGTGTCTGTAACTGCCACCTGGCTTCTAGTGCTGTCTGATACTAACGGATTGATCGTCGACTCTAACATCTCTATAGTGTTCCTAATATGTCTCTGTTAACCATGGATCCATGTATCTTATGTGTCGTCTCTGTAGCTCGATGTCTCGTTTCATGTCTGCTCTCCAGTGACTGTCTTCGAGGTTCAATATGAACGACTGCTCTCCTTCCAGTGTTGAGCTGGCATCAAGGATCATTGAGACTAGTCGCTCGTCCTCTGAGTCTCAACGACTGAAGGCTTCTAATGTTGGGCTAACATCTCTACCACTGAAGGCTGTCTTGAGAGTCCATGACTTGTCTCTATTCTCTTGAGTCTTGTGGACTGAAGAATTACCAAAGTGCTTTGTTACTCGTTATCTATACTTGGATGCTGGAATGCTAGGTATTTGTTTTCTTCTCGCTTTGCCTGCTTCTAGAATATTCTAGTACACCTCAACTTGTTTACTATGTACGTTCTCACATGGGATTTGCTAATTATATCTCGATTGCATCAGATTTCATCATCCCATTCTACGCAGATATAGTAGTTAAACTGACAATTGGGGTCATAGAAGCTTAAAAAACAAGGACAATTGCGTTTGCTTTGATAGGGCACGTCAACAAGGTACTTACTAGATAGACAAGGTTGGGTCACATGATGAAAAACGCATTTCAAAACTTCTAGAAAGAAGGCCAAGGCCAGACAACATCAGTTTGATGTCAACAGCTAGTTTTGGCGGGAAAAGAAGATTCTGGAAAAGGGAATGTCAAGGTTACCAAAACTTGTTGATCTCCTAATATTCTAGCTTTGTGTCTCCCAAAAAAAACAAGCTATGAGCTCACTCTGTTACACATACTCTAACTTTTTAAGCATCCAGAAACCATGAGTTGTTAACCCTTCGGCTCAGTACTTTGAATATTGCAACCCTTCGGCCTTGATTCCATGATAGATACCATACATCTGGGAGAAATGTGGCTTTTCTGCCTACCCCCGGGTGTGAAACCCGACCACAAGGAGTTCGTCACCCGGTCACCGCAAAGTCCGGTTAAACTAACTACGCTAGCGAGCCGGGCGCATACTCTAACAGACTGCTGGTCGTCCATCTCCTAATATCGTCTCATTTAATTTGATTTCTACCTCTTGCTCATCTGCTTTAATTTCTGTGTGTCATGTTTTTTTTAATTTCTTCAAAGAAGTTCAACTTTTTAAAAGTACATGCTATGTAGTCATGTCTATCCACACTTTCTGCCGCGTATACTTTCAATAAGTTCCGACACCGATGATCTTTCCACGCCATTGTGTCAAACTGTCCAGCATCTCGGTCTACCTCTGCATCCTTTCCCCTCCAACTTATTATCGATATGTCGATTATCTCTTTCTGATGTGGGCAATCAGTTCTATTCTGAGTCGGTTTCTTTCAATACATCTCCATTATATTTTTTTTTTAATCTGCCCAGTGTGTTCTTATAATTCTGTTATGAACCCTCATTTTCGCCTTTTTCAAATAAATTTTCACTTTTCGGTCAACTGTCCATGATTTATTTCAGCATAATAACATAGGATTTATATAAATCTTGATAATTATCTGTCCCAGCACACTTGACAAGAAAGTTGATGGATCATCGTCATCATGTAGCAGGTCCTTTTCAGAACGTCGTTATCATCACGGTCTGCCTGAAAGAAACGGTCTCTCGCCAGCTCTCCGGCCTCATGCACTTTCATACTCAAGGAGTCACTTATATCCTGTGCCCATCTTCGTGTCGGTCGGCCCCTGCCCCTCCTTCCTGGTACCATGCCTTCTGCTATAATTTTTTCCAATCCGTCATGACGCTTGATATGACCAAAATATTTCAGCTTTAGAGATAGGATGCTGTTTATTAGCCAATCTTCCTTGACGTTCAGATCTTTCAAGATGTCAGTTTTCTCCTTTTCTTTGTCCAAGATATTCTGAGAATCTTTCTATAGCATTTCAGCTCAAAAGCCCCTATTCTCTTTTTTTAAGTACTGCGAGATAGTCCACGACTCACATCCGTATGTTGCTACAGGGAAGATGCATGCTCTCAGAATTCTTATTTTGATCTCCTTGCTGGTGCTTACCCATAGACTTTCAAGGCTGTTTAATAGTTGATGGATATGTGAGAGGGGAAAAAAATAATAATAACAGCAAAAACAACAGAGATGTATTACATTCACAGATGCCAGATACTCACCCCCTGTAGAGAGACATGTCTGCTGTTGGACAGGTTTGGTATGCTCTACCTACATGTTGACCTCACCACCCACCGAGTGTCGATTGCTCTCTTATATATAGGTCCAGCTCCATATTTCCAGTATACCTGAAGGCGGGGGAAATGGTCCTTTAATTTTACCTAAATGTAAAATATACAGCATGCTTGACATGTCCACTTGTGTATGCGAGCATCCAGTGACACGTGTTACTTTTTTGTAATGAGGGGTGGGGGGGGGGGGGATGTGGCTGAAATAAGTGCCGTTTGGTCTATAAAATATAGGTCTAGCCCTATATACCCAATACGACTGAAAGGCGTGGAAAAGGGTCCTTTACTTTTAATGTGGCTGAAATGTCTTATTAATAATGTAATTTTTGTGTCTGCAGGAGTGGATGTATTTTTCAGTGACTACAACAGTTTAAAGGTATTCAATTTGAGTGTTCCTGTGTATCATGTTTTTACATCCACCCACATTACTTTCTTTTGACTACATATGCCTTTGCTGAAATTTCTATTATACTATTAGCTGAACACCATAAAACAAATGAACACAAGTTATAACTAGGAAGTTTGATGAGAAGAAAGACACAAGCAGGTATAAGTGAACAGGTTACTACCAAAGTCTGTACTAACCCTGAAATAGTCAACAAAAACAGTCACAAACCGAATGGCTTTATTTTATTATATTCAACTATAGTAAAACCAGTTATAAGCAGCATATTTATACCAACACTGTGCTACAAGTGCCAAACCTAGACATCATCAAAGGGCTTATTTCAGTAAAATTACCACCTGAGAAATGAGAAACCTGAGAAAAGCCTTAAAATACACGACTAAACATGGGTTCATACACAAAGAATAATAAGAATAAGAATACTTAGCTAGAAAACTCAGCCCTTGGGAAATCTAGCACAGAGAAAATCACACAATCTTAATGCGATCATTGTATGTTTATATGTGATATATATGTGTGTGTGTGTGTATGTATGTGTGTGTAAATATATATAATTATTTGCACTGGACTGGTCTCTTGTACTTCCCAGAATAGCCTGCTTCCGTTTGCATACTTCGAGGTCCATTGTAGGGGAAAACAAGAACTGCACTGTCTCCCCAACAAGCATGTCATAGGAGTCGACTAACTGGGGGTTTCCTTCGAAGTCGGAGTGCATCTGTCCGAGTGACGAGGAACAACCGACAGCACATAAATAAGCCAGTAAAATGGATGTACGCGGAGCTTACAGCCGGTAAACAAAGAAGAAGAATCTATACAAATTTAAGAGGAAGTCGACTGCACGATGAAGACAATATGGAAAACTGTGTCAGTTATGAAAGGATAAATCATTTCAATAAGGGGACAAGACGTTTCATTAATCACCACAGAACAGGCCTCATGGGTTGTTTTACACAAATGGAGCGTCCGGGGAGGGGTTTAGAACACCTATGAATGTATGATAATTCTCACTAATTATTATTAGTTTCAATGTTACACTTTATTATTTAATATTAGGTAAATTTACTTTTTAACACAGTAATGGGAAACTATATGGCTGTAAGTCCTGGACAATCTGTAGGCAGGGCAAACAATTTCTTGAGGTCCCAGAAATTGGGTTCTACAGAAAAATTCTTAAAATACCTTGGACATCCAAAAAAAAAAAAAAAAAAGCAGTTGTCCGAAGACAACTTATCACAGACATCATAAGGAGACAATCATCATTTTTCGGCAATGTTATGAGAAGAGGGTCGGCTCTGTGGTTAAGTCGATGCAAACGCTTCGTAATGCCGGGATGTCGGGTTCAATCCCAGCTGCGGGCTATGCGCCTTGCGTTGGTTTCGACAGTGGCATCAAGAGAGCCGACCGTCCAGTAGGCAATGGCAAACTACTGGACGTAAATTTGCCTAGAAAAACCACACAACAGCCAAGGGCTGTTGGGGTTGGTTCTGCAACGTCCAGAAAAGGATACGCAACTAACCTATGAGAAGAGGGAAAATGGAACATGTTGTGGAAGGAGGGATAGAAGAAGAAAACGAGAGAAGATTCTGGACAGTCTTGTTGCTTAGCATGGAGGTGTGTCAGCACACGAACTGATGCATGCTGCAGGCGATCGCGGATTGTGGTGAAGCATGATCGTTCACGCCTGTCGGCAAAGCGCCTGATAATGATAAATGGGAAACTAATTTAATGTATCATTTATTTTCAACCTCTTTAAACATTTTTATGATGCTGCATGCTTTCTCAGCGACTCATTGAACATGCTACATACGATCAAGGCAAGGCATATACGCAAACAGTGGTTCCATCTGATACAGAACGCAGCGTTTCACAAAATCATCTTCATTTTTGTCCCAGAAAATGTTGGTGTGAAAGGCAATAAGAGAGCAGACACCCTGGCTGGCAGTGCAGCTAGCAGGAATGGGCCCTCTGCACAGAAGAGACATCATCAATGCCATACTAGAGACTAAACGCTGTGAGGCTTTCAGTTTCATAGGAAATTATTTTTCAATCAATAGACTGCATACTCTGGGTGTACCAACTGGAGCAGCGAGACTCGGAAACCATGCGGGAGCCACCCGTCGTTACATCAGCAAAACAGAATCTGGTAATCTGGTAATCTTAGTTTCAGCTTCATTGCCAACGGGTCACCCCATAGTTGCTCAGCTCCAGTGCTAATGAAAAACACACAAAATGTTTATCGCAGTTTAAATGTAATCCGCAGCTCACAGTGTCGCGCCATGCACTCAACTCAGAAGCTCTGCAACGAAACTATATCCTTTAAGTCTACAAATTTATCAAAAATACAACGGCCACCGTCTGGCAGAAGCAAAAAAAAAATTGCAAAGGCTAAAAAAAGTGGCCGTGCCTAGCGTCCATTTTGACCTGAAGCATTATCTGAGGGTTAATAAACTGCCACCCCAGCAGTACCCTCACTATTAGCTGGGGAAGGGACTTAGGACATTACATCCACCAGCAAGCACCTGACTGCCTTCGTTAACAACTGTTCACCCAACAGCCATGCAGTTCTTTGGCACGCAGGCGACACCCTGAACTTGGGTTTCAGACTGCCTACTCCCTTCAAGATATTATGTTTTTTGTTATCACAATCGACGTCACTTCACATTGGGCATTCCCATGCGTGCTCAGCCCTCTGATGCAGCAGCCGCTTCAAAGTACTTCTACTAATTGCTCCCATTAAAAGCTGGTTATATTGTCTCCTATCTTGGCCTCGAAGACGGCAAAGACGTGCTTCACCAAACCTTACTCCCATGTCACGCAATCGTGTCAGTGTCAAGGATTCCTCATTATCCACTAGCCCAGTCCGTAAAGTGTTGACGATATCTGCTCTGTCCGTGCTTTTTCCCGCAATCCTTAGTGCAGGGCTTGCCAGTTGGTCCGCTCGCTCATTTCCCTTAACGCCCGCATGACCCGGTGTGTAGATCCAGGTTAGGGAGGTTAGGTTCGATTTTCGAATGCTTTCTTCCCATTCAGAGCGTATACCGCCTGTTGCTATCTGCTGAAGCATATTCATGGAGTCTGAGACAATTACTACCTGCATGGCGATTTGCTCGGATACCCATGCTAGTGTTCTAGCAGCAGCGGCTATTTCCATTGTCATGCTTGATGTGCTTGTCTGGTAAGCGCTGCTGTCCTCCTATATTGTTTTCCCCCTTCTTTACGCTGTGTATGCCCATGCTATCTTGCTCATGATAGGAAGGTTTTCCGGAGGGTTGTTATGGCAGCGAGGTTCCGCGAGGGACATGCTACTGAATGAATGAATGAATGCCCATGCTGACCTTGATCCGCGCTTCACGGATCCATCTGTGTAGATGATGATATCTTCTAGGTCTGAGTGCTGATCTATCAGTTTCCTTACTGCTGCGTCTACGGCCGCAGGAATTTTCATAATGGAAGTTGTAAGCCTAAAACACTTTGAGATATACTCAGGAGTTTGAAGGACTCGTGGCCATGTCCAATATGCGATGAAGCTGATCTTTAATTGAACAATGAACATTCTGATGTTTGTTGTTAATATTCAAACAGATAAGCCCAGATTTCATCATGAGCCGCACCACTGGATCAGGACGGGGCCAGATGATGGCCGAGTATGTTCTTGTTCACATATTGGCCCGTGAGAGGAATTTAAATTTGCTAGCAGAACAGCAAAAGCAAGCAAGATTTGACAAGTAAGCTTCAAGTTTAAAAATAAAATACAGTAATACTTCTGTTATTATAATTAACAATGAAACAGAGTGGGGAATAAAAATAGGAAAATCAGAAAAAGTGAAGAAGAGATAGAAATGTGCAAAGAAAAAGACTTGTACAACTCTGGAAAGTCACCCCATCTCGTCGGCCGCATGATTTCGTAGGGGATTTCACGGAACACTCCTATAGTCTACGGCAGTGATTCTCAAACGTTTCTCGCCGCGGCGCCCTTGTCAGACGCACACAAAATCGCGGCACACCTACTCTTAAAGTGGTTTGAATACTTAGGCAAAGAAGAAAAACAGTGCACATTTAATGTTCAGTTAACGCGATGAATGAAACTGTTTTGACGAATTGTTTATTATTTTATTTATTTTACCCTCAAAACACTTGACCAAAAAGTTTCGTCCTGTATCTGTTTTTCATGTAAGTGTACGTTGAGAATGCACTGCATCCTTGCCAAAAGCACTGTCTTCCCGAAACACCTGCACCCATAACTCTTCTTAGCTTCCTTTACGTTGCTCCTGTTTTAAACTGTTGTCTTCGCTGATCTTAAGCAGATTTAGAAAAAAAAAACTCTTGATTATTGCCGCTGCACCCCTGACATACGCTTGCAGCACCCAGTTTGAGAAGCTCTAGTCTAGAGGTGTTATGTTTTCCTTGTTTTGACCACCTTGAGCACATCCACCACCGACGAAAGCCACCGCCAACGAGCGTAAAAATACAAAAACGTAAATGATTCGATACTTACGAACTGTCGTGCGTTCGGCGCTTCCCCTGCAGTAATTCTTTCTTGCACACACGTGCCTTTGGCGCCTGAGACCTAATGATAACAACAACACATTCCAGAAACAACTTTCGTTCACAGAAAGAAGAGGCCAAAAGGAAGAAGCGCAGTTTCGTCTATAATAAAGTGTGTTGATGATGTCGAACGAACCCGAGCCGCTCTCCGCCGCGGTGTGTATAGGCGAAAGAACACATAACATAACACCCCTACAACAAAGGACAGCCCCTGGGAACCTCTAGGAATTCTTGCCGCCGACGAGGTGGGGTGCCTTTCGTGAGTAGTACCGAAAGACTTGAATGAAGGGACATAGTTGGGTGAATCGAAGGAGATATTATAAACTAACGGCCCTAAGCTGTGTAATATTTTATTTACAGCCAGCACCTGGCGCACTACCGCATGCTGTCTGACTTGTCCATTGGAATTCTGGGACTGGGGAGTATAGGTCGGGAAGGTCAGTTTTTAAAATTTTTGGAGTCATTCATGCATCGTGTTCAAATCTGATCTGAACAAATTTTGGAGTCACTCATGCATCGTGTTCAAATCTGATCTGAACAAATTTTGGAGTCACTCATGCATCGTGTTCAAATCTGATCTGAACAAATTTTGGAGTCACTCATGCATCGTGTTCAAATCTGATCTGAACAAATTTTTGAGTCACTCATGCATCGTGTTCAAATCTGATCTGAACAAATTTTGGAGTCACTCATGCATCGTGTTCAAATCTGATCTGAACAAATTTTTGAGTCATTCATGCATCGTGTTCAAATCTGATCTGAACAAATTTTTGAGTCACTCATGCATCGTGTTCAAATCTGATCTGAACAAATTTTTGGAGTCACTCATGCATCGTGTTCAAATCTGATCTGAACAAATTTTTGAGTCACTCATGCATCGTGTTCAAATCTGATCTGAACAAATTTTTGAGTCACTCATGCATCGTGTTCAAATCTGATCTGAACAAATTTTTGAGTCACTCATGCATCGTGTTCAAATCTGATCTGAACAAATTTTGGAGTCACTCATGCATCGTGTTCAAATCTGATCTGAACAAATTTTTGAGTCACTCATGCATCGTGTTCAAATCTGATCTGAACAAATTTTTGAGTCACTCATGCATCGTGTTCAAATCTGATCTGAACAAATTTTTGAGTCACTCATGTCATCGTGTTCAAATCTGATCTGAACAAATTTTTGAGTCACTCATGCATCGTGTTCAAATCTGATCTGAACAAATTTTTGAGTCACTCATGCATCGTGTTCAAATCTGATCTGAACAAATTTTGGAGTCACTCATGCATCGTGTTCAAATCTGATCTGAACAAATTTTGGAGTCACTCATGCATCGTGTTCAAATCTGATCTGAACAAATTTTGGAGTCACTCATGCATCGTGTTCAAATCTGATCTGAACAAATTTTTGAGTCACTCATACATCGTGTTCAGATCTGAACAAATTTTGGAGTCACTTTGTGCATCGTGTTCAGATCTGAACAAATTTTGGAGTTCATTTGTGCATCGTGTCAAATCTCAGATCTAAACAAATTTTTGAGTCACTCATACATTCAGATCTGTGCATCTAAAACAAATTTTGGAGTTATTTGTGTATCGTGTCCAGATCTAAACAAATTTAGGAGTCATTGGTGCATCGTGCTCAGATCTTAACAAATTTTGGAGTCATTCATGTTCATGTTCAGATCTGAACAAATTTTTGAGTCACTCATGCATCGTGTTCAAATCTGATCTGAACAAATTTTTGAGTCACTCATGCATCGTGTTCAAATCTGATCTGAACAAATTTTGGAGTCACTCATGCATCGTGTTCAAATCTGATCTGAACAAATTTTTGAGTCACTCATGCATCGTGTTCAAATCTGATCTGAACAAATTTTGGAGTCACTCATGCATCGTGTTCAGATCTGATCTGAACAAATTTTTGAGTCACTCATGCATCGTGTTCAAATCTGATCTGAACAAATTTTTGAGTCACTCATGCATCGTGTTCAGATCTGATCTGAACAAATTTTTGAGTCATTCATGCATCGTGTTCAAATCTGATCTGAACAAATTTTTGAGTCACTCATGCATCGTGTTCAGATCTGAACAAATTTTGGAGTTATTTGTGCATTATGTCAGATCTAAACAAATTTTGGAGTTATTTGTGTATCGTGTCCAGATCTAAACAAATTTAGGAGTCATTTGTGCATCGTGCTCAGATCTTAACAAATTTTGGAGTCATTCATGTTCATGTTCAGATCTTAACAAATTTTGGAGTAATTCGTGCATGATGTTCATATCTTGAGAAGTTTTTAATCCATGCATGTATCATATTGAGATCTGAACCACTTTTGGAGTCAACTGTGCATCATTTTCAGATCTTAGCAAATTGTGTGGTCATTCGTGTATCATGTTCAGATAATAACCATTTCGTGTTCAGATCTTAAGAAATTTCGAAGTTATTCATGCAGAAGGTTAACATATGGGATAACTCATGTGCCCCAGAACGGAAATCCCTCCTGCCGATAACGACACACAAGGCACGAACTCAGTAGCTCCAGCAATAATCACAGGAATCTCAGTGAACTGAATAACGCTTGCGTGAAGCGAATCAACGACGCTCGGAGCTTGATGAGGATGGTTTTACCACTCTGATGTGAAGATCCCCAGTAGAGAACAAAGCACACACACAAACAGAAATGATACACACACAAAAGAAATTATATACACACAAAACAAGTGTCCGTGTTGTGATTGCAGTTGCTCGAGCCTGTAAAGCCATGAACATGGTTGTCTGGGCTGGTGTACGAGATAAACGTCTAGCTTCTGGGGAAACAGTATCTCCGGATGTTGATTACTACAGGTAAACCAATTTGTTGAATTATCTTGTAGCAGGTCCTTTGCAGAACGTCGCTCTCATCATGGTCTGTCTTAAAGAAATTATGTCTATCGCCAGCTCTCTCACCTTGTGTTATTTACTACTCAAGGTATTACTCATTTCCTGTATCCATCCTCTTGCTGGTCGGTACCTGCCCCTCTTTACTGGCACCATGACTGCTGCTTTTTTCTTTCCAATCCGCCATGTACCTGATATGGCCAAAATGTTCAAGTTCCTGAGTCAAGATGTTGGGTAATTTTTTTTTTATATGCTTCATAATTATGCCAGCATCTGTGGTTTCGGTTTACGAGCATGATTTATCATTTCCCGGTTAAATTCCAGCTGCAAGAAGTAACAAACCGCTTTGCGTGTATTTTATGTATTTTGACAATGGTCTGGAGAGTTGATCATTCAGTGGCAATAGCACATTCATCCTCATCAAGTACCTTGCCAGCTCAAGTGGGCGTTCCTGCATCTCCACAGATCTTAGTCCTTGGTATTGTGGATCAGTTCACATGACCAAAGAACTTTGTTAATCTCATTCTCCTTGTTGTATATAATGTTCTACTTCATTTGAAATTTCCAGGCAATCATTGTTAGTTATTCTAGCAGTCCAAGGTATTCGCAACGTTCTTCTCAAAACCACATCTCAGTTGCCTCTGAACTCTTCTTAATTTTGTTTTGCCCACATTCCAAGATAGCAAATTACTTAACATTACTTGGTAAAACCAGTCAGCCAACAAATGCTGGCGTTAGTTTGCAATGTCCTGTTAAGGATATGCAACTAACTTTTTATACATAATTTTTTATCTTTACAATCAAAGAAGCTAAAGTTATACGGTTAATAAAATAACACGAATCAGAATCAGAGAGCTGCTACACCAGTTTTCACTTTACATCAACCAAAACGGTTTAGTTTAACCTTTAATTTAAACCTTTAGTATAACTCTGTATATGCAGGGACTTATACGATAATCAAGGGTTCTTTCGTAATAAGTCACCCCAGGTGACCTCATGGGGACAGTCCAATATTTTATAGGGTGGTAAGACTGGGTTTCCCGGCTTTGTGGTGCTCTTAACTACCCGAAAACATCTAGAACTGGACCTAACCCCAGCCCACCTACATCCTACGAGAGAGCGCAGCCTAGGTCCCAATGCAAGCAGCCTAGGTACCACGACTGCATGCAGCCTTTCTACCACCCCCTGAAATATTGGACTGTCTGTTTGGGGTGACTTATTACGAAAGCACCCAATCAGGGATATACAAATCACAGATGCAGTCCTGCCAATACATTTGGCATTTAGCTGAACGGCAAAAATGAGCCACTTGTCTGTTGTTTACGTACTGTCTATTATTTATGTGGAAATGCATGACAGACATACAGGACATATAACAGAAATACAGGACATATTAAATATGTAGGTAGGTAGGTGGGTAGGTAAACAGACATACATACAAACAGACAGAATTGGACGATTGAAGAGCTGGGATGTACTGATGAATAATTTGTTAATATTGAATGGATGAATAAGTAGGTAGGTGCAGATAGACAGACAGACGGATGGCTGGGTGGGTGAATGGATTGATTTATGGACAGACAGACAGATAACTTGATGGAGAGACGGATGGATGGACGGCCAGATGGATGGGTGGACGGATGAAAATGTTACACCAACATTTGTAATTTGTAAACATTTGTTTTCCTGTGTGACTTGACAAGGCCGATGTCTCGATTAAACGAACTGCTCCAAGAGTGTGACTATCTGGCATGCATTCTACCAGCTACACCAGAAACCAAATCCCTACTCTCAGGAGATGTTCTTGAGCCTTGCAAACAGAAGGTGAGAGATTAACGTCACAGTTGGTTGTGTGTCTTACAAAGGATGTCGCAGAAACAGCTCTAGCATGGTTTGGCTGTTTGTGATTCCACTAGAAAATTTTACTTTTAGTAGTTTGCCATTTCCTTTTGAACAGCGTAAAGGGAATATAAAATTTAATATTGTCTGTCCAAAAGCACAGTGAAGATCAAAATTTATTCTTGAATTTAAAGAAAACGAAAATAATGGGGGCTTTTGAGCTGAAATGCTATAGAACGATTCTCAGAATATCTTGGACAAAGAAGAGGAGAAATACTGACATCTTGAAAGATCTTAACTTTAAAGAAGATTGGCTAATAATGGGCATCCTGTCTCGAAAGTTGAAATATCAAGCGCCACGACAGATTAGAAAAGAATAATAGCAGAAGGCATGGTACCAGGAGAGGGGGGGGGGGGTCAGGGGCCGACCAACACGAAGATGGGCGCAGGATATAAGTGACTCATCGAGTATGAAAGTGCATGAGGCGGGGGAGATGGCGAGGGACTGAGTTTATTTCAGGCAGACCATGATGGAGCGACGTTCTGCAAAGGACCTGCTACATGATGATGATGATGTGTTTGCCATTGTTCCTAAATGCTTGGCTCTGGATACCACTGTTGAAACCAAGGCAAGGCGGTCTGCTGCCAAATAGTCTGAAGCTGAGATTGAGCCGGAATTAAAAAGCACATTGAGGACGCCCAATTGCAGATTCCGTCACCTAGGTTACAGACTTGTTAGGTTGAGTTGATATCACAGCAGTCGGTTCATTCCCATGCATGCTCCGTCCTCATCTTCAGCAGCCAGCGCAGAGTTCCAATACTGATGGTGCCGGTCACAATCTGGTTAAATGTCCGTCTTGCCTTTCCTCTAAGTGTGCTCAGCCGGCAAGACCCTCTGGTCACACCGAGGTGCCTCATTCTCTCCAGGCCATAATAATTTTCTTTCTCTACTGATTCCGTTGCTTGTTCCCAAAGGGCCTTGGCCACATCTGCCTTGTCATGTATGTTCACTATCCAGTGGTGCTGATCCGGCCAATCTGTCTGCCTCTTCATTACCTACCACGCTGGCATAGCCTGGAGAAAAGGTCCAAAGTATTTTCACTACACGTGACCTTTCCAGTGAAGCTTGCCACTCTGCTCGAAGCATCCCTGTCTTCACATTTTTCAGCATGCTTTCAGACTCTGTTACAATTACGACATGTGTGTGCATCTTCTTCTCTAGCCACCGAAGAGCTACAGTTACCGCCTCCACCTCCATTCTCATGCTAGATGTTGTAGTGTCATATGCTAGGCTGTCTTGCACTGAAGATTTTCCATCGGCTTTCGCTACGAACTCCCAGGCATTTCTCTTTCCTCTTAGCACCGAACCATCTGTATAGATAATCAGATCACCTAGGCGTGAATTGTCGTTACAGACTTGTTTGCTTTTGGAGTATTTTCCCCTGAGAGGGGGACAGAAAAGAAAACAACAAGACATACCATACTAAAGAAAGAGTGCTTGCTAATAAAATACACAAGTCTATATGGTCAAACAGGCAACAGTTTGATGCTCTCTGTATTTCTAGTTATTGCCTTCTTTCTCACATTTCAGTTTTTGGTTTTGGAAACGAATATAGAGTGTCTGGTAAGTGCATTAAAATGTGAATGCACACAAGCGATAAACACCCGATGATACAATGTGCCACCATGTTAGTGAGGATCGCCGTGGAGAGGTCCCAGAAACCGCGTTCAGACAATTGGCCATATTTATGGGCTGCCTAATTGCGACCCCTGGCAAAAGCTAGGGTGGGACTTCAAATAACAACAAATTTCATCCTAAAAAGGACGAAACTGGATTAGTATTACGGACGCACACGGAAGTTGGCAAAGGCCCTTAGTAAAGATACTGTCACCAAAAGCTCTGTAATCAAAAGATAACTGGCATCATCTGATCCTCTACAGAAAACTGTACTGATCAACACAGGACGAGGAAATCTCATTGATGACGACAGTTTGATCAATGCAGTCAAGTAAGTCAAATCTTCATTGAACTTCTTCCTCTTCTGCCTTTCTATCCCCCAATGGGGCATAGGCCCTCAACCAACTCACGCCAAGTCCTTCTATCCCTCGCCATTGCATGGAGCTCTCTCCATGTCTTTCCCATATTTCTAACTTCATTCTCCAGCTCTCTTCTCCGTGTGTTTTTTGTCCTTCCATTATTCCTATGAACCTGTGGGTTCCAATGCAAAGACATTCTAGTTATGCTGTTCTCCTGTTTTATCAGTGTGTGTCCTATCCAACGCCACCGTCTTTTCCTCACCTCTTAGTCCACTGGAGCCTGTTTAGTTCTCTCCCAAAGTTCTACACTAGTTATTCTATCATACCATTTAATTCCCTCTATTCTGCGCAGGCACCAGTTAATGAATGTATGTAATTTATTAGTAATTGTCTTAGTTGTTCTCCATGTTTCATTTCATTGAACTATTACTGTATTTATGGAGTCACATTTTGCTATTGTCGAGCGGGATTTTTTCACGTGGACTTCTAGTAATTCCCCCTGGTCTCTGGGTAGTGAGATCGGACGTCCGTGTTGCATTGTTGCGCACGCAAAAGAATCCCCTGGTAGTTGGAAATCGAAAAAAAAAGTAGCCTATCGGCGCTGCCTGGGCAAAATTTGCAGTGAAAAATCTACCCAAAGTATTTCAGGATCCTCGCCGGTACTACAGGGCCTGTGCACTGTGCTGAGCTTCTCCGGACTCAGACTTTACTTAGAAGAAGAACGGAACACTTATGCGTAACTACCCGTGTGCCATGATGTGGATCCGTTGATCAAACCTCAGACCTCTGTTGTTGAGTGTAATTTTAATTTGTTTGCTGAAAATGCCAGAGGAGTTTTTGTGTAGTCATCTGCTACTGTGGATTCGCCGTGGTGTAGCGGCTAGACACTCGCCTGCGAATCAGGAGGTCGTGGGTTCAGGTCCTGTTGGACCTGGCTTTCTTCAAATACGAGCTTGGCTCCCAGCCTTGAGCGGGTACCAGGTGCAGTCCTGGGAAGTGAAGGCGGCCAGCATGATGTTGACCTCCTCACCCACCAAGTGCCGATTGGCCTATAAAATACAGATCTAGCCGTGTATACTCAACACGCCTGAAAGCCTGGGAAAAGGATCTTTTGCTTTTTACTTTACGTCTGCTCCTGGCAGGGGAAGCAATTTTGGTGGGAAACTGAAAATTAAAGGGGATGAATTCAGTCAAGAAAGATTGAGAAATAAGGACAATCGATGGACAACCATTGGTATCAACAGTGATAAAACAAAGAAGTTGGCGATACATTTGGCTTATCCTAGGAAGAAATGGACACCCAAACAAAAAAAATAGGCTCTTAAATGAAAAAAGTGGATTAATGAAATGACATCCAGAGAAATGGACAAAAAATAACGAAAATTAGGCACTTAAATGGGAAATAAGTGGATTTATAAAATGACATCCAGAGAAATGGACAAAAAAATTACTAATGTTAGGCACTTAAACGGGAAGCAAATAGATTTATGAAATGACATCCAGAGAAATGGACAAAAAATTTACTAATGTTAGGCACTTAAACGGGAAGCAAATAGATTTATGAAATGACATCCAGAGAAATGGACAAAAAATTTACTAATGTTAGGCACTTAAATGGGAAGCAAATAGATTTATGAAATGACATCCAGAGAAATGGACAAAAAATTTACTAATGTTAGGCACTTAAATGGGAAGCAAATAGATTTATGAAATGACGTCCAGAGAAATGGACAAAAAATTTACTAATGTTAGGCACTTAAATGGGAAGCAAATAGATTTATGAAATGACATCCAGAGAAATGGACAAAAAATTTACTAATGTTAGGCACTTAAATGGGAAGCAAATAGATTTATGAAATGACATCCAGAGAAATGGACAAAAAATTTACTAATGTTAGGCACTTAAATGGGAAATAAGTGGATTTATAAAATGACATCCAGAGAAATGGACAAAAAAATTACTAATGTTAGGCACTTAAACGGGAAGCAAATAGATTTATGAAATGACATCCAGAAGAATATTAAGACCGAAGCTGGTGAAAGAGGCCTAAGTGCTGAACTGAATTCCATCCATGATACTGAAGCAATTTCATAGGATAGAGCCATATGTGATACATAACGGACAACATGATGATGATAATTGGTAGGGTACTCTGTAAAGCAGTCATTTCAAAACTGTGTGTCTTGGTGCCCCAGGGAGCCGTGACCTCTTGACAGGTGTGCCGTGAAAATTTCGAAGACATGCAATTATTATTTTTTTTAATCTTTTACATACTAAAAGTCTTACTTTTACTTAGGCGCCATGGAAAATTTGTAATTGAAAAAAAGGCACCACGACTAAGAACAGTTTGGGAAACACTGCTGTAAAGGGAAAAATGACACATAATGGATCTAATTTGGTGAAACTAAGTTCAACCTCTCACATTTAACTCTCTGAGTCAAAACAAACAACAACAACAACAATAAAATGTGTGAATCTCTCTGTTTGCTGAATCCTCTCCCTAGCTTAAGATGTTCTCTTACTTTTTGTATTTGAGTAGAACACACACTAGAAATCTGGCTAGTCCAATAGTCACCACTACTCACATAACTGTTTTAAAAGTAATGCACTGATGAATGTTAATCAACACTATTTCTTCATTGGCATCTCCTTCAAATCCTTTTTTTTTTTTTTTTTGTATCAATAAAGTTGAACGCTTTTTAAAACACTGTAGCTGCGTATCTAATGACAAACATATGTTATCACGTTTGTTCAGCCAAGGATGGTTAGGAGGAGCCATTTTAGATGTATTCAATCAAGAACCACTACCCAGTCATAGCCCACTGTGGACACTACCAGGGGTGACAATCACACCGCACGTCAGCTGTCTAGCCAGAAACAATGCATCGGTATGTATTTCTCTTAACATTAACCCTTTCACCAAGGAAACACTAGAAAATAGGTCATGACTGCTAGAATTAAAGAAGAAACAAAAATCCGTAAACATAACAATTTTTACACAGGTCCCTAATAAATTCATTAAATATGTATTTACCTACATATTGTTGCTTTCAAAATACATAAAGATACATTAAATGAATAAATAATACTTTCTCAATCCATCTCCGTGTGGGATGAATTTTTCCGTTGTTTGAAGCCCCAACCTGGCTTTTGCCGGGGGCCTTAAATATAGCCTAACGGCTGAACGGGGTTTCCTGAACCTCTCCATAGGTGATCCTCATCTGCAAGGTAGCACTTTGTGTCACCGGTCGTTTATCAATTTGTGTGATGTCCTGATGAGGTACAACAGACATACATTAACAATAAAAAGGGACCTTCTCTCACAGGTCGACCCAGCATTGAGTGATTACCAGGTGCAGTTCTGGGAAGTCAATATGGCCAGCGTGATGCTGGCTGCATCACCCACCAAGTGCTGAGTGGGCTATAAAACAGAGGTCTAGCCCAAATATACCTGAAGGTGTGGAAAAAGATCCTCTGCTCATGTACCTTCGAGGTCAACTATTTAATGAGAACCATTCCCGCATCATCCAAGGCTAAAACAAACACATGTATTGGATGACTCACACCATGACCCCGTGACCACAATCAATGAGGCTTATGAGAAAATCTAACATCATTTTTCTTAAGAACCATTCAGCTAAAAGGAAAACCCCTCTATTGTTATAGTATGTTCCAGAAGTTGTGTCCAACTTTTAAGATCTATTACTCAAGTAACTCTTTGGTGTGTGTTGTTGAAATATGGCATGCAACCTGTTAATAATCATGTCCTTGTGAGAAATAATTTTACATGTAAACAAACATCTTATTTTCATTTTGCCTTATCTGCAGTATTTAAAAAAAAAGAAAAAAACAGACACAAATTCAAAGCAAATAATCAGCATGCATACAGTTATTTGAGCAACAGAAAATTTCCAAAACATCAAACTGCACAAAGTAGAACTTTATATCTCGCTCAACATCCAAAGTGGTAAAAGGGGACGTGAAGAAGAAGAAGTTAAGTGTTGGATTAAAAATCAAAATCACAGCAATCAGAAACTCCCATAAGTGCTCCATCCCCATCATCAGCAAGCAGCAAGCCAGTCCTTGCATTCATCGCCCAATATGATTAGAACTCTACACGAGTCTGATTGTTGCTAGGATGCTGACCCACTGTTGTCCTAGCCCAGTATTACCATTCTTGCAAACATGTAATTGTGTCTTAACTCTTTTAGTCCCAGGGAACGCATCATACGTTTCGAAGTTCTTACCTAGAAGCTCAACGAACGCATGATGTGTCCATTTTAGTCTCTCTTTACTACCCCTTGGGCCTGTGATGCTAAACCACCTGGGACTCAAAGAGTTAGGATTGCACCATCCAAGACCATCCTTTTTTCAGTCTGTGACCTTTAGCTCTACCTAGGGCTTCATGCAGGAGGTGCTTCCTGTCTACAGCTACTCTGAGATATGACTTTGCTTGTAGCACTTTGGGCTTATCTGTAATAGTAGGCAGTGCAAATATGTATCGCACACATACCACCGGGGTATCTCTTTTACATCTCAATAGCACCCTTTGGATTCATTCTGTGTGCTTTCAAGTTTCATCAGTTGACATTTTGAAACGGTAAGCATTTCAAGTACAAAATCTATCACCCACAGGATTACATGCTGGAATATTGTAAAGAAGAAGTGGAGTTACAATATGGTTTTATATAGCCTGAGAAAAAAAAAAATTGACCAAAAAAGTATTAGAGCTAGTCAACTTTACAATACCATACTTACAAAGGAAAAAAAGGATTTGGCTAGAGAGCTATCATCAGTATAGCTCACACACAGACAATGATACAGTTATATTAAAGAATCTCCTTCTTAAAGTCCCTGCCGTGTGGCGTTGGTAGTCATGTCTATCCTCAACCTTCTGTCTCGTGTACTTTCAGTCAACTCTGATACAGGTGATCCTCCATACCATGATGTCAAACTGTCCAGCATCTTCTCTCTCGGTCTCTCTCTGCCTCTCCTCCCCTCCAGCTTTCCCACTGTCACGATGTACTCCAGTTTTCTCCTTCTCGTCACATGACCAAAGAAGGTAGATTAAAAAATATATTAAATAAAGTGGCTTTGCTGCGAAATTTGTTATAAAATGTCCATCCATGCTTTAGCAGCCGAGGCCGTGTGTTCACATGTCATCGCAGGAGTAAGATACTGAATAGGAAGTGACCAAGTAGTTTTTGGTTCACCAGATCCAATTTCAACACTTTCCTTATAGAGACTGTGCTATGATATCAAGTCAGAACAATGCCAATGATTTAAACTTAACCCTTTTAATACTAAATGGTCTGAGCTAACGGCTGAAGAGTTAAAAAACGGCAATACTAAAATCCTGAGTATACTAGGCACTGGAAAACATTGTGACAACTGGAAAGATCAGTGGAAAGAGGTCTAGAGGCAGACCAAGAGAGATGATGCTGTCCTAGGTAAACTAGCGTCCAGTCTACGGATGCAAAAATATTGAAGAACGCTGTTTTAGAGTATTCACAATGTATGCAAAATTGAATTAACTGAGCCTGAATCTCTGCAGTTATTGATTTATTCATTGTTTCATTTTTCTTGTTGCAGATGATAGCAAAATCTTATGTGAATAATCTAGTTCGCTATCTTAATGGAGAACAACTTCTGAATCAGGTGGATTTCACCAAAGGTTATTAATCTGCTGGCAGCACCTGATGATGTTTATCAAAACAGCCCCAAAAGTACAGGATCATTTCCGTCTCATCACATACAATATTCACACCAGGCTCACATAACATGAAGGACAGTCAAAGTTTCAATTACATTTACACATTCATTATATTTTGTGGAAGGCAAGTGGAAATCACAAAATTGTCTCCTAAGATTAAAGACATGCAGTTGTCTCTAAAAATAAAAGAAACTACGCCATAGAGCAGACAACCACAGAGCTAACGGAGAGAGCATTTGTCAAATAAGTTCATCTCAAACTTATGTCAAACCACTATAAATCTACTTACCTCGGACGTAAAAGCAATGACTGTTACAATATATATATATATATATATATATATATAGAGAGAGAGAGAGAGAGAGAGAAAGAGAGAGAGAGTGAGAGAATGAGAGGTGGGGGGATGAGAAAGACAGAAGGAGGGAAGAGAGACAAAGAGGAAGATATCAATGAAATGTTTGTATCACGTGAGAGAGAGTGAGAGAGCGAGAGAGAGAGGTGGGGGGATGAGAAAGACAGAAGGAGGGAAGAAAGACAAAGAGGAAGATATCAATGAAATGTATGAATCACGTGAACCTAAACACTTGGATATTTCTTTGTATGAAAGAAATACAGTGAAGAAAAGTTAGGGGGAAAAAAAGATCCATTTTAAACCATGGGCATGACAATTAATGTCATACTATATTATTATAAAAATAGGTATTTGTGTATTTTGATTTAAATAATTCTTAACTTTTGTGTTACTATTGTTGTTTTGATAAACAACATTTAATAACAGAAATTAATTAAAAATGAATTTGTAAACACATTTTCACTCTTAGAATTTTTATTTTATTTATTTAAATGTGTTTCTTGTTATTAGAATAAATCAGTTTAATTAAAAAAAAATGACTAAACAGAGCAAGGTTTCTCAAAACATATAAATATCCTTGCTTTAAGAAAGAGCAGTATCTAGTTTGTGTATGACTGTAAAGATGATAATTGAATTGGCTTTATCTGCTAATTACTGCCTTTATTATTCCACTTTGGTGGTGTAGGCGGAAGGGGGAGGGCGGTGGCTTAGAGCCCGAGGATTTACGGCCACTTGAATAGTGCTGTCGCCACGACTGTGCAGGTGAGGATTTTATTTTAATTGGCTTTATTTTGTTGCGTATCCTTTACAGGACGTTGCAGAACCAACCCCAGCATTTTTTGCTGTGGTGGTTTTCCTAGGCAAGTTTACGTCCAGTAGTTTGCCATTGCTTTAATTGGCTTTATACAGAACTTTAATCATTAACTATTTCAGTCCCGGGAGTTTAGCATCAGAGGCCCAAGGGGTAGTAAAGACAGACATGAAATCAGACCATCTTGAGTTCACTGGGCTTCAAGATAGGAACGTATAAACGTATGATGCGTTCCTTGGGATTGAAGGAGTCAAGCTTCTGCATACACATTAAAAAACACAATTCACAAGAATTTCAACTGAAGCATGCTCATCTCTGATGGTAAATATTAAAGTCGTTTGAAGAAAATCTCCTGATTTTATTGATATTTTCTTTGAGAGACACTATTGTTGTAGAACTTCTTTGATTCCATTTGTTGATTGTGGTAATGTTTGAAGAATGGAAGACTTGCTTTTCAGCCCGATAGGCAAGAAACACTGATTGTGGCTAGGCTAGGCTCATTTACTTTATTTGCTGCATAAAACACGGGTGTCTTGTCTGGGGGAATTCTAACGACCCTCTAGAGACCCTGTACAGTGCAAAGTGAAAACCTCAGCTGTTACTTTAATTGTTTTTGTCTCCAGTGTTAAATCTGCTTTGCTTGTTTTATTCATATCTTCACCATTTAAAGTCCTATTGCAACTTACTAATCCTTGTGTGGGTTTCGGGTCCCACTGTAGGCGAAGGGGGGAACAGATTCACTGCTCCCCCAACAAGCATGTTGTATCAGTTGACTAATTAGAGGCTTTATTTTTTTTAGAGTTTGAGTGCATCTGCCTGAGAGGCAAAGAACCAACAGTCTGCATTCAAATAAGCCACATGTGTAAAATTGCTGTGCATGCAAAACTCAAGTTTTGGAATTAGACTAAAGTCTAGAAGTGGACGAACAACCAAAACTATCCGCTAGAGTTAACAGATAGGGAAAGCCAAAAAGAAGAAGATAACTTATATATACCCCAACTTTAAAACTATTTGTGCCAAATTGTCTGTTTTTCTTTGCACGTCATAGTAGAACAATCTCACCTGCAAAATCAAGATATTCCAATTGTGTTTTCTCCATCCATTTAATGTCGGTGTTTTCCAACACAACAGTCACCCAGTCAACAGCTGTACCAAATAACAGAAGAGATAACATTTCACTCCAGTTTCAACTTCAAACCACAATCATTTAAACCATTATTCCTTGGCACTGCATACTGCGAGCCTCAATACACTGCTTTAATATATATTATTTTCATTGGTATACCATCATCGTGTAGCAGGTCCTTTGCAGAACATCGCTCTCATCAAAGTCTGCCTGAAAGAAACTCGGTTTCTCGCCAGTTTTCCCGCTTCATTAACTTTCATTCTCAAGGAGTCACTTACATCCTGTGCCCATCTTCGTGTTGGTCAGCCCCTGCGCCACCTTCCTGGTACCATGCCTTCTGCTATATCATTTTTTACAATCCGTCGTGGCACTTGATATGACCAAAATATTTCAGCTTCCGAGACAGGATGCTGTTTATTAGCCAGTATTCCTTTAGTTCAGATCTTTCAAGATGTCAGTATTTCTCCTCTTCTTTTCTACCAGAGCATTCTAAAATTCTCCACACTGATGTTCTGTAATTCATAAGCCTACTTAAAGTCAATTAAATTCAGCATAAGGGGTGGTTTTCCTACAAATTACTCTAAAATAAATCTCAAGATAATTATTTGATCTAAGCAGCTTTTTCCAGGTAAAAAACCCGCTAATTCCTCTTTAAGGATTTTGTCCACTATCCCATAATGCTACTAAGATGTTTTTACATTACATTTTTAACATTTAAACAATTATTTCCACACGCATCTACACAAAATAATTCAAAAACAGTTAATACAATAAAATATGTATAATTCAAGATCACGCTGGCTGAAGATAACTTTATTTTCATACTAATACTTCAAAAAGCATAAATCACATTCAGTATGAGTGTCAACATATCTTCATACATACTGAATGATACTGTGACATACATATCACAACGATTGTGATTACATTTTTCATAAACCTGATGCTAAAGTTGTTTAAAATATTTTTGTTTTGTCACACTAGATACTTTAGAATAAAATGATAACTGTTTGTCACACCCCAACACATTAACTCTGCTTCAGTTGAAATAGGAGGAAATATATCTGAAAGCTTTAAAGCAACAAAACAGTCTACAAGAAATATACAGCTAGTTTCGTAAGGGGGTATTATTAGTTTTGGAAGCTGTGGTAGTATAGTTGCTAGACACTGGCCTGATGACTCAAATGTCTTGGGTTCAGATCCACATCAAAGCAGGGGAAAAAGAATTGACCCACTTCCCCCAAACATGATGTAATTGCTGACTAATCAGGAGTGATTCCTTCAAACTGGAAGAGCCTCTGCCTGACAGGCAAAGAACCAAAAGTCTGCAGAGCAGTCAGTCAGATCAATTAAAATGATGTGCATGTAAAACTCAAGTTCTAGAACAAGACTAAGTCTAGAAGTGGATGAACAACTAGAACTCTCTGCCGGAGTTCAGTCAGTGAACGCTAAGAAAAAGAAGAATGGTACATTATGTCAGAAACCTACATTGACGTCACATTCAACAGTGAGATTTCAAGGGTGAAAAAAACAAACTCATATGCAATGACTGGACCTCAATATAAGTCAATTTGTTTTGTCATTCTATTTCAGCCCATGAGTGTTCAGAAGTGACTGATTCCAATAATACATCAATTAAATATTATGTGTGGAACATAAATGTATGGCACAGTCAAACATTATATTTTCAACGACACATTATGTAGGGAACATAAATGTATGAACATTTAAACAGCATGCTTTCAATTACACATTATGTGGGGATCATTAAGACACATTTAAATAGCATGTTGTCAATAATACATGTGAGAAACAAATACTTATGTCACAATCAAGCATGTCTTTATTAACATATTATATGAGAAACAAATATTTATGTCACAATCAAATGGTACACTTTCAATGATACATTATGTCATGAACATAAATTTAAGTGACTTTGTTCATTTGATGAACGCTATTTACAATACCGACAATGACAACTCCTTGGTCAAGTATGCAATTCAATGGAGTCTCGCTTCAAAAAGAAGTTGACAGACACCATTTCATAATCTGCTGTCAAGCAGCAGGCAACTTGAAACAAGAAAACTAGAGATCAATTGTTGTAATAGTATAGTGTATGGAAAGAACAAGGACATTTCTGCTGCTGTAAAATCCAATACATTCATGATATTCCTACTATAAATGAGGAAATGGTATATTCACATATGAACAAACTATGTAAGTTGGATGAGAAATAAATAGGTATACCATTACTAACAAATGATCTCTGGAGAAAGTGTTTGAGAGAGTACTAGCAGCAATAACAGAGCTTTAAACCAATGGAGATCTGTCAAGCGATGTTATCAGTGGGACTGGTGTATGTCTTACTAAACAATGTCAATAATCAGTAGAAGTGACATTCTGCCATGATATCAGTACACTGTTTAGTGAGACCCACTGACTAACAACATCCTATGAGATCCTATGGCTGTGGTCTGTTGGTTGACAACTCAGCACTCTCTCTACCGTCCTCATCCTCCTCCTGCCATGGGTGGTGGTCCTGGAGCTGCAATATGGAATGAAAAAAAAATAAAGGGTTATAGAGAACATGAGAAATAAGTTGCTACAGACAGCATCAATGTGAAATGAGTAAATCATTACCGGTGGTCCGATTAACCCTTTCTGGATGACTGGGTCAATCTATCAGTCCAACAGAAAAATAGCCAAAAAGACGGCTTGGCCAGTCTTCATACCAGCCAAATAACCAGACTGCTACTCACATTTCTTGCACATGTGGGCTGTTCAATGGAGAATTTCATGAAACTTTTTTGTGTAATTTTACAACCAATTTTTTGTTTATGTGTTACCTGTGCCCAACAATGGTGAACAGGATTATTGCATCACAGCAACCAAAATATAGCAGCAGGCAGGAAAACGAGTACAACCATGTGCCAGAGGTGTCTAAGGTGCCTCTATGGGCCTTGTTTTCCAAAACATAAGTGTTAGGACTTATTCAGGCTTCATTCATCAGAAAATGTACCCACATTGTTAAATTTAATCATGTTTGTCCTAAGTTGAAAAAAAAATTTTTAATGCATGCATAAATATGCAAATAAACAAAGCTAATCTGAATAAATGTTGAGATGTCATTGAATGTCGGCATGATTCACAACGATTGTGTTAACATAGCTAATTTGAATAAATGTTGAGATGTCATTAAATCTCAGCGTGATTCACAACGATTGTGTTAACATAGCTAATTTGAATAAATGTTGAGATGTCATTAAATCTCAGCGTGATTCACAACGATTGTGTTAACATAGCTAATTTGAATAAATGTTGAGATGTCATTAAATCTCAGCGTGATTCACAACGATTGTGTTAAATCATTCAATTTCCTCCAAGAGTATATAGTTTTTTTTTATATATTAATTAAACAATGTATTTTTATAAATTCTTTTTGTGTGCAAATAAAGAGAATCCTTTCTTTGCACCAAACTCCATATAAGGCTCCGTCTCCAAGGGCTTAAGGAATGAGAGGAAGTATGAAAGAGTATTTATACAGAATATCAGAATATAGGATAATCTTCTTCTTCTTAGTGTTGACCGGCTGTAAACTCTGGACTTTTATCTTGTCAATTTCAGAACCTGAGATCGATATGCATGTTGATTTTACAGATCTGGTTCACTTGCATGCAGACTGTTAGTCCTCATCTTTCTGACAGACGGACTACCGACTGCAAAGGAAATACAGCTAATTGGTCACCTTCTATGATATACTTGTTAGGGTGCAGTGTCTTTTCTTATTTGTCGGAGAGTAAAGTATTTTATTTAATGGAATTGCAAACTTCAACCCTGTCAGCAACATGACAGGAGAAAAACACAGCAACACAGGGAATTTAAATACTAATTAGAGAAGTAAATTATTATAAGGATTTAACACTGGAATAAGAGATGTGAACGAATGATAAGAATAACCTGGGCAGACAAAAAGAGCAATAAAGATGTCTTGAAAGAAACCAACTCACAAAGAGTAATTACTGCCCACAATAGACAAAGACAATCTCAATTCTTTGCTCATGTCATGAGAAGGAGAAAACTGGAGTACATCGGGACAGTAGGAAAGTTGGAGGTGAGAAAAGACAGAGGGAGACTGAGAGAAAAGACGATGGACAGTTGACACCATGGCATGGACAACCATCTGTATCAGAGTTCACTGAAAGTTCATGAGATAGAAGGTTGTGGATAGACATGACTACCAATGGAGGAGGATTAGAAGGAGGGGGAGAAGGAGGAGGAGGGGGAGAAATGTGAACTACCATGCAGTTTACATCTGGAATGTCAAGAAAGTTGAAGAAATGTGTGTACATTCTTTTTCCTCTTGGTGTTTACCACCTGTACACTCCGATGGACACTTTTAGACTTCAGTCTTGTCACAGAACTTGAGTTTTGACTGCACATACGCTTTTTAAGATCTGGTTTATTTGTATGCGACTGCTGGTTCCTTGCCTCTCAGGCAGATGCACTCCGACTCTGAAGGAAATGCCCATAATTAGTCGACTCTGATGACAAGCACTGGTCTCTTTTCTCCCCACCCCAGAACCCACAGAGTGAGAGAGAGAGAGATCAAAAGCACAGAATCAAAGTATTTTAACATACAGAGAGGGGTAGCTCTTTGTGAAAGTAAATGTTGGGGATTGAGGGGAAATAAGTGAGCAAGAGGTAGACACCATGTAGAAATGGACTGAAAGAAGCCTGGATGACTGTACTGCTGCTCAAGGACAGAAAGTACTGGGCATCCTGCGAGCACGTGTGTGTGTGTATGCAGGATTAACAATTTAAAAAAAAAAATGATTAAACTGCTTCCTACCTCCAGAACCACCACCAAATCCTCCCATCCTGCGTCTGGGACCACCACCTCCACCTCCACCACTGAAAGGCAGAGAATATTTATTTAAATACAGATTACATGTTCAATGTATACTTCACATAACAATGCTCTCAACTGATTAAACCAAAGGGATAAGTTTTAATGATTATCTTGTTTCACTGCGCCCTCACCCAGCTTAGAACACTGAAAAACTTAAATGTAAACAAGAAGCAAAACAAGTCAGCTTTCCCGTAAAACACCATCATCACAATCAATTTCCATTTTATCATTAAACACCTTGAGGTAGGAACAATCTGTCATCCATTGTTCAATGGGTAGCACCGGCTACTGTCATTATGTGTCGATGTAAAATGTGTTTAATGTCATCAATCAGATCTTCTCCGTGGTCACCCTCTTGCTTTCATGCTGCAGATTCTTAAGTGAGGTGCCTGTGTTGATGGTTACTGTCGCTGCAGTCTTATGAAATGACCAAACCATTCTATCTTCAAGTTCTCAATCAATTTGCTGGACAGTGTTGCTGCCACTGTCTGATTGTTTCACTTCTAATGTCTTAGATTAGATGGTTAAGTTGGCGGCTTTCCTCAGGCTACAAAAGCACACAGGGCTGGAGAATTGGCTAGAGAAAGAGAGACTTTCAGGCGTACCGTGACGAGAGTGAGGTTCTGTAAAGGACTAGCTGACTGATGTTGAGAGCAGTCTCTTGTCTTGACAGACAGAACTTCTGTCGTAGGCAGGTCACAAACCACCCACACATATCTGGAAGTCTAGGGGATTCACCACATCACCTTCTCAAGAATAAATGTACGAGATTATCAAGAAACTGGACTGAGGGAGTGACATGCGGGCAGAGTTCCAAACAAGACTTCAGATTAAATAACCTGTTATGTCATCACAATCAATGTCGATTAAATAACCTGTTATGTTATCACAATCAATGTCGATTAAATAACCTGTTATGTTATGTTATCACAATCATTCATTCAGTAGCATGTCCCTCGCGGAACCTCGCTGCCATAACAACCCTCCGGAAAACCTTCCTATCCTGAGCAAGATGTCCTGCGTCTGATACACCCATCTGGAAATCATTTGCCACATCCTGCACCCATCTTCTCCTTGGCCTTCCTCTTCCTCTCTTCCCAGGCATATACCCCTCCATTATTGTTCTCTCTAGACTTCCATGACGTTTCAAGTGACCAAAATATTTCAATTTTCTTTGTTTTATTGTCTTTATCTCAATCAATGTCGATTAAATAACCTGTTATGTTATGTCATCACAATCAATGTCGATTAAATAACCTGTTATGTTATGTCATCACAATCAATGTCGATTAAAAATAATCTGTTATGTTATGTTATCACAATCAATATCACAGCACACTGTGCATTACCATGTGTGCTCAGTCCTCTGATGCAGCAGTCACTCCAAGGTACTTCTACGAACTGTATCCATGAGAGGCTCATGTTTCCATGTTTGTTATATGTCTCCTATCTCGGCCTCCAAGGCGGCATAGACGTGCTTTACCATGCTTTACTCCCATGTCAAGCAATCGTGTTAGTGTCAGAGATTCACCATTATCCACTAGCCCAGTCCGTACAGCGTTGATAGTGCCAGGTGAGGGAGGTTAAGTGTGATTTTTGAATTGTTTTTTACCCATTCAGAGTGCACACTGCCTGTTGCTATCTTCTTAAGCATACTCATGGAGTCTGATACAATTACTGCCTGCATGGCTGTTTGCTCTGCTGCCCATGCTAGGGCTATAACCTGACACAACGCAGCATTACCGACCATGTATTTACATAAAATAAAAATACAATCCAATCATACATGTAATTCTTCATTGAACATTTCATCTCATGTTCCTGTGTTTCCTAAATTACATACATACCCTGGTCTCCTGTAGTCAGAGGTATATCTGTCACTCCTGGAAGTTTTGCTTGGCTGTAAATAAATTATATGTGGTGTAATATTACATCATCTTACAAAGCTATGTTATGGCATGCAACATCATAATTTCTTGTAAACAGAAGGAATTCTTTATAAATTTTAAGTTACTCTGGCAAGTCACATGACTGTTGTGAACTTCAGTTCCCTTTATGAGTACTTTTCTTTCAAGACATCTTCGCTACTCCTTTTATCTGTCCAGAGTGTTTTTATCATTTGTCTACAAAACCATGTATCTTCTTCTTCTTCTGCTTTTCTAACCTCTGATGGAGCATAGGCCCTCAACCAACTCAGGCCAAGTCATTCTTTCCTGCTATTGCATGCAGCTCTCCTCATGTCCTTCCCATCTGCTTAACTTCACTCTCTCTGGGTCCCACTTCATGTGTTATTTGGTCTTTATTCCTATGCCTCTGTGGGTTCCAGTGCAAAGACATTCTAGTTATATTGTTCTCCGGTTTTCTCAACGTGTCTCCTTTCCAACACCAACAATTTTCTTCACCTCTTGGTTCACTGCAACTTGCTTTATTCTCTCCCAAAGCTCTACATCAGTGATTTTATCATACCATTTAATCCCAGAATTAGGCGGAGTTACGTGATAACACGAAGTGAGCGAGACTATGGCAAGATTTAACCAGTCACAGCTTGTCCTTCAGTGTGTACATATGCCTGTTAGTGCCTGGCGTGTCGAAAAGTCTCCCGCTATCCACAAGAGTACTCATAACATTACGCTACATATTACATCTTTCTACCCGCTGCAGATCACAGTTATTTTTGGCATCAATTTAATAAGTTTTTATTAAATTGTATTGCTCCTTTTACTGTAAAAAAAACTAAATGTTTTTAAGCTGTCAGTGTTTACACTGGTTAGTAATGCCAGGCATGCCAAAAAGTCTCACACAAGCGATGAGAATACCTACTTCCTACTTGCAAGTTCCTGTCGTAAGCAAGGCGGGCAGCATCTGATGTTCTGAGGCCATGCTTTTGGCAGGTTTCGGAGACCCCGTCAATCCACCGTTTCCTTGGTCTTCCTCTTGCCTTATATCCTGAGCTTCTTTGGTTGAAAATTTATGATGTTATTTGATCATTTTTCATCCTGGTTAGATGTCCAAACCATTTCATTCTTTGATGTTCTATGTAGTCTAAACATGGTGTAGTTTTGACAGTGTTTCTAATGTCTATATTCTTTATCCTGTCTAGTCTGGTCTTATTCGCTGCTTTTCTTAGACATTTCATTTCACAGGCTTCTATTTTTCTTTCGTGGGTCTTGTTGATTGTCCATGTCTGGCATTGGTAGCAGAGTGTTGGAATGAAGATGGTGTTTATCAATTGTCTTTTGGTCTTCATGGTTATATCTGGATGTTTAAGCAGAGGTGATAGTTGGTATGTAACAGCATTTGCTTTCTGTATTCTTGTTTCTATCTCTCTGTCCATTCTTCCATCCTCTGTAAATATACTGCCCAAGTATTTGAACTCTTTGGTTTGCTTGATTTTGGCACTTCCAACACTTATATTCAGTGGCCTGTGTGTTCTGCTGATCTTCATAACTTCTGTTTTTTCTGTACTGATTCTCATATTATGTTGTAAACAGCTGTTGTTGAGAGTATTCAGATGTTCCTGTAGATCATGTTCATTTTGATAGCTTGTCTTTTACACGGTCGAATATGTCTTTCACAAAGACGTTCAGCTCTTTTATCGTATTCGAGTGTCTTTTCACAAGACTTTGTCTTAGTGCAAATATGGCATCAGTGCAACCTCGCCCTTTCCTGAAACCGAATTGTGCTTTACTCAGTAGAGGTTCAACCTTTGCTCTTTTCCTACCTTCTAAGATCTTTGCATACATTTTCCCCACATGACTTAGTAAAGATATTCCTCTATAAGTTCCACATTCTCTCTTGTTTCCTTTTTTCTTCCAGATAGGTACTACAACTGATCTTTGCCAATCCACTGGTACCTTTCTCTCTGCCCATGCTCTATTGAAAATTCTCTCCAGCCAGGTGATCATAGTGTCCCCTCCAGCCTGGATGACTTCTGTTGTTATTCCGTCGATACCAGCTGCTTTGTGTCTTTTACTTGTTTTGATAACTTTCTCTACTTCATCCCGCAGGATATGTGGTTCTAGATGATCTGGAGCCCTTGAATGGAATTCTGCTGTTTCATGTATTCCCGACGGGTTCAAAAGTTCTTTAAAATATTCCTCCCATTTTTTTTTAATTTTTTTTTTGGCTGAATAATGGTTTTCCATTTTTATCATTTATGACTGATGTTGGATTGAAGCTTTCTTCTCTTAATCGCATCGCTTTCACACTCTTATAAAAGTCTCTTGATGATTCTGTACATAGCTGTGTTAGGTGTTCACCATACTTTTTCCATGATTCCTCTTTGGATTTCTTTATTGTTCTCTTGGTGTCTCTTCGAGTTAGTCTGTACCTAATGTAATCCTTTTCGTCTTTTGTTTTTAACCATATTTGAAACATCTTCTTTTTATTTGACACTGCTTCTTTGACTTCTTCATTCCACCAAGCGGTACCCTTTTTCTTGCCTTTGCCCGTCTTTCTGGTACCACACTTATCTTTTAATATCTTCGTGATGGTTGATTTATAATAATCCCATTCTTCTTTAATACCTGCTTTCTTTTCTTGAAGAAGAATGGGATTATTATAAATCAACCATCACGAAGATATTAAAAGACAAGTGTGGTACCAGAAAGACGGGCAAAGGCAAGAAAAAGGGTACCGCTTGGTGGAATGAAGAAGGCCTTCTGACCTGTCTTATTTGTCAAGAAAAACTTACACACAACAAGAATTCAAATTTGGAGATACACTTTATAGCAAAACATTCGTCATTTGACAGTAAATATCCCGCTGGTGATGCCAGGAAGAAAGCAGTTGAGGAACTTCTGAAGGGTTAAAAAATAAAGCAGTTGAGGAACTTCTGAAGGGTTAAAAAATATCAAGTTCTGTATTTTTATTCTTGGGTGCAATCTTGTAGCAATGTTAACAGATGGTGAATAAATTTAAAGTTGTTTTATAAATGCATCTGAACAGCTATTTCTGGAATTTTACAAACAAGGAAGATATTCAATAAAAAATTAGAGAATTACGACTGTCTACTAAAACTGTAAGAGACAGAATAGTCAAAATGTCTTCAAATATAACCAATCAGCAAACTGAAGATCTGAAACTGGTTTCAGCTTTGTCAATAGCTGCTGGCCAATCTTGTAACATAGATGGTACAGAACAAGTTTCACTTTTTTTGGTTCAATTTGTTTTCGTCCACGAGTACTGAAGAAGAACTTTAAGGATTATTACCGCTAAAAAGTCCAACAAGTGGCGAGAATTTTCAAATTACACGGCCAAGGGATCATTTCCATAAATGTCTAGGAACTGTCAAACACGAAAGCATCCAGGAAAAGAACTGGTCAACTCATCTCAAGATACCATAACCTATAATAGGGCTATTCAACTAAGTTTATTCAGATGCCAAAATGTTAAAAATGTGGATCATTGCAGAGCAGAGCCTCCAAGCCCCAGTGTAGAAAGATCATTCATCATACAATACAATTAGCAATGATTTGCTGGCCAGATTCTGCCTGCGGGTTGCCAGTTGTACAGCCTTGACCTAGGTTACACAAAGGCCAAGGTCAGGCCTCATGTACCCAGACATATTCATGTATTTACACATACACATGGTTTCAAAATTAAAACTACCTACAGTACTTACATTTATCAGAGTCTGAAAACTGTAGAAAGAAATGCAAGCACTGGTTAAGATACATGCAACAAAGAGTTTGAATAATAAAATTACTTCTACACCAAACAAATATCAGATTATAATTAGCATATTTACCAAAACAAATCAATCCTGTATCACAAGGAACAAAAAAGATTAGCAAAATTAATTAAAGTGATAACTCATTTACCATCAAAATTAATTAAAGTGATAACTCATTTACCATCAAAATTAATTAAAGTGATAACTCATTTACCATCAAAATTAATTAAAGTGATAACTCATTTACCATCAAAATTAATTAAAGTGATAGTGCATCTACTATGATAAATTAATTAACGTGATAACTCATTTACTACCATAATTAATTAAAGTGACAACTCATTAACTATAAAAACTAATTAAAGTGACAACTCAGTGACTTTCATAATTAATTAAAGTTACAACTCATTTACTTCTCACAAACTCTCCCACCTCGTTCGCTTTCCTACCCCATGTGTCACTTAGATCCTTTGCCTGTTTTTTCTTACTTCTCACAAACTCTCCCACCTCATTCGCTTTCCTACCCCATGTGTCACTTAGATCCGTTCACAGTTTTTGTACTGGTCAGCCGCTGCCCCTCTTTCCCAGTGCCATGCCTTCTGTTATTTTTTTTTTTTAATCTGCCGTAGCACTTGACATGGCCAAAATATTCAGTTTCCGAGACAAGATGCTGTTTACTAGCCAATCTTCTCCTATGTTCAGATCTTTTAGAATGTATATTTTTTTTCCTCTGCATTCTGAGAATCTTTCTGCAGCATTTCAGCGCAAAAGCCCCTATTTTCTTCCCAAGGAGTGGGAGATAGTGCAAGACCTGCATGAGTCATGTTGTTTCAATGAAGATGCATACTCTCAAGGCTATGACTTTGATTTCCTTGCTGTGCTTAACCATACACCTTTAATAATAAAAATAACACATACATACATATTAAACATAATAATGAATCCAGCGAACTGCGACTAAAAAAGCTTAACGAAACGGGAAAGCAGACAAAACGTGCACAAAAACAACACAAATCAATGTTTCGGCCAGGGGCCTTTCTCAACATGAACTGAACTACACAATAGTACCAAAAAGAAGAGTACTCCAACCACATATTACTTACAAGAGAACTATGAAGTTAATGATGCCCCATATGAACTCTGTGACAAATGACAGACACCATGGAGACCGAGACTCCAAAACTTGACCTAGATAAATGACACCAAATCAAACATGTCAGACACAGAACTGTCTATTCTTTATCTCATTCAGGCAACGAGAAGTCAATTCTCTAGCAGTGATTTGCACTGGCATAGGTATATGATAAATACAGATTACAGATAACATAAAACAATTTCTTCTAAATATTAAACTATTCAGACACAATAGGTTTTTAAAATTATAGCCTCCAGATAACAACAGTGTCCAATGAAAGAATTCTGACATGTGACCAAAAAGATATCAATAAAAGGATGCCATCATTTATGTAGGGGCAGCAAGTTTAAATCCCTGTGCGCCTCTAGCTTCCAACTTGTATATGACCTAGTATGTCTTCTGATCTCCACGTCTTTTCTTAACTTCTATGAGCTGCCTGGTAAAGATGAGGAAATGACAATGTTTGTATGGAAATGTCCTGAGTCCAGTAATGTTGGTTCTTGACTCGACTCAACTTCCCTGAGTGTAAACCTGAGACATTCCTCATGTTATTTCTCTTGTCAGAGCCATGGTAGCAGTCAGCCATGGTAGCAGGGAGTCATGGTAGTAGGGAGCCATGGTAGTAGGGAGCTATGGTAGCAGGGTGCATTGGTAGCAGTGAGCCATAGTCGCAGGGTGCAATGGTGGCAGGGAGCCATAGCAGTGAGCCATGATAGAAGGGAGCCATAGTAGCAGTGAGCCATGGTAGCTGGGTGCCATGGTAGTAGTGAGCCATGGTAGCAGTGAGCCATGGTAGCACAGAGCTATGGTAGCAGGGAGCCTTGGTAGCAGGGAGCCTTGGTAGCAAAGAGCCAGGGTAGCAGTGAGCCATGGTAGCAGTGAGCCATGGTAGCAGTGAGCCATGGTAGCAGTAAGCCATGGTAGCAGTAAGCCATGGTAGCAGAGAGCCAGGGTAGCAGTGAGCCATGGTAGCAGAGAGCCATGGTAGTAGGGAGCCATGGTAGCAGTGAGCCATGGCAGCAGGGTGCCATGGTAGCAGAGAGCTATGGTAGTAGGGAGCCATGGTAGCAGTGAGCCATGGTAGCAGTGAGCCATGGTAGCAGAGAGCCATGGTAGCAGGGTGCCATGGTAGCAGAGAGCTATGGTAGTAGGGAGCCATGGTAGCAGTGAGCCATGGTAGCTGTGAGCCATGGAAGCAGTGAGCCATGGTAGCAGAGAGCCATGGTAGTAGGGAGCCATGATAGCAGTGAGCCATGGTAGCAGGGAGCCATGGTAGCAGAGAGCCATGGTAGTAGGGAGCCATGGTAGCAGTGAGCCATGGCAGCAGTGAGCCATGGCAGCAGAGAGCCATGGTAGCAGGGTCCCATGGTAGCAGGGAGCCATGGTGGCAGGGTGCCATGGTAGCAAGGTGCCATGGCAGAAGGGAGCTATGGTAGCAGGGAACCATGGTTGGACACTTGACTGCTGGCCCGAAGTTCGGCTTGGAATCAGCATTCTTCTTCTTATAGTCCCTGCCATGTAGTGTTGGTAGTCATGTTAATCCAAAGCCTTCTATCTCATGTATTTTCAATAAATTCTGACACAAATGATCTTTCATGCCATAATGTCAAACTGTCAGCATGATGTGGTCAGCATCAGTCCAGCTGCCTTTACTTCCTTGGACTGCACCCAGTACCCACTCAAAACTCGGTTTACCTGGGAGTCAAGGTCATTTTTTTCAAAAGTCTGGCTCCGCCAGGGAGCGAACCCACAACCTTCCGATCCGCACGCGAGCATCTAGCTGCTATGCCACAATGACTTCCACATCCCTCATTGGGAAAGATTAAACATCCTTTCCTGTTTGGTCAGCGACAGCACTAGCCATCCGGCCCTAAATACTCAGTCTCACAACATTCCTGTCTAAACCAGCCTAAAAAGTGGTACACACAGACAGTAGTGACAGTCACCCATTGAGTACCAGCTGGTCTATAGATAAATATGTGGGTCTAGCATCATGTTCCAGCCAAATGTTTCAGCCGTGCTTAACGGATACTTTGCTATTTCAGGAGCCAGACTTTTTCAAAAATGACCTTGGCTTCCAGGTTGAGTGGGTACTGGGTGCAGTCCAAGGAAGTAAAGGCGGCCGGCGTGTATGTCATTGTCAAGCACATAATAAAAAATGTTGCTTTTTAGAGAAAACAATAAAGTTTTTATTTTCTCAGATAAGCTTTCGAAGTCATCTTCCCAGACAGCGATGATTTTATTTATCAGAAACTGCAACGCAGTCTATTCTTAACTGACAACTTTCTTATTTATCTTTTCTGAGAACTTCAGGTTCCTGAAATACTCGGGATCAAACCCTTTCACGGACGGATATCTGTTAGAATCGGGTCTGTCTGTATATGTGTTTGTTTAATTTTTCAGAATCACCGTAACTGTGTCTACAAAACAAATTCCTTCAATTCCACTGTCTGGCAGTAACTGTAAACTCTAGAGTAGACTCGCAGTACTCTGCTGCTAGAATTTTACTCACACTCGACTCACAGCCGTAACTTAACGGCCTACAATATAAACTAAATCAAAATGTAGTTTTTCAATCTCAACACAGGTTTAACACCAGAGTAACTATTTATATATTTCTTTTAAAGGCATACAGATAACTGATGCTTACCATCTGTTGAAATGTACGGCATTTTGTTGAAGTAGTTATGATTGCAAGACACATCATCATCCAATCACGGCCATCTTCTGTAGGTGAAGTTACAAAACTGATCCAACCAGGGCTGCCAATGGGATTTTTTTTTTTTTGTTTAACCCAGCTAAGCTGATCAAAAACCCAAGCAATACATAAGCAAAGAACACATATTGTTATAAAATACAAATGTTATAGCTAGAAAACGAAAAATTTACCTTTTTTATATAAGGTTATTTTTTTCAAAAACTCAGATTTTAAAATATGAACCCAAGGCGTCAAATAAAATCCCAGATCTGGGGGAAACCCCCATCATTGGCAGCCCTGAATGTAACACTGCACCCTTAATGATACGTCACTCAATCTGTATCAGTGAGTCAGCTGGTTTGAACTTTCTCGAATGTACTTATAGATTTGATATAGAGAAATATATATATATGTGTGTGTGTGTGTGTGAGTGTGTGTGTGTGTGTGTGTGTCAGTTAATCAGGTGCCGTCTTCACAATGAAAGCTGACTGCAATGAATCTCTGATACGCTCTGTCTCGCCCTGAAAAAGTAATTTTCACAAAAATATCCTGTTCAACTCCTGGTTTATAATTTGGTTATAAAGTGTTGATTGGATTGAGTTTTCAGTGTGTGAGTGTGTGTGTGTGTACATACTTGATTGACTGACTGATGTTCTACCTCACCAGAACCGCACAATGAGCGATAAGAAGCCGGTAACACAAAGTGCCACTATTCGGATGAGAATCACCTGGGCACAGCTCCCAGCAACCCCATTCAATCCGTACGCTATATTTAACCCAGACGACATCCGCGTATGGCTTTGAAATAACAAACAATTGCGTCCTACGTTAGGACGGGAAAATAGAACATGTTGTGACCACTGGAAAGATCTGTGGAAGGAGAGATAGAGGAAGACAAGAAGAGAAGATGCTTAACAGTCTTGTTGCATGGCATGGAGGTGTGCCGGCACACAAACTAATACATGCTGCAGGAGATCGCAGATTATGGAGAGGCATGATCGCCCACGCCAGTCGGCAATGCACCTGATGATGATGATGTTATGACGGGGTTTACACGCCTCTTGGGTATATTGCGAAACTCGAAACCATCACCCCCCCCCCCTCTTTTTGTACACGGCAAGGCCCCCTCCCCAGCAACAAAATGTTATTTTAATAAGGACAATAGATTCCGCAACAAACGAAACAGAAAATATAGTTTGTGTTCTCAATTTACAATTAAATGCTAGTGTAGTCATAATTAATTAAATTTTTTAACTGCAGGTTTACAATCTGCTTTTGAAAACAAAACATTTCTTGTTTTTTATTTTTTATTTTTATTTTACAAATAGTTCTAAAAGACATGTTATTTACAATAAAACTATAAAAAAATAATATAACGGATTATTACAAATACAAATGCACTCAAATTTAAAACTGCTTGCCGCCTTCTTGTAACCACGGCCAGCTCCAGATTTTTTTTCTGGGTGAAAAAAGTATTGCACATATCAATTTTATACTGATTGTGCTTGTTTACTAATTATTAAATAACAGTATAATTATATGTTGTAGTAGTCTACTAATAATAATAATAACCATCAATTATTTATATTTATGTTATGTATGATATGTGTATGTTTCATAGCAGTATTTTTGTGCGCTAAATTTGATAAAGTACACATGTCACCCCTCCCCTCCCCCACCCCCACCCGCTCCTCTGATGCAACAATACCCTCTCAGAATCAAAGAGTTAGCACTGATATTTCTTTACATTTGCTGGAACAACTTTTAGTTTACATCTAAACGTCATTGATGTTTATGTTCATGTTGACTGTAGCAAAAGCATTTTTGTTTGTCTGTAAGAGCCTTTATTGTTATATTTATTCGGCACACTTATTTACCTTAAAAATGACGTATAGATCTAAAAAAATATGTCGAAAATTAATGAAACTGTAGTTTAATTTGCGTATACATCTCCTCGATAAAAACTGTGGACGCAGAGGGACTCAATTCTTGCACAAGAACGGGAATTCCCGTTCGAGCTGTACGGCCTTATAAAAATCTGGAGCTGGCCGTGCTTGTAACCTATCGCAGATAGGTAGATGCTTTGCTGGGGAGGGGGAAATCGTCACGTTTAACCAGCATCCCTGAAGGGGGAGTTTTAGGTTATAATTACTAGGTTATGTGCGCCATATAAAATGGGTATTGCATGCCATCAAGAGCCCTGAAAAGGACGCCTGCAGTGTTGATGCGATCAAAGGAGACCGTTCCAAATTGTGCCTATACCGGCGACGAAGTCGTCTACCGGCGAGCAACTGGGCGACCCAGTCGTCGATAACCCTCCCCAGGTTGGAGACCACTGGTTAAGATAATCGGAATGTACAGGGTGTTTGTAAAGTGAAACTACACTTTGTAGAACAAATTTGAAAAACGGAGTACATGACGTCATAACAACATTTTTTTGATGTTCTGCTCAGTCAATCGTGAAGCAATATGCAGTGAATTGCTGTTGTACGCTGTTCTCATAACACAATGATTTTATCAACGGAAGACATTTTTGGGGGGGGGGGGGGAGTTGGATAGGGGTGGGGGGGGGAATTTTTTTTTTAAATGGCTGTCGATACACATGGATGGTTGGTCAAAAATTTAAAGCAAGATTTCCTGGTATTATAGTTAGCAAATGTTGGATGCAAAAATAGTGCACACACAGTTGAGGAAATGAAAGAAGCAAACAGAATTACCATTCAAGAAATAACAACAGACATAATATGAAGAGGTGTGTACCTTTCCCACACCTGTTATAATGAATATTTAATTAGTACTTAACAGCTTGTCCAAAAGAGTGTTAAACCATAGCAGTGAATATTGAAATCAATTTAATGACTGTTTTTAGCACTTTGGATGATGATGTGTTTTCTGTTTTTCAGATTTATTCTGTATACAGAGTTTAGTGAGACTTTACAAACACCCTGTATATTGTGTTCTTAATAGAAGATTTCTATGTCCAAGGGAGTTTTATTTTCTGGAGGTATGCAATGGTGCGCAGTACCAGCACCTTTCTTAGGCATATTTTTTTCAGCACTACTGTACAAGAAGGGAAACACTGTGTTGCAGTGTCTAGATGACCACCTGCGGTTAAAAAAGTACTGGGTTCAGGATTTTAAAAAAACATTTATCTTGGCCCCCAGATCGACCCAGCCTTGAGTGGGTATCAGGTATAGTCCTGGGAGGTAAAGGCAGCCGGTCTGATGTTTACCACATTACCCACCCAGGGCTGATCGGTCTGTCAAATATAGGTCTAGCGCTTATTCTCTTAAAATACCTAAAGGTGTGAAATAAGGATCCTTTACTTACTGTACGAGACCATTTGTGGTGAGTGCCGGCACTTTTTTTAGACACTACATGATGAGTATCGGTACCTGCTTTTATTTCTCTAGAAAAATAAAAGCGCTGATTAGTCCACTGTCCCTTCTCATTCTTTTTTTTTTCTTGCATTCACGAGCTGTAAACTCCAGCATAAAGTTCTTGCTGTTCCTCCTCTTCTGAACTTTTGTCTTGTTACAGAAAAGTTTTGCCTCCGCAGCTGTTTTACAAATCTTGTTTGTTTGTATGCCGGTTGCTGGTTCCTCGTCTACTAGGCAGATGCAATCCTACGGATGGTTCAGTGCCAAGAGGCAAAAGAAATGCTTGGGGCTTCTTAGCAAAAGTTGATAGTAGACATTTGGTGCAGGAGAGCCTAGCATTTGATACCACAATATCCAGCTTGATAATGGAGGTGGAGGCGGTCATTTCAGCTTTCTGCTGGTTAGAGAACACGACACACACACACATCGTGATTGTAACTGACTCAGAAAGCATGCTGAGGAAGGTCAGGACAGGCATGCTTTGTGCAATGTGGCATGCTTTGCTGCTGAAGTCACGGGAGAGAAGTATTGTCTGGATTTTTCCTCCGGAGCACACTGGTGTGTTGGAAAATGAACAGGTGGATAGACTGGCTGGTTCTGCATGTCTTGTCGGAATACTGATGCATGATAAGGCAGACATGGTTAGGGCCGTGTGGGAGAGCCTGTACAATTTAGAGAAGCAAATGGATCACCACAGTCTGGTTAAGAGTGATGCAGCAAGAAGACAGGCAAGACGAACAATTAATCAAAATGCTACTGGCACCATTTTTTTTAAACTCTGCACTGGCTGCTGAAGATGGAGATGGAGCACTTTTGAGAATGCCTTGAATGCTGTCATAATGGTTCTTGAATCAACTCAGCTCAATCCTACTTCAAAGGAAACCTCCCTAATAAGTTGCCTTTTATGACATGCTTGTTAGTGGACAGTGAGTCTTTACCAAAAGTACACGGTGCAATGGATTGTGGAGAACCTCAGACAATTAGAGAACTGACTGTACACCTCAGAAGGAAACAATCAACATTCTTTGGCCACATCATGAGAAGGAGAAAACTGGAGTACAGCGGGACAGTAGGAAAGTTGGAGGGGAAAAGAGGCAGAGGATGATAGAGAGAGAGAGAGAGATTGCTGGATAGTTTGATATCATGATATGGAAGATCATCTGTGTCAGAACTTATTGAAAGTAAACAAGACAGAAGTTTGTGGATAGACATGACTACCACACGGCATGGACTATAAAAAGTAGTAGTAGTAGCTAGTAGTTTTACATCTTACTGGGTACATTTACTTCTGTTTACTAGGCCTTTAGTGTTTTCAAAGTTGTTGACCAGGTCGAATGATTGATGATTGTAAGTAAAAAGTAAAGTAAAGGACCCTTTTCCACGCCTTTTAGGCCTATAGGGCTAGACCCATATTTTTGTAGACCAATCAACACAAGATGGGTGATATGGTCAGCATCACGCGGGCCACCTCTACTTTCCAGGACTGCACCCGGTACCCACTCAAGGCTGGGTCGACCTGGGAGCCAAGATTATTTTTGAAAAAAGTCTAGCTCTGCCAGGGAGCGAACCCACGACCTTCCGATCTGCGGCGAGCGTCTAGCTGCTCCGCCAAGGGGACTCCCCCACCTCAATACCTGTATCATTCATGTCCTGCTTGCACACATCTTTAAATCGTAGGAGATATCTTCTACCCATCTTCAATTCACCATAGAGTATGTCCTTAGGGACATCTTGGCCTATGTGTGCAAGATATAGCGTGTTACCAGAGTATTCTTATTTGTTTTTGCTACCTGTCACAGAGTCTAAAGATGGCATCTGTACAGCATTTGTTTCTCCTGACAGCCACTTGTGATTCACTGAGTTCAATACCTTTTTAACTTTACTATCTAGCTCCCTTCTCTATGTGTTTTCATCTTCCTTTATTTCTATGCCCCTGTGAGTTCCAGTGCAAAGACATTCTAGTTTTATTGTTCTCAGGTTTTCTCAACGTGTGTCCTATCGATCACCAGCATCTCCCAAAGCTATATATTATCATACCATTTAATTTCCTCTAACAGTGTTCATGCCTGTTAATGCATGGATAGTTTACCCTACATGCCCGAGCCATGTAGGCGTGTTTAGGAATGAGCAGGCAGATAGGTTGGCCGGATGGCCCCACTGCAAATGTTTAAGGCAGAGTTGATCTCTAGTCTGTGGGACAAAGTAACAAGTAAAATGTAAGATAATGAAAACCCGTAAGAGCAAAGAATGATGTGACAGGGAGTGTCTATGAACTCTGAGTGCTACTTGAGGGAAAGGCAAGACCAGTAGTTAGCCAGGTGACAAAAGGTACCATTATTATGGAGACACTCTGCTGGCTGTTGAGAAGGGGGACGGATCGTATGGCCAGAATGCTGTGATGGTGAATATTTACATACCAGCTTGACCCCTTTGGCTTTGAGACTCAGATTAAGATTCAGAGCACATCTTCACCATAAGAATGTCACCGATTCCACCACATGCAGACCTGCAGCATGACAGCAAACTGTTATGTCTTACCAGATAATCCAGATTTTGTTAGACAAGGAAATCTCACCTACAGGAGTAACTGTGTGTGTGTGCATGTCAAGAATCTTGCCAAGGCATGGAAGGTGTCAGCACATGAACTGATTCATTCATGCTGTTGGCGATACCACAATGTGGTCATTAAGCATGACTGCTCAAATCAGATGGCAAGACACTTTATGATAATGATGATGAACAAACAAGTCAGACAAATACTAGCAGCACTGTGCATACAAAGAGCAAAATAATTACCTCACACACAACAAAAAGCAACCAACAAACACACACACTTCTAGAACTGCAAGGACACAAAAGAGAACTGACATAAGTAGCCAATCCTAGAAGGCCAGTTCATGAACACTTAAGCACTTAATTATCAACCCTTCCTGGTGACTGTAAAACTGTGAGACGTCAGTACAAATATATATATATATATTTTTTTTTAAATATGAGATGTCAGTACCCACACATATTTTCATACTGTAAGATGTCAGTACCCATTCATATTTTTAAACTCTGAGATGTCAGTACCCATACATATTTTTAAACTCTGAGATGTCAGTATCCACACATTTTTAAACTCTGAGATGTCAGTATCCACACATTTTTAAACTCTGAGATGTCAGTACCCACACATTTTTAAACTCTGAGATGTCAGTATCCACACATTTTAAAACTCTGAGATGTCAGTACCCATTCATATTTTTAAACTCTGAGATGTCAGTATCCACATATTTTTAAACTCTGAGATGTCAGTACCCACACATATTTTTTAACTCTGAGATGTCAGTACCCACACATATTTTTAAACTCTGAGATGTCAGTACCCACACATATTTTTAAACTCTGAGATGTCAGTACCCACACATATTTTTAAACTCTGAAATGTCAGTACCCACACATATTTTTAAACTCTGAGATGTCAGTACCCACACATATTTTTTAACTCTTGAGACGTCAGTACCCACACATATTTTTAAACTCTGAGATGTCAGTACCCACACATATTTTTTAACTCTGAGATGTCAGTACCCACACATATTTTTAAACTCTGAGATGTCAGTACCCACACATATTTTTAAACTCTGAGATGTCAGTACCCACACATATTTTTTAACTCTTGAGACGTCAGTACCCACAAATATTTTTAAACTGTGAGACATCTGTACCCACACATATTTTTAAACTGTGAGACATCTGTACCCACACATATTTTTAAACTGAAATGTCAGTACACACACAATCAGATACGAGTCGCCTCTGATGTGTCAAAGACAGCGGTGGCCCTGATGCTTGATGGGTGGGCCATACAACCTGTTGTCAGGTAATGAGAAATTAAACTAAATATCTATTCTATATCCCTGTGGTAGGTAAACTTTTTGCAGCATATTTAACGGGAGTTTGATTTCATTGGGGTCATAGGGTCATGGTCAACTGTCTGGTGCAACATCAGTCCCAGCACTCCCATGCGGTTAGACATGGCCATTCTAATGTTCCGTTCTTGTTCAAAAAGGTCATCCAGCTTCATCCACTGTACAAAAATACCAAGTATACAACAGTTAACATAAACAAACATTAAACACATAAACCTGTAACAAAATGGAACCTATCAATCAAATCTCTTTCTTAAATGCTCGTGTATTATCTGTTGAATGTTCAATTAAGAATCAACATCACAGTACTCAGGACATCTCCATGTGGGTTCCGGGGCCCCACTGTGGGGAAGACAAGAATCGACCCACTGCCTCCCCAAAAGCATGTCGTAAGAGTCGACTAATTGGGTAGCTTCTTTTGAAGTCGGAGTACGTCTGCCTGAGAGGCAAGGAACCAACAGTCTGCACTCAAGTGAATGAGATCTGTAAAACTGATGCACACGCAACACTCGAGTTCTGGAGCAGGACTGCAGTTCAGAAGTGGACAAACAACCAGAACTTTCCGCCAGGGTGTACAGCTGGTGAACTATAAGAAGAAGAAAAAGTATTCAGGACACTCCCATAAGTGCTTAGTCCTCATCTTCAGCAGCAAGTAAAGAGTTTCAATTCTGATGGTACCAGTAACCGTCTGACTGTTTTTCCGTCTTATCCTTCCCCGAGTGTTGAGATTCCCTGGTAACTTCTCGCAGCGCCATTCTCCTTAGACCATTGTGATATATCTGCGCCTCCGAATTGTTCACCCTTTCCCAAAGGGCCCTCACAATATCTAACTTGTCATACGTCAATTCACCACCAAGTGGTGCAGAGCCAGCCAGTCTATCTGCTCATTTCCCAACACACCGGCATCTCCTGGAGAAAATATCCAAAGAATGCTAACTACCCGGGACCTCTGAAGTAATGCTTGACATTCTGCATGAAGCATTCGTCTTCACCTTTCTCAACATGCTCTGCGAGTCAGTTACAATCATGGCATGTGTGTTCAGCTGATTCTTAAGCCAGCGGAAGGCAGCAGAGACTGCCTTCACCTTCATTCTCAAACTAGACGTGATATCATATGCAAGGTTTTGCTGCACTTGGCGACGCCCACTCATCTTTGCTATGAAACCCCATGCACTTTGTCTGCCCCTCAACACATAGCCATCTGAAAAGATACACTTGTTTCCATAGTCAGACGCAGACGCACATGCCATTTGGAAGTGACAGGTTCGATTCCCGGCATGGTAATCATAGCGCTAGATTTTTATGTTGTCTAGTGAGACCTCCTTTCTACTTCTTTCTATAAGTGCTAATCAATACACTGTCTGTTTGTTTATTATAATTATAAAGACAATTAAGAGAAGCAGTAGTAACATTTTTAGAAGATAAACATAAGTATGGTGATGTCAGCACATGCAGTAATAACATTAGAGAGTCACCTCTTCTTCTTCTTCTTTCGTTCGCCTGAAATAAGTTATCTATATCAGCAGTTTTGTCTCTTGTATAAATTTCACTGTCGTTGTTAGTTCATTCAGTGGTCCATAGAGTTTACGTTCCACTGTTGTTCTTTCTGGCCAAAAGGTTTGCCTTAATGTGTCAAAATCGGTGCAGTCCTGGAGTACATGCTCTGCGGTCTGGGGCACATTTCCACAGGTGCACATGGCTGATACACCTATCTTGAATTTTGTGTACATGTGGTTACGTAATCGGTTGTGCCCTGTTCTGAGGCGGAAGATAATGACTTATCACCTCCTCATGTGGGTTCTGGGACCCATTGTCTTCATGTTGTAGGGGTTTAGGAATTTGCTGGAACTGGCTGCGTTTGGCCAAAAATGTGGAAGATACTGCAGCCTAGCTGTAAACCACAACATACCACCTGCCCTTTTTATGGCAAATGCAGAAGAAGAAAGAGTCACAGACATATAACCTAAGAACACGCAGCAATCACATTATATGGAAGACACATAAGCATAACAACGTTAGCAGACCTGACTTCCTGTATTTTGTTGCTAAAATTACGTACGAGGTAGTTAACCCTTCATACACATGAGGGATTCAAATTAAAACCTTAAAACTGTGACGGAAATTACCATAACCATATCAATGTTTTGTAATCTGTCAATACTTTTGTTAAGGATTAAGGAATTAGAGAGAAAGTCGGAATAAGACCATGTCTGGTTTATACTGAGACAAAGAATGAAATGGTTCAGCCCTCTAGTGAGAATGCAGCCAGACCAAACCAAATATGAGACTTTTTACAGCAGACTAGCCGGTAGAAAGGGTAGAGGAAGATCAAGAAAGAGATGGATAAATGGTGTAGCTGAAACCTGCAAAAAAAGATGAACAAATCCCTTAGCCAAGCCACCCGAGAAGCACAAGACAAATACACGCACAAAAACATAGCAAAGGGCTACGACCTAGTATTAGTGAGACAACAAAAGAAGAAGAAGAAAGATTAACAATGTCAAGAATGTTAAGCAGGTGACACAATGGGGCAGATGAACACGGTGATGTCATAATGACAGTTTAAATATAACTGCCCCACTTTTGATATGCACCAAAGAAGAGAGGCATTTCGATATCCTTTTTTTTAAAGTCAGTATAACTGTTCTTATCTTTACTTATAAACTTTGATAACACATGGCAGAGATCTGGTTATATGTGATATAGCCGGATGAGCTAGCAGGCAACAAATTAGGCAGTAGCAGAACAAAACTTTGGGTTGGTTGCATTAAGGAGTTTGCTTTCTCTTCTTTTGCATTCACAGCTCTTTTAGGTTCACTGCTGCAGATATCATCCACTTCAATTCATCTCTAAGATTAGCCTTCTCTTTCCACTTGATGACTTCAAGTGTCTGTAGATCTAACAGTAGATTATCACTCCAACATCTTCTTGTTTGGCTTTGTGATCTACTGCCATTTAATGTGTGCGCAGTTTCTGTTATTTAGTTAACTGTAATTCTCTCAATATACCCCAAGATCACAGTCTATTAGCTCTCATGATGAAGGTTATTAGAGGTGTTAAAAAAACCAGATTATGCAATGTGTGGGTTCCAGAGTTTTGTTTTGGACAACAAAGAATAGACACCCCAAACACGCATGGCACAGAAAGTGACTAATTAGGGGTGTTTCCTTCATAGTCAAGAGTCCATCTGCCTGACAGGCAAGGAACTAACAGTCTGCATACAATTAAACCAGATCTGTAAAATGGATGTGCACATAAGTTTACTTTTAGAAAATATCAAATTACAATTATTTCAGAGTCCTGAACACACTTTATTTTAGTTTCATTATTTTCTGCATCTCAAAAATTCACTAGCACTAAAAGCAATAACAACACAAGCAAATACCTGTCTCAGTCGGTGCATGTCAATTTCTGCCCGTCGCAGTTTCTCCCAGCAGAAGTGCTTGACACATTTTTTCTTAGGGGCCCTGCACAAAGTTTCACCCTCTTCAAACAGCTCTGTGTTTATGGGGCACCCACAGACTGCATCTGGTGGGACCTACAGGACATGAAATAAGACCAGATATAAGACCGAACGAAAAGTATATTGGCAAGCTTCCCAATATAACAAATACAAACAAAACGTGAACGTTACGGCTATGGAGCCTTTGTCAGCACATACATTTCAAAACAATACTACACAAATACACAAAATTTCTTAGCTGGTATCCCGAAGCAGCTGGGTCGATGGTTTCTCAACAGACATAAGACAGTTTTACTGTAGAATCTCTAGCTATTTCCAGGGGTAGGTGCCATTTGTTTCCCCGTCTACAAGACACCTCCATGTACAAGACACCTCCATGCACAAGATGCCCCTACCCACCCCCCCCCCCCCCCCCCCCTTTTAGCATACAATTAAGAAATAAATATTGTAAACACATTAAGTGTATGAGATGAACCCCAATTTTTAAATTTGGGGAACAACTCATCTTAACATAGAAATATACATGGAAAAATATGGTAGCTCTGTTCTACTTAAAGGAAAAAAACATCAATGGTGCCGCTGTAATTATATCAAGCAGAAATAATGTGGTTGTAATTCTAAGTGGTAAAAGTTAAATTAAGTAAAGATCCCTTTTCACACCTAAGGTGCATTGGGTATTTGGGAAGAGCCTACCATATTTTTACAGACCAATCGGCACTGGATAGGTAATGTGGTCAGCATTACGCCGGCCGTCTTTACTTTCCCAGGACAGCCATCCTGGTACCCATTTTAGGCTGGGTCCACCTGTGATTCCCCCTATACCATGATCAAAATCCACTCAGCCAGCAGTGGGTTTCGATCGCGGTACGTTGGATTACGAGTCAGACTTGCAACGCCTAAGCCACAGATGCCGCAATTCTAAGTGGTGGACTGAGCTTAAGAGCAACCAACAGACAGTGGTTGGTAATGGTCAAAAGGATTACTTCATAGTGATAATAGCTGTGGTCACCATCCAGTATGGTCACTACCAAGAATATAAGCAATGACAAATGACCTTCTTTACAAGTTTCTAGTCCAATGATTGGAGAATGAGGCAGCGCTTCAAGAAACACAAATCCATAAAATGATTACAGAAATCAGATGCAGACATCCCTATGTGGGTTCCTGGGAAAGGCTGCTAATTAGGACTGTGTTGAAATATACTGTATTGGACCCAAAGGCGCAGATATCGCAGCCTAGCTGTAAACCACAACACAACATGCCAACCACCCTTTTAAGGGCAAGTGCAGCAGAAGAAGATGATGTTTGTTTATGAGTATTCAATGGATCAATATCATGGCCCATGGGTGTAACCCATAAGTGTTCCGTTCTACTTCTAACTCAAGCTTGAGTCTGAAGTTCTTTTGCAGTGCACGAACTCCGTTGCACTGGCAAGGATCCTGAAATACTTTGTGTAGATTTTAATCTCTAAATTTTTGCTCAGGCAGCGCCGTTAGGCTTCTCTTTTCAATTTCCAACTGCCAAGGGATTTTTTATGTGCACAAGAATACATACAGGCGTCAGGTCTTACTTGCCAGAGGCCAGGGAAAATTACTAGAAGTCAACGTGAAAAAATCCCAGCCTTCACCGGGGTTTGAACCCGGGTCCTCCAGCACACAAAGCGGACACCATACATTGAGATCACGCAGCCCCCGAAAAGAAGAAGACGATGCAGTTATCATTTTATGTTATGAAGAGAAGTTAACATGAAAAATGTGTGACAACTGACAAAACTGATAGGTAAAAAAGCAAAGTGGAAGATCCCCCCCCCCCCCCCCCCCAATTTTATTTGTTTATTTTCCGTAAGCCTTAGTGATATAAAACACAATCAATATAAATATAAATAAATCAAGTGACAACTATGGATCTGCAACTTTGATCAGACTTAAAGAAAATCAAGTCAACATGGAGAGCCTGAGGTTCTTTTTTTTACAAGAAGCCTAAGAATGAAAGTAACTAGAACATATATGATGTTGCTAGTCAGTATAGAAAAGCGGTTCTCACCCTGTGGGTCGCAACCCTTTTGTGGGTCAAACGACCCTTTCAGAGGGGTCACCAAAGACCATGGAAAACATATTATTAGAAACACGTTGCACTGAAGATTTCAAGTTGCAGCAAAAATAATTGTTTGGCTGTGGGTCACCACAACATGAGGAACTAATAAAGGGTAACCACATTAGGAAGCTTAAGAGCCACTGGTATAGAAGTATATAATGAGATACAAGCACTTCTGGACTTTGTGGTTTGACATGCAATAAAGACGATCTGCTGACCTACTAAATACAACATGGCATCACAAGACACTAAGATTCTCTTACCTTTGGTTCCTTGGTATGTTCAGGACACAAAACCTTTAACCGTTTGCAGTACATTTTCTGCTGAGGGTTGTAAAAATCACAAAACATGGAATTGCCCTCAATGCGAGTCTTGTATAAAGACCAGAAGGACGTCTGAGCTTCAAACTGAAAACAAGGAAACATGTGATGTACTTCAACAGACAGTCTTCTGAAAAGCCAGGACAATTGCACTGTTCTTATTTTACAAATTCAGACAATTAAGTAATGAGAATGATTTGATTGTAGCCAAGACAAAAAAGGCCATCTATGAAGCAAAGCATGGAATCCAAAGAGGCAACCTTCATCTATGATCTGGCAAATTTTCATCACCGCCTGTTAAGCAGACAGCAAACAGGCCACCATTTTTGTTGACCAAGTCAGAGATGCATTGTTACATAATCAGCATAGAAGCATGGAATCCAAAGAGGCAACCTTCATCTATGATCTGGCAAATTTTCATCACCGCCTGTTAAGCAGACAGCAAACAGGCCACCATTTTTGTTGACCAAGTCAGAGATGCATTGTTACATAATCAGCATAGAGCAAAAAGCCAACATTAAATTATGTTTAAAACTAAGAAAAAGCGCCACTGAGACAGCTGAATTGATGCAACAAGTTTATGGTGGTGTGGAAGTGATTACTAATGCAACTAGACCTGGACGTCCAATTTCTGTTCGTAATGAGGATCACATTGCAAAGGTCAGATCATTTTTTGACTGTGAGGATGATGGTAGATGAATTTGGTGTTAATAGAGAGACCAATTGTAAAATTTGGGCAAGAAAAGAGTTGCTTGATAGTTTGTACTTTCTTCATGATAATGCACCGGCTGACCGGATGGTAGTTGTACGAGAATTATTGGCCTTAAAACGAGTGTATGTTCTCAACCATGCACCATATTTCCCAGATTTGTCTTCCTGTGATTATTTTCTATTCCCAAAATTAAAGTTACCATTGAAAGGACGCTTCTTTGACAATACTGATGACATCGAAGGGCTGTAACATCGACTTTAAGAGCCATAACAACAGAAGAACTACAGAGGTCGTTCCAGTGTTTCTTAGATCGCGCCACTCGCTGTTTCAATGCACAAGGGTCTTACTTTGAAAAAAATAGAGGTTATTTCTTCAACTGTAGATTATTTTAATTCTTATGGAATTAGTCTCATTACTTAAATATTGGACCTTGTATTATTCATTAATGATTAATTCCTTCCTTTACCTCTTCATTAATGACTCTGTCACATGATGATAGAAAAAAAGAAGAAAAAAAAAGCAGATATATGAGATGCCTAAAATATATTAGCCACATTAACAGATGTAACCTTTAATTTTTTTTTTTATCAACCGTATCAGTGGGAAAAGTCAAAGGTAAGTCAGGAAGAGGTTGTAATAAGTGGTTTGTATTTCTACTCGTTGTCTAGGCAGTGTTCATGGGTGTGTGGTGGATGATATTCTCACACGCTCCACGTTACACAACTGGCACAAGCCGACACCGATGTGAGCTTACGAGACATGAATTTAAAGACGTATTAAGACTTACGACAAACGAATAGTCCCGTCGGTGTCCTAATGAACAGCTTTCGTACACAAACTCACGCAGCCTTCAACGAACAGTCTTCTTCAGCAGGCATTCAAGCAACGATGGGTTCCATGGATTCAACATTGATGTTTGGACATCTCACACGCTGGCATGGTCGATCTCAGCTTAACACTTCGTCGGCAGGTCTCCTTTCTCCTCAGGCATTCACGTAGACATTCTCACATTCAGACGCTCGTCCTCTCACTCCAACAGGTCGACACAAAACTTAACTTGACCAGAGTCAAGTCTGACTTATACCACGGGTTTCTTTCACGTGACAACACGTGGTGGTCCTTTACTTTTCCCGTGGCGACCTTGGGTCGCATCACCGTGGTCCCCGTGATAACTAGTGGTTAGTCACCTATCTCCAGATTCTCGTTTAATCCAAGTATCTGGACTATCTCGGTGTTTTCGGTCAGCTTTGGGCCTTCCCCCCAACTATCCTAAACTGAGTCGAAAATATCCCCCATTACAAGGTAGACAATGACACTAGTGGCAGGACAAAATCAAGAGACGGATGACAGCAGCCAGAGAGGGTACAATTAAGACAAAAGACTATATGAGATTCATTGCAACCAACCTTCACTGTGGAGATGCCACCTGAATGATTAAATAATGCCCTCCGTTAAGTTTTCTAATCACTGTATTTGTGTTTGGTTACTTTTTATTTGTCAGTGTCTGTGGCTTAGGCATTGCAAACGCGCTTAGTAATTCCATGATGAATCCCAGCTGTGGCCGCTTTGGAAGCAGAACGACTTGCATTTTTTCCGACAACGGTACTGGGAGCTGACCATTCAGTGGCAATGGCAAACTACTGGGGCCTCGTTAGCGCAGTCGATAAGAGGCTCGCTTTCAAATCCAGCTGCAACTCGCTGCAGCCCACTGTCGGTGTTTGTAACCGGGCGGTTCCCAGGGTTCACCCAGCCTCTAGGAAATGGGTACCAGAGTCGACACTCTGCTGTAAATGGAGGAACGTCGCTGTAGCTACAGAGTTACGTGCGGACGGCGACACAGGCGGACAATTCTCACCAGCTGTCCGTAACGGGTGGCAGAGCATTTATGGCTTATAACCGTGTGCAATGAAGCTGGTTCACATCTCCCGACTTTACCTTTACCATTTTTACCTTTTAATGGCAAACTACTGAACCTAAAATTTGCCTAGAAAAACTACAACAGCCCAAAAAATGCTGGGGTTGGTTTTGCAACGTCCTGTGAAGGATAAGCAACTAACTAACTACTTCTAATATATAAACTGTTTTCCCACAAAGACAAATTAGATAGTTACACAACAAAGTGACATGGCTGAACTACTGTTTACTGTTCTGTAAGTTACCCAAGTGAAATCATTAAACCTTTAGGTAGCACTTACACAACAAAGTGACATGGCTGATCTACTGTTTACTGTTCTGTAAGTTACCCAAGTGAAATCATCAAACCTTTAGGTAGAACTTACACAACAAAGTGACATGGCTGATCTACTGTTTACTGTTCTGTAAGTTACCCAAGTGAAATCATCAAACCTTTAGGTAGAACTTACACAACAAAGTGACATGGCTGATCTACTGTTTACTGTTCTGTAAGTTACCCAAGTGAAATCATCAAACCTTTAGGTAGAACTTACACAACAAAGTGACATGGCTGATCTACTGTTTACTGTTCTGTAAGTTACCCAAGTGAAATCATCAAACCTTTAGGTAGCACTTACACAACAAAGTGACATGGCTGATCTACTGTTTACTGTTTTGTAAGTTACCCAAGTGAAATCATCAAACCTTTAGGTAGCACTTACACAACAAAGTGACATGGCTGATCTACTGTTTCCTGTTCTGTAAGTTACCCAAGTGAAATCATCAAACCTTTAGGTAGCACTTACACAACAAAGTGACATGGCTGATCTACTGTTTACTGTTCTGTAAGTTACCCAAGTGAAATCATCATACCTTTAGGTAGCATTTTTCCATGTGTCTTAAAGCCCCCTTCTGGTTTAACTCAGTGCCACATGTCACACAGTACACACTCAACTCGGTGTCTTCTTCCTGGTCAGTTCCCTGCATTGAAAGAGAAGAAACACCCTAACATAGAAAAGTTGCTCAGAAAGTAATGTGCCACATGTTTTCCCCAGGAACTAGTCCCAATCTGTGAAATTCACATACAGTATTATGAGACATTTCCTTTATATATACTGTAATTTCACAAAACGAGCAAGCAATTCTACTGCATTACAACAGAGTGACTGATGGACATCCTTTCTTTTTCCTGTTTGTGGCTGGCTGAGCGGTTACAACGTCGGACTCTTATGCAGGAGACCCAAGTTTGACTCCCGGTAAGGTGATGAGGTTTTTATCTTGGCAGCAAAATTATACATCCTAACCTGCACAGTGTACTGTGACAGCACTAGCCAGGCGGCCCTAACTACACAGGCTGCACCATCCTAAAAAAGTGGTTAAACAGATAGCAGTGATGGGAAGCTAAATTTTGTTTATGTAACTGTGTCCAGTGTATTTGTCTTCCAACAAGAATTACACATGACTGTAATATTTGTCATAAACTCAAGTATACGATCCAGAACAAAGTTCAGAAGCGAATGAATTTTCCGCCAGTTTATAGCTAGTGAATGCTAAGAAGATACTCAGTGGAGGAGTGGCTGGTCAAGTGGTAAGAATCCTAGCTTTTGAGTGGGAGACCTTGGGTTCAAATCCTCGGTAAGGCGATAGAAGTTTTTGCTGTGGCAAAACATAAATTAAGCATCCTAACCTAAACAAGTGATACGGCCCTCAGTCGCAAAATCCCCCTGTCTAGACCTCTGTATTTTATTATTCTTTCCATAAAATATAACACAGGTTGGTTTTGCAATGTCCTGTGAAGGATACACGACTAACTAACTACTTCTGATGCATAAACTGTTTTCCCACAAAGACAAATTAGATCTCGGCCACAAAATCTCAGCGGCAAAATTATACATCCTAACCTGCACAGTGTACTGTGACAGCACTAGCCAGGCGGCCCTAACTACACAGGCTGCACCATCCTAAAAAAGTGGTTAAACAGATAGCAGTGATGGGAAGCTAAATTTTATTTATGTAACTGTGTCCAGTGTATTTGTCTTCCAACAAGAATTACACATGACTGTAATATTTGTCATAAACAGACACTTCCCTCACAGCCTTCTAAAATAGTACTATCTATCAGACTGTTCACTTCTGCATATGTAAGCTTAAAACCTCAGTACCGCTGTGTCATAAATTTTGCATAGACTGAAAACAACATATGTGGCACATTACTTTCTGAGCAACCTTCAGCTTAAATGGTTACTGCAAGATTAAACAGCATAGCACCACAATAATAATGATGATTACTGCAAAATAGCATTGTTTCTGGGCTCCCCCAGTGTTCAATTTCTTTTTGCTGAGGTGTCCTGTGATCACCTTATTTCACCTAACATGAGGAAACAAATGGATTGAAAAAACAGAGCATGTCCTACAGAAATCCAGTGAAGAATGTTGAAGAAAGTGGCTAAAGCTACTGGAATGGATTCCATCCATGATACTGAAAAAACTGCACAGGTTGAAACAGAATGAAAGGGTTAGTTTGACATTAGTCTCCCCAAACAGAGTAGGTCACTTTTCATTCACAAGTCTGTTGGGCTGGTCGACTTTCCTGAAGGTTATGGGTGTGTCCCACTCTGTTGTGTGGCTACTGCGATGTCTTGCATTTACGCTTTCATTCCGAAGACAAGAGAATGCCTGTGACATAGGTTTCAGCACTCTCTAGGGGGGTTGAGTTGGACTCAGTTTCTCCATGTTTTTAGAGAAAGTGCTGTCGTGCTGAAATATACAACACACGATATCAACAGCATTGCTGAACACCCCTGTAATCTTGTGCGAAGGTTACAGGGCTCAGGAACTATCAATCTGAAGTGAGCTAGTGTGTATATGGGTGGGGTCTGCGGAGACTAACATTAGTTTTACCAAATAAAAGAATAGACCATACGTCCTGTTTCACGTATAAACTGTACGACAAGATTATGTGATCAAGCACAGCAGATTCAAGGTGGCAATAATCTCGACTCTTCCTTGCCACAAAAAAGAATACATGAAATCCACAATTCCAACATGCTAACCTCTTGCTCAGAATCCATTTGGAGTCGCCTGCCCCTTTCAACCAGCGCATCAAGCTCCTGGATTTTCATGTCCAACTGACGAAGTTTTTGTCTTGCTTCCATTGTTTCTTGTCCAAGTTTTTCTAGAGTTTTCTTGTTGTTTTCCTCACCTACACACGGGCTGCTCTGCCACTGCTGGATTCGTGACGGCAGAATTTCATAAATCCGGCTGGAAAACAAGATCAACAGCAATGATACATTTGTTTCCCTTTTTGTATTAAACACCATTTAACACTTCATTACTAAACATTTCAACAGAGACTAAATTCTCCAAACCGGTTCTGGAATCCCCTTTTAAAGGAGGAAGGAGTCCGTCTACTACACCCTATCAAGCAGATCATAGAACGGTGACTAAATACAAGGTTTTTTTTTAAAATCGGATGTTTTAGGCCAAAATGTGCAAATATCGCAACCACAACACAATGTGCCAACCGCCCTTTTATGGGAAATGCAAAAAAAAAAAATTGTTTAACAATATTTATATAAAGGTGATCTGGGAAGAAAGGTCAAGGACTGGCGAGAATGAGATAGGTTCGTTGCGTATCCTTTACAGGATCTTGCAGAGCCAACCCCCAACAGTCCCTGGCAGTTGTGTGGTTTTTCTAGGTAAATTTACGTCCAGTAGTTTGCCACTGCTTTCTGGACTGTTTGGCTTTCTTGATACCACTGTCGAAACCAACGCAAGGCGCATGGCCCGCAGCTGGGATCGAACCCAGCATCCCGGCATTACGAAGCGTTCGCATCGACTTAGTCACAGAGCCGACAAGAATGAGATAAGCAGTGATAAAAGTAGAAACATAACAGCACCCTAGATATTCCTATAAGCATTCCATCCCCATCTTCAGCAGCAAGCACAGAGTTCCAATCCCGACGGCACCAGTAACAATCTAACTGTAATCTGTCTCGCCTTTCCCTTGAGTTTTGAGGCTCGGCCAGATCCCTTGGTCCCCTCACAACACCATTCTCCTCAGACCACAATGATCTATTTGCACCTCTGCACTGTTCACTACAAGAGAGAAGAAATCAGAAAGAGATGGACATATGGAAGCCTGTCAGAATACAGCCACAGTCTGATAGAGTAGGAGTCTGAAAAAGAAAGCTAATAAAGAAGGGAACTGGCTACGACATGTTGAGTCAATAGACAAATTTACTGTTTTTAGTTGTGAAAACTTTTTTGCTTCTGATAATAGTTGGCTCTTGCATTTTCCTCCATATATAAACTGAAAGGATACAGTTCTATCGCCCAGCTACTGAGTTTAGTGCATAGTGAAACACTGTGAGTTACGGATTTCATTTGGAATGCTCTCCGACTGTGTCTAATGTGCTTTGTGTTGTGAACTATGCATTCGGGAAATGGTGAGTGAAGTGTCGCCAGAGAATCTGTGGTGCCTTATGCGAGTGTGCAACTACTGATCTGTTGTAACTGGTGTTTCCACTGATGATGAACTGCATTTCTAGTGTTCAAATGTTTGTGTTGGCACTTATAACTGCTGCCTTAAGAATTTAATGCATGCATATATGCATAATGCATGTTGGATGTGATAAGATTGCAGTCTGTGTCCATTTTTCCACAAGGGACAGTGACAAACATTCTGTGCGGTTTTCATTGGCAAAGGATTAGAGTAACTGTGGGGAGACTCATTAGCTGTGAAAGTAGGAACTGCGAGTACCTAATTACCTTGTTACCGCACCTCACTGGTTACGGCCTGACACAACAGGAACATGTGAAGAACTAATACTTCAGACCCAAAGGTCTTAGGTTTTAAACTTTAAAAAGTGGGACTGTTTTCAAAACTGACACCGGCTCCTTGGCTGACCCAGCCTAAAATTCTGGCCAGAATGATTTTGTTCCTATCACCCACTGAGAGTTGAATGTTTATAAAAATGAGTCTAGAATCTTACATCTGGCATAAAAATGGTAGTTCACTTTTACTTTTAACACTCCAAGCCAAACTGGTGGTATCTATGTGTCTATGACAATGGTTCTCAACCTTCCTAATGCTGCGACCATCTGTAACAGTTCTTCATGTTGTGGTGAACCCCAACCATAACATTATTTTAATTACTACTTTATAACTTCAGTAAATATGTTTTTCTATGGTCTCAGGCGACCTCTGTGAAAGGGTCGTTCGATCCCCAAACGTGTCGTGACCCACAGGCTGAGAACCGCTGGTCTATGACATCAGAAATAAGAGTGAATGAATGAACTTTTTTTTCTTCAAAGGGTTAAAAATTAACTACCCAAGACAATTCTTCCCTTCTTGCATGACATCTTTCATACATTATTTAACTCATATATCTTTTATCATGAGTCATTTAAATTAACAACAGCATTAACAACACCCCCATTAAATACAAATACAAGATTAATTCTAAAACAACTAATTAACAATAATTAATTGTGTGTCAACTGTTATAATGTTAGCGGAATATATATCCCAGAATAAGTTGCTTACAAATGCTTCATATACTATCATGTGGTCTGTAATAAAAAAATAAAAAAAAATAAAAAAAAATATATATATATATATATATATATATATATATATAAATCAATGTTTGTGTGTTTGTTTCACCCCTATAGACTCGGAAACTACTGAACCGATTTAGCTGAAACTTTCAGGATATGTTTGTTGTGATACCGGATTTTCAACTGTCGTGGTTTGAAATTCAACCTGTCACTGTTAGAGATAGGTGACCACAATTTATGCAAAAATATACGCAACTAATATTTATAACTTTAGTGATTTCTAATTATAGCCACGTTAGTAATTGCGCATGCGCCGCCGTAGTCAGAACGCAAGGCTTCGGCCATTCGCTGGCGAGTTACGTGCAGCCAACACCTTCTCTAATACATAGAGTAGGTCTAGGTACAGCAAACAAGACTATCTCTATATTTGCCACAATAACCATATTAAACACGATTTCTATTTTCTGTTTTTTTTTCAAACAACCTTCGATGGAGGGGGAAGGGGGGGGGGGGGGGAATCAAGGACTATCTCGACGTCGGCGCAGACAGTGACTGCGTCATTAACTTCATTAACTGTGTTAGACACGTGCGATTTCTATTGTTGTGCTGTTTCATTAATATATCTAGAGTATCTGTCTACAAGAAAACAATTGCCTGCGGTTTTGAATTGTGTTTTGATCAGGACACATTAGTAGGGAGGGACACACATCTCTAATAGTTAAGTTCTCTTTTCGTTTATTCGTTTATGTGGCTGCTAGGTCGAATGGTTAGGACACTGGGTTCCTGAGCGGGAGACCTAGGTTCGAATCCCAGTAGTTTATTTTACTTTTTTTACCCCGGACTAAAATAATATCCTCATCTGCTCTGTCGTGGTGACAGCACTAGCCATGTTGCCTTAATATTTAATTTAAAAAATAAATTTAAAAAAAACAAGTAAATGGGTAAACCATTTGATAATTAAATTTGACCATTTCGCATACTTATGATTGCATTTTTAAACTTTCCGATTGCATGGTTACGCTAAAATTTTATAGATTTTCATTTCTTTTCATTTAGATTTAGTTATTTCGTCTGCGTTGTAATTTTAAGCTGTGCTGTTTACCATGGCGTTCATTTCCTAACTATGGTGTTTTTTTCCTGTGTTCATTTGCTTTTCAAGTGGGTTTTTTTTCCTCCCAACTACTTCAATGAGGGAAAGAGTTGTCGGTGAATTTGGGGCGGGGGGTGGGGGGTGGGGGGCAAACTATTTACTGAGAGAGCTTTAAGTCACAGTAACTGCTTTACCCACTTAAAGTAGCAGCAGCAGTAATAGTTGTGGTTGGGCTGTTACACCATAGTGCTCTCATGTGAAGACCGCCGTTAAGGTTATGGCGTTCTTCTGTCGGCAAGTGAAATTATACATCCTAACCTGACCAGTCTGTGGCGACAGCACTAGCCATGTGGAACTACATCTTCTGGCTCACGACTCTCTGTCTACTCCGATGGTAACACAGATAGCAGTGACATTATTTTAGTAGTTGTACTGGTACTTGTAGGATGATGTGGTAAATATTACACTAGCCCCATTCACTACCTATTACAATTCCTGCTCCCGATTTTAGTCCAGATGGACAGGGATGTCAATGTCAGTTACAGCAACAACAAAATATCGCCAGGTAATGATTTTCAAATATTTCGAAGAGGGAGAGAGCAGTAGTCGGTGGAAGAGGGGAGGGGGGTAATGACTTAAATTTAAGAGAACTCAAAGAGCTTTACACGTGATTTTCAAGTTCTCATTACCTAAATTGTTTATATTTTACTAACGCTACCTCCGCTTTTCTATTTTTTAGTTATTTTTTGTTATTTACAAGTACAGTGGTAGCTTTACTTCCGTCTCCTATAAAAATACAAACAGCTTTAGCGTGTGATAACCAAATAACCACTTTTGTTACCGTGCTAATAGCACCATTTAAACGACCACTAATATAAAGACACAATTATATGGTGCGTGTTCTAAAGTTGGAAAACCAGACTATCTCTATATAAATGTGCAGAGAATGATTGCGACATTAACTATATTAGACAGGTGCGATTTCCATTGTCTTTCTTTTCCAAAAACCTTTGATGAGGGAGAGGGTAGTAGGTGGATTTAGTTGTGGGGTGGGGTGGGGGATCAAAGACTATCTCAAATTACGCCACAGCAACGCGTGGCCGGGCACAGCTAGTATATATATATATATATATATATATATATATATATATATATATATATATATATATATATATATATATATATATATATATATATACAGGCCATGAAAGCATGTTGGAATCATAATGTTCAGTTTACATTATGAGTGACTGAACAATATATGAGTAGTAATGTTTTTTTCTATCTCAATACATCTGATATGAAATGAGTGCAAAAAGTTGTCAAAGCCACTAAAGGAGACAGTATTAAAAATAATGACACGGGAAATATCACAGGTCTTGCGGCCTGCCCTGACCAACTTTGTACAGAGATAACACATAAAGTTGTTTCCGCATCTTGTCAGAGTGATGCCCGATAAGTTACAACACTGTGCAAACTGACAGATGCATAGATTCTGTCGATGGTAGAGAGCTTGCACAAGTCAGAGTACATCTGCCTGAAAGGCAAATAACCAACAGTCTGCATACAAATGAGTCAGACCGGTCAAACAAATATGCACGTGACAGTTTCTGGGACAGGACTAGAGTCCAGAAGTGGACTAACAAACAGAACTTTTCATCAGAGTTTACAGATAGTGAATGCGAAGAAGAAGAAGAAGTACTTGCACAACACTCATCACAGTCCAGCTGAGACATTCAGTTAAAGATTGAAAAAATCAGGGCCTTATTTTGTTTGAAAAAAAAATTAAAATAACAAACAAAATATACCCAAAAAAAATATATTCATACAATAAAAAAATTTACAATTTATATATATATATATATATATATATATATATATATATATATATATATATATATATATATATATATATATATATATATATATATATATATATATAATTAAAAAATATACAGTTAAAAAATATACAATAAAAAAATATTCAATAAAAATATACAAAAAAAATATACAAAAACAAAACAAAAATATATACACCCAAAAAAAAAAAAAAAACAGACTCATTGCCTCCTAAACAAGCATGTAAAAGGTCACTAATTAGGGATTTGCCAAAATCAGATTTATTCAAGCTGAAAGGTGCAATACTGCAAAGTATTTGTTGAGTTGAGCTGAGTCAAGAATTGACACCACAGCACTCGGGGCATTCCCATGCATGCTCTGTCCTCATCTTCAGCAGCCAGCGCAGAGTTCCAATACTGATGGTACCGGTCACAATCTGGTTAAATATCCGTCTTGCCTTTCCTCTTTCCCAGGTGCCTCCTTCTCTCCAGGTCATGATAATCTTCTTTCTCTACTGATACCATTGATTGTTCCCAATGGGCCTTGACCACATCGGCCTTGTCATGTATCAATTCACCACCCAGTGGTGCAGATCCAGCCAATCTGTCTGCCTGTTCATTACATACCACCCCGGCATGGCCTGGAGAAACGATCCAAAGTATGCTCACTACACGTGACCTTCCCAGTGAAGCTTGCCACTCTGCAGGAAGCATCCCTGTCTTCACCTTTCTCAGCATGCTTTCAGAGTCTGTCACAATTACGACATGTGTATGCATCTTGTTCCCTAGCCACCGGAGCTGCAACGTATCAGTAAACCACAACACAATGTGCCAACCGCCCTTAGTAGTAGTACATTTTACCCCACCAGGACATCACACAAGCGATAAACACCCAATGATGCCCAAGTGCCACCATGTTGATGAGGATCACCCGTGGAGAGGTCCCGGAAACCGCATATTTATAGCTGGGCTATATTGCGGCCCCTGGCAAGAGCCAGGGTGGGGCTTTAAAATAACGAAAATTTGCATTCCACAAGGGGATGACAAGTGGATAGGTAAGTCACCGCCCTTTCAAGGGTGAGCACAAAAGTAGACGAAGAACAATTCAACAGTTAAGCACATTATAACAACAATGTTAGCACAAAACCTTTTAGCCAGCTTCATTCCACACTCATCAGAACAGTATTTTGAGCCAACTCTTGCAGGCTCCAGGCATCCAGGTCCGTAACACTGGCGTGGCACATCATCATCTGTCTCCAAGGCATCATCAATATCCGCATGCCTCCGTGAGCTCATTTTCTGCCGAGATTTCTTTTTAAAAAAATTGGAGACACACACAATTATATATTCTATTGCCTCACGAAAGCAAAGAACAGGCCTACAACATCATTACATGATCTGTCCTTTATTTATCCTGCCCTGAATCTGCAAGGCATTCCAGGAGAAGAGAAAAGAAGAAGAAGAAGACCCTTTATTTATACTCATTGGTCCGCTTGTGGGTCCTGGGAGCTCCATCATGGAGAACAACGAACAGACCCACTGTCCTCCAACAAGCATGCTGTAGGAGGGGACTAATTATGGGGGTTTCCTTCAAAGTCGAAGTGCATCTGCTTGAGTGGCAAGAAACCAACAGTCTGCATACAAATAAGCCAGATCTGTAAAATGGATGTGCATGCAAAACAGAACTTTCCGCCAGAGTTTATAGCTGGTGAATGCTAAGAAGATACTCAGTGGAGGAATAGCTGGCCAAAGTGGTTAGAATGCTAGCTTTTGAGTGGGAGACCTTGGGTTCAAATCCCTTGTAAGGTGATGGAAGTTTTTACTGTGGCAGAAAATAAATTTAGCATCCTAACCTGCACAAGTGATACGGCCCTCAGTCGCAAAATCCCTCTGTCTAGACCTCTGTATTTGATTATTTTTTCCATGAAATATAACACAGATTTCCAAGGCAGTAAATTAACTTATTAATATCCTGTGCAGTTTTCAGATTTCTGCATAACATAAAATGTTTAAGATACATTTTACAAATTTCAAGTTTGAATTTTTTTACCTTCAAATTGTTGAAATTTTGTTCCTACAATTCCTATTCTCTTTTGGACTTACATTTTACTTCAGCCATCATCAAGTCTAAGATAGGAAAAACTGGTTTTATTATTTTCAATTTTCTGTAATGTTTCAATGTTAGCAACTTCCATTGTTAATTAATCTTCGTTTTAAAATTTTAAAGATTATTATCAAATCCGTCTAACAGTAGGTCTACTTGAGAGAGAAATCAGCTGAAGGTCTATGGAGGCAGATAGTGAAAGACGGACTGTCGCATTTTGCATAATGCAGCTAGCTATAGAGAGGAGAGTCTTCAATGAAAACCACCCTCTGTATAGTAGAGTATCAATGTTTTTATGTAGTCTATGTAGCAGAGATAGGCACTTTCACATAGGACTTCACAATGATAGCAGATGTTGCTCACAAAACAAGCTCTATGGTCTCTAGGGACTGACTGTTGCCTACAAATGTCTAATCCTCATCTTCATCATTCAATGATACCTTTCCATCTTTCCATTCGATAGTGTTTTACTGCGCTGAGATAAAGCATGAGACTCACAGCCCATGGTGGTGACGAGTGTGACTAGCAAGACCCGTCCTCCACAGTTATAGCATGGGATTTCAGGACCACTGTTATCAACATTTGTGTTTAGTCTGTTTCTTCTCAGATGCCCAGCTCTCATCCTTTCTGCAGTTATTTCTTCCATTATTCTCATTCCCTTCCTTATGTGCCCTCTCCACACGACAAGGTCCATAGCAATTTTTCCCCACGAGTCCACCTCAATTCCTGTAATCCTCATCCTACACTCTACTCACTTGCTCCACTAGGCCCTGTAACTTTTACTCTTGTTCTACTAGACCTGTGTCATCTGTGTCTTACTGTACTTCAACTCCTACTCTCTTTCTGCTAGATTTGTGTCATCTGCCTGTCTATGATTCTTACTTTGCTTCAACTCCTACTCTCTTTCTGCTAGATTTGTGTCATCTACCTGTCAATGATTCTTACTGTACTTCAACTCCTACTCTCTTTCTGCTAGATTTGTGTCATCTGCCTGTCTATGATTCTTACTTTGCTTCAACTCCTACTCTCTTTCTGCTAGATTTGTGTCATCTACCTGTCTATGATTCTTACTTTGCTTCAACTCCTACTCTCTTTCTGCTAGATTTGTGTTATCTGCCTGTCTGTGATTCTTACTGTATTTCAACTCCTACTCTCTTTCTGCTAGATTTGTGTCATCTACCTGTCAATGATTCTTACTGTAATTCAACTCCTACACTTTTTCTGCTAGATTTGTGTCATCTGCATGTCTGAGATTATTCTTCTTCTTCGACTGATGTTCAGTCAGCACAACTCTCCAGCTTGTTTTAAAAGGCTTCATCTGTATAAGCTGAAAATGCTTGGGGACAGCACACATTTCTGCCACGCTCCTCTTGATTTCTCTGTGTGTGGTGCATACATATTTTCAGATCTAACTGTTGCTACTTGTTCCCATAAAAAAAACAAGTCGGATGTTTTCTCTGTCTATTCCTAATATAATTTAATTTGGTATTCCTCTTCTACATGTAAACACTTGTTTAAAGTTGACAAAAAAAAAAAAGATACTGTATACATTACTAAGAGGTTTAATGTAAAAGACAAAACAACTCACTGGTGACTTTGCGGGTGATTTCTTATTTTCCTTATGTTTTTGTTTTTTCTTAATTTTCCTCTTTTTTGGAGACTCTTCTGGAGAACTGTTCCTTTTTTCTCTTCTCTTGGGGGCTACTTTCACATTTTCGTATGCTTCCTCTTCATCAAAATCATCTCTAAAACAAAAATGAACAAAAAGATGACACTTAAAAACATGAATTATAAAACTACAACTGTCCATTACTTATATTTTTAGATACCACCTGACACAAAGACTTCAGAATGTGCTATAGACTAGGCCAGGCATTTTCAACCTGTGGAACGACCCTTTTGGGGTTGAACGACCCTTTCACAGAGGTCACCTAAGACCATCCAAAAACACATATTCACTGAAGTTATAAAGTAGCAACGAAAATAATTGTATGGTTGGGGGTTGCCACAACATAATGAACTGTATTAAAGGGTCATGGCAATAATCTACAAAATTAAAAGTGTCAAATAACAAAAGAAACAATTACTGACAACTGGTAATTTACTATCCAAATATCAAAGTGATGATTTAGGTAAAAAAAATGACATTTTTCACCTTTACAATAATTTGTTTTTCTGTGTCCTCTGCAATGTGATCTATCCTGTGCTTCCCAATGTTGCCAGTTAGAGGTATTTTAGATAATTTTTCAAAGTGTCCATCACCCAAAAAAATATTTGTAGCTAAATTAACGCAAGGTTTAGCCAGCTTTTCTCCAACTGTTTGGGCTATCTTGTCTTTCACTATTAGCAAGAGCTATCAGCAATAAGTTGAAAGAGAGGGTATGGAGGTTCTTTGTGGCCAGAATGTGTTCTTAATCAATAATTAAATGCATGTTTTAACACATTAATTAGGTTTTTAACGATAGAAGTACAAACTGCTTCACACATACACAAAACCCCGTTGATTTGTCACGATAGAAGTACAAACTTCTGCACATACACAAACAAAACCCTGTTAATTTGTCATGTTATAGTTTTATAAAGTATTTTATTTGTAATTATTAAATTGACACAAATATTAGTATGACAGTTCATTACAGTCTAAAAACTAATTTAAATCTGCACCATTTCCACAATGAAGGCTGGCCAGCTTACCGTTCTTGTCTTTGGGAATACTGCATGGCCCCAGTCTCTTTCACAGTGCGACTCTCATACTACTGCACGAAAACAAGTATAAGTACACTCAATTTCAAAACTGCTCCCCCCCCCCCCCCCCCCCATCAGGTAGAAGACGACAAAAAGTGTAAAGTATATCAGGTGTCTAGATCATCTATGCAGATGTTGGTGTCCAATGAATATGATCCTTTATACGCCAGGTTGAACTGTCTTGCTCTCACGGCCAAAAATCTGTCTTTCTGAATTTGCCTCATTTAATATTCAACGCTTTTCTTTGCTGTCCATGAACTGTAGAATTATTCATAAGGAACTGAATTTCAGGGTCACCAGATACTATCTTCTTCTGTATTTGCCCTTAAAAGGGTGACTGGCATGATTTGTGGTTTACAGCTAGGCTGCAATATCTGCAGGTTTCAGCCCAACACATCTGATTATAGCAAACCCCTTATTAATCACCTGATTTGGAGGGCAGGAGATCTGTCCTTTTCCTCCCCACAATGGGGCCAGAGAACCCACCCAGGAACTCAAGTCATACAGTTTTGAGATCTACTTGGCAAACAGAAAACAGTATAAACATTTCTATACTCACTCAAAATCTGAAAAATCTGTCACTCCTTTTTCGGAAGCTGTATCTGGTACAACAGAACCTTTTTCTGATGAGGACAAACCCTACAAAAATATTTTTTTTTAATGCAAGTCCCTGCAGAATACCTAAAAAAAACAAACAACAACAACAAAAAAGCAATGTAGCCTATCTTACACGAGCCACTGGGTGGATTATGGTACAGTTATAAGTAATTTTATAGTGATTAATTGTAAGCATGTAAGGAGGAATGAGTTTAGCGGGGTCAAGAATCCACATCACAGCATTCAAAGCATTCCTACAAGGATAGTGTGTGGTGTCATGATCAATTCTGGCTAACACAAGGTCTAGCACTCGGGTTATATTCCAAACAAAGGTTGTATACCAAGCATCATTTTTCGCGTCGAGACAGGAGTATACTAAGCTGAACGTATACCAAAACAAACATACACTGAAGTGTCACTGTAATTTTAATTTTCCAGGTGCCGATGCTGGAAATTGTACTGGGTGAAAAGAGTAGGCACAGTAACCAAGACAACTTTTGGCATTATCTGTACTGCTTCGCAAATCTTCTAGGTAAGAGCCTCTCCTCCAATTGTACAGCTGACTGTTTCCTGTTTAAGACTGGATCTTGACTGGTTCACTTTTGTGGCTGAACTATTTTACAGGATATGTTGTTAGCTGTGTGTCCTTTACAGGACACTGCAGAACAAACCCCCCCCCCCCCCCCCAGTGTTTTTTGTGTGCCTTTTGTGGTTTTTCTAGGCAATTTTATGTTTATTAGTTTGCTTTCTAAATGGTCAGCTCTTGATACCACTGTTGATACTAATGCAAGGCAGCCTGCTGCCAAATCACCTGCAGCTGTGATCGCAAGGGTTAAGCCAGAGACGCTGACATTTTACAGGATGGGAAAGTCAAACTCAAGGCCAACCCTCCTCCTAGCCACTCTCACCACTCAGGGTGCAGCGCTTTTATTTGCTTTTCCTAAGAGACCCAGTAACACACAGATGGATTCCTTGTGTGGGTTCAAGGGCCCTTTTGTGGGGAAAACAAGAACAGACCCACTGCCTCCCCGACAAGTTGTAAGAGCTGACTAACTGGGGGTTTCTTTCGAAGTCAAACTGCATATGCCTGAGAGGCAAGGAACCAACAGTCTGCATACAAATAAGACAGATCTGTAGAATGGATGTGCACACACCACTTAGGTTCTGGAACAAGTCGAAAGTCCAAAGGTGGTTCAACAACCAGAACTTTACGCTGGAGTTTACAGCTGGTGAACACGAAGAAAAAGAAGGTAAAGATGGACGTCATATGTTTTTTCATGGTCATCATCATTTTTGGCTCTGTGGCTTAGAGACTGTGATTGCAGGTTTACAATCCCAACACACGAGTATCCCAAGTCCGCTGCAGACCACTTTGGCCAAATGGATGCAGGCGAATTAATATCAGACCACTCATTTGATTTAGATAACAGTACAAATGCCATCATCATCATCAGGTGCCTTGCCGACTGGCGTGGGTGATCATGCCTCTCCACAATCTGCGATCTCTTGCAGCATGTATCAGCTTGTGTGCTGACACACCTCCATGCCATGCAACAAGACTGTCAAGAATCTTCCCTCACTGTTTTCCTCTATCCCTCCTTCCACAGATCTTTCCAGTGGTCACAACATGTTCCATTTTCCCTCTACTCATAACATGGCCAAAAAATGATAACTGTCTCCTTCTGATGTTTGTGATAAGTTGTCATTGGGCTCCTGCCTCTTTCAAAACCTTTTAGTTGCTCTATGTGGCTGTCTAAGGTATTTTAAGCATTCTTCTGTAAAACCACATCTCCCAGGCCTTAAGAAATTGTTTGGCCTGACTACTATAAATGCCATACAGTTTACAAAACAATGGCAGACCACTGAATGTAAAATGGCAGACCACTGAATGTAAAATTGCAGAGCGAAAGCATTCAGTCAATAAATGCTGGAAATGTTTTGCATAATTCTAAAAAATAATATAGAACTAATTATCACTATTTCTTTCTTCTGCTTTTCAGACCCATTCCTGACCAATTGTTTTGACTTTCTTTTGCAAATATTTACATAATTAATTTATTATAACTGCATTTCATTTCAGCAATCCCAGTCCAGTCATCAGAACATCACAAGTGTTTTGTTTTTTGTACATAGTGCCCACCAATGGATATTCCTGACATATCTTGTGTGGATCTTATCTGATAAATGCAACAGTTCAGGTCAAAGTACATAACTCTGTCTAATATCTTGTTTATTGTGTTCATATGTAATTGGCCATGGTCACTGAGTTAACCGTAGGTGGCGCTTCCCTTGAAACAAACAAAAATGGTTTACACGTTTCGTTTCTGAGGACAGCATTTTTTTTTTTAGCCACTCTCTAGACAGCTTGAAGATAGGGGCAAGCTTCACTGGAAAGGTCACGGGTAGTGAGCATACTTTGGATCTCTTCTCCTGTCTATGCCGGTGTGTTGGGTAATGAACAGGCAGACAGATTGGCTGCATCTGCACCACTGAGTGGTGAATTGATACATGATAAGGCAGATGTGGTCAAGGTCCTTTGGAAACAAGCAACGGAATCAGTAGAAATAGAAGATTATTATGGCCTGGAGAAAATAAGGCATCTGGATGTAACCAGAGGGTCTGGCCGGCTCACTACACTCAGAGGAAAGGCAAGATGGACATTTAACCAGATTGTGACCGGTACCACTGATGCCATATTTGCACTAAGACAAGTCTGTGAAAAGACACTCGAATACGATAAAGAGCTGAACGTGGTCTTTGTAGATCAAGAGAAGGCATTCGACCGTGTAGACAGAGATGTGCTGTGGAGAATTCTTGACGATTACGGAGTGCAGGGTCAATTATTAGACAACATCAGAGCCCTCTATGAAAAAAGTGAAAGTGCAGTAAGAACATCTAGTGGTCTTTCTGAATGGTTCAAAGTCACAACTGGTGTCAGACAAGGATGTGTACTGTCACCATTACTTTTCATAACATACATGGATAAGATCACTGTAGAAGCAAACCCAGACGTGTATGCTATAAACGAATTACTTTTTGCTGATGATCAAAGCATACTGTATCAAAATGAACATGATCTACAGGAACATCTGACTACTCTCAACAACAGCTGTTTACAACATAATATGAGAATCAGTACAGAAAAAACAGAAGTTATGAAGATCAGCAGAACACACAGGCCACTGAATATAAGTGTTGGAAGTGCCAAAATCAAGCAAACCAAAGAGTTCAAATACTTGGGCAGTATATTTACAGAGGATGGAAGAATGGACAGAGAGATAGAAACAAGAATACAGAAAGCAAATGCTGTCACATACCAACTATCACCTCTGCTTAAACATCCAGATATAACCATGAAGACCAAAAGACAATTGATAAACACCATCTTCATTCCAACACTCTGCTACCAGTGCCAGACATGGACAATCAACAAGACCCACGAAAGAAAAATAGAAGCCTGTGAAATGAAATGTCTAAGAAAAGCAGCGAATAAGACCAGACTAGACAGGATAAAGAATATAGACATTAGAAACACTGTCAAAACTACACCATGTTTAGACTACATAGAACATCAAAGAATGAAATGGTTTGGACATCTAACCAGGATGAAAAATGATCAAATAACATCACAAATTTTCAACCAAAGAAGCTCAGGATATAAGGCAAGAGGAAGACCAAGGAAACGGTGGATTGACCGGGTCTCCGAAACCTGCCAAAAGCATGGCCTCAGAACATCAGATGCTGCCCGCCTTGCTTACGACAGGAACTTGCATCTCCCCACAACGCTTAGCGGCACACGTGGAAGGAAAAAGTAAAAGTAAAGTAAAGTAAGTGACCGGTACCATCAGTATTGGAACTCTGCGCTGGCTGCTGAAGATGAGGACAGAGCATGCATGGGAATGCCTCGTGTGCCGTGATGTCAATTCTTCACTCAACTCAACTCTCTAAACAGCTGCTGTTCTGTCTACCAGACAGTGGACTGCTGCAATCAAAACCTTGCATCCACCAATAATTAACTGCAAACATCATTGTAATGATCTACTCACAAAACTTGTACACTGTCTTAGCCTACACTTTTGCCTCAGCTTGTTTGTTCCTCCAAATTTTTTCATGTCCTTTGGGAAAAATAAAAATATTAATTGCATATTTTATCTTTGTGTTGATCATTGCCATTTGTCAATACACAAATGGAACTTTAAAAAGAGTTCTCGTTTCGCTACGTTTGGTACGCACGTCACAATGAAGTTACGCACGTCACAATGGTAGCTTTGCCCATCACAGTACCTCAGACCGATACTGAAGACGGGGATGGGGCATTTATGGGAATGTCCAGAGTGCTGTGATCTCTGATCTTAACTTAACCCAACTCTTTTTCTTATTCTTTGTCTACTACTGGAATACCTCACGGCATCAGAGCAGGAAGAGATCTCTGGAACACGCCTTTCTGTTGGCTTTGTATAACCTACTTTTCAGTGTCTCTGATATTTATATGGTCCATATTCTGCATGGTCGACCTCTGGCTCTGTTACCGCTGTATCTGTATAACACTGCTCTCTATGGTGCCCTGTCTGATGCCAGTCTTGTTACATGGCCAAACCATTTGATTTTTTGGCTACCTATAAAGTTCAGTATGGTTCTGTGCGGACTCTCCTCTTAATATCATCATTTCTAAGATTTGTTATCTTCCTTAGCATTTGCTAAGAGGTGTGGATCCCATAATTCCTGATGAACTGTACATTGCGGGTTCAACAAACACTCATCTTGATACTTAGCTGGCTATTTTGGCTATTTATTAGCAACTTTTTGTGGCTACTTTAGCCTTCAAGTTTAGCTACCTATTTTGCGACTCATTTGGCCATTTATTTTTTGATAATTTTGGCCATTTGTTAGCTACTTTTTCCCTACATTTGGCTTTTTAGTTTAGCTACATATTTGGCTATTTCAGCTATTTCTTAGCTACTAATGTATATTTTGGCTACTTTGGCTTTTTTTAGTTTAGCTACTAATTAGGCTATTTTGGCTATTTCTAAGCTACTTTTCTTCTTTTTGGCTACTCTAACCTTTTAGTTCAGCTAATAATTTGGCTATTTGTTAGCTATTTTTTGCTACTTTGACTTTTTTTTAGTTTAGCTACCTATTTAGCTATTTTGGCTTTCTTACTAATTATCTACTTTTTTTTGTGGCTTTTTATTCAGCTACTGTTTTTTTTTTACTGTTTTGGCTAAGATTTGCTACTTTTTTTGGCTACTTTGGCTTTTTAGTTTAGGTAACTATTTGGCTATTTCTTAGCTACTTTTTTTGCTACTTTGGCTGTTTTAGTTTAGCTACTTATTTGTAACAGATCGGGGGAAAGGTGGGGGGATACAAAAAAGCATGATACAAGGATGTAAGGGCAGGGACCATCAAACACAAAGATGGACACAAGATATAGGTGACTCATTTCCCAACTATACACAGAAAAGAAATAAACTTTTCATTTACACATATCGTGTGTGTGTGTGTGTGTGCGTGTAATAAATTTAGATTATATTTATCTCCTATTGAATACACTGATATTATTATTGGGCACAGAAACAAGACTTAAACAACTTGAAGCCACACGCTAGAAAATGAAACCTTCCCATCCAGATGAATTTTCTTTCATGTGTCCGCGCATCTGCTCCTCATTATTCAGTTTGTCCCAGTAAGCAAGCTTTGTATCAAACACAACTTACTCTCAGTGCATATCAATGACTGTCATTTTATTACAAATATTTGTTGTAATTATTACCCATCATCATGTAGCAGGTCCTTTGCAGAACGACACTCTCATCGCGATCTGCCTGAGAGAAACTCGGTCTCTCGTCAGTTTTCCCCCTTCATGCACTTCCAAACTCAAGTAGTCACTTATATCCTGTGCCCATCTTCGTGTTGGTCGGCCCCTGACCCTCCTTCCTGGTACCATGCCTTCTGCTATAATGTTTTCCAATCCGTTGTAGCGCTTTATATGACCAAAATATTTCAGTTTCCGAGACAGGTTGCTATTTATTAGCATATGTTCCTTGATGTTCAGATCTTTCAATATGTCAGTATTTCTCCTCTTCTTTGTCCAAGATATTCTGAGAATCTTTCTATAGCATTTCAGCTCAAAAGCCCCATATTCACTTTTTTAACGACTGGGAGATAGCCCACTACTCACAATCGTATTTTGCTACAGGAAAGATGCACGCTGTCAAAATTTTCATTTTGATCTCCTTGCTGGTGCTTAACAAAAGACTAAAAAGTAAATTTGGGAGATGTGAACCAGCATCATTGCACACGGTTATAAACCATAAGTGCTCTGCCACCAGTATGGACAGCTGATAAGAACTGTCCGCCTGTGTCGCCGTTCGCATGTAACCCTGTAGCTACAGCAATGTTCCTCCATTTACTCCTGAGTGTCAATGTCACAAACCTCTGGTATGACCTTGCCGGTCCGTGGCTCGCTAACTAGGCCTATGACAGACAGACTAACCTACAACACACACTGAACCCGAACGCACACAGAGCACACACGACAATCTTTATTGGAAGTACAGGTAATACATAGACAGTTGACTTCCCGCCGTGTGGCCACCTATTGCCTGGACCCTCTGGCTGGACGGGCTTTACAATCGCCCCGTCCCCAGTACGTGCGACAGGCAATACTCTGGTGTACAAACCACAATCCGGCAGGATACGCTCTCTTCTATCGCCACGCTGACCCAATCAAACTGTCACAGTCTCTGTCCTAGTGCAGGGTCAGAGTGTCCAGGTTAGCCACTCTCTCACAGCACATATACATAAATACTCTACACAAGAACTATCCTATCCTAACACAAAACTGTACATCAACTATCCAGTCACTAACAGAAATATATCCTAACTTTAATACTATAACATAAACTATCCAGTCACTAAACGTCCTCTCTTCCTGACTGACGCACACCGAATGTCCCTTCTTCCTTCTCCCTCGTGTCTCTTAACCCCGTTCACCAGCTCAGTCCCAGAAGCAGTCATCGTGTTACTAAAACACAGTTCAGGCTTTCTTGCTTTATCCTGAGCGCTGGTTTCGCCGTGCGATCACAGAACGGACTTGACCAGTGACGGCCCTGACCTCTGTGTCAACCCTGGGCGCACACCTTACGGTGTGGTACACTGACTGTACTTAATAGGGTTGTGACAGTCAACTCTAGTACCCATTTCCTAGAGGCTGGGTGAACCCCGGGAGCCGCCCAGTTTCGAACACCGACTGTGGGCTGCAGCGAGTCGCAACTGGATTTGAAAGTGAGTTTCTTATCGACTGCGCTAACGCGGCCCCCTAACCAAAGACTTAGGCTGTTTAATCTTTGCATTGCTTTGGCCATCCTCCTTTTAACTTCTGTCAAACAGTCTCCATTGCTATTTATAATAGGGCGTAGATATTCAAAGTTTGTGACATTTTCAATTTCTTCATCATTTATTGTTATTTTTGGGTGGCAGCCAGTTTTATCTGTGGACATTATTTCCATTTTCTTTAAATTCAAGAACAGATTTTGACCCTCACTGTGCTTTTGGACAGACAATATTAAATTTTTTATTCCCTTTAAGCTGTTTGAAAAGAGAACTGGGCTATCCTCCGAAAAACGGTCGGCAAAGATGGCGGCGGCAAAATATCCAGCCGAGCCGCGGACAGGGGTCATTGCGCACTTGGGGTCACGGGTCAATTATGCGCTTTCGGCTACTTAATGTGCGCTTTTCCGGCGACAATGGCTATCGCCACGTGGCCCCCACGCCGCTCACGGGGCGTGAATTGGGGCTAAACTAGATGGCTAGGACTCACGAGCAAAGCAGTAGCAGTTGTTGGAGGAAAACCGCCGGAAGACCGCAAATTAAGTAGCCGGAAGCGCGCAATGACCCGTGACCGCGGCTTGGCTGGATATTTTGCCGCCGCCATCTTTGCCGACCGTTTGTTCGAGGATAGCCGAGGACTGTGCCATCTGCTTAGTGAAGTTCCGGAATAGGTTTGCCACCAATTTTAAGCGGATTATAACTGTAACATTTCTGGTCATTTTTTACATTTCTCATTATATTATTTGCGTATTTACTGAATGAATAGGTGTGGTGAGAGAATGCCCCAAATATTTTTTACCCACATAGTACAAATTTGTGTGGGGGTATTGATAATACGATAACAAACCATTTATCAGTAAATATTTGCACAAGATATAATCTCCGAGTACTTACTGCACAAGATATAATCTCTGAGTACTTACTGCACAAGATATAATCTCTGAGTACTGCACAAAAGTTTGTATATTTACAATAAATGAAAATTTTTCTGGCAATCCATCCATCCATCGGTCTGTCTGGCTTTCTGGGCCTAATGTAGACCTAAGCTTTACAAAATGTTTAATCTCTTTGTTGAAAAAATTTTTTTTAAAGAAATGTGTTTATTAAATATTAAAATAAAAGTACAATTATAAGTGCTTGCCTTGGTTTGTGTCGCAGGTAAAAAATTTTTTAGACACGATAATTAAATCTCACTCAATAAGTAATCTAAATTTTGCAAATTAATGTACCTGAAATCACATTTGATGGATCTCCAAAAGTTTCACATTCATCAACAGAACAGCCAAAATGCGCATACATTTTTTGTTAAGGTTTTTGTGAGATGAAATGACCGCCTTCAAAATACGTTTGTTTGCAGTGTGCTGGTTAAAGGGAGGACATCTAAATGGGGTTGAAACCGTCTTTTTCGGCAACCTATGGTCATTCGCTTAATGTGGGTCATAAACTGGGATGTCAGATGGAAATCTTTAAGACATATTCTAGAATTTGTTCCTCACTGAGACAGACACTTGCATTTCTACACTTATACCACACAATGTTTATCTGATTTGTTAGTACTGAGTTTGGTGTAAAGTTTGGCTGTACTCATTTGGCCATTATGGCTACAGATTTAGCTATTTTTTGTGCGGCTTTTTGGACAATGTTTGGCTAATCATTTGCTACTTACTTGGCTCTTTAGTTTTTTTTTTTTTTTTTGCAATCTTGGCTACTAATTTGGATATTAGTGTCAGTGTTGGTTCCTCATGTCTCAGGGAGATGTACGCAACTTTAGAGGATTCGCTCCGATTGGTCTACTTTTACAATACGCTTGTTAGGGGGCAGTGGATCCGTTCTCTTTTTTTTCCATCACAATGGGGCCCTGGAACCCACCTTTTTTTTAAATGTCTTCGCCATCTCCACAATGATGGTTGCCTACTGTGTAACAATGCTGTCTTTGACAATATTATATCATTTGCCCCCCCCCCCCCCAATCTCTTCCACGGTGCAGCTCTCGAACCAATGTCCAAAAACCATGAGGAGAATGGATTCCCCCCCCCCCCCCCTTTTCATTATAGGAAACCAACCCCAGCACTTAAGGATTATAAAACTGATGACTGCATTTGACAACCTTTATAGTAAGTTATTGTTTACTTTATTTTTGTGAGGATTCCCATAAGGGCTTCAGTAACACGTGGGCAGACATTATCTTTACTTCTCATTAACTGACATGATCTGACAACAGTAAACATATCAATGGCATGTCTTACCTTACAAAAATCACACCTTCCACAATCCTCTGCTCGATGACATGCACTGCATTCTCCACATCTTCGTGTCATTCTGCTCTTTGCCATCTTTGTTAGAAAATAATGGTACATGTGTGTCATAACACTCTTTTAAAAACCATATTGGAGGGAACAGTTGAGGACAAAACAGCAAGAGGCAGTCAGTGATACAAGTGAGAAGACAACACCAAAAAATGGATGAACAGCAGTCTGAGGGAGTGTACAACCAAGATTCATTCAGCCAACCTTACGACTGAGTTCAGCCCCACCAGGACCACACGATGCACTTGTCAAACTACCGGCAACACAAAGTGCCACCTTTCAGATAAGAATCATCTGGGCACAAGTCCCAGAAACTCAATTCAAACCGTAGATTATACTTAGGGCCCCCAGTGACAACCGGGGTGGGACTCTAAAATAACAAAAACTGCGCCCCACATTGAGACAGGGGATTTACTAACCAACCATAACTGTGTAGATAGCATCTAACTGATTGACATTTGTGTATACGATGTGTCCCAAAAAGCGCACAGACATTCTGATTTCGAAAGAAATACTAGCTTATTATTGGCAAATACAAATTTGTTTAGTAAAAGTTACTACTCCCACCTCCATTTGCAAACTAGATGTCATGGTATCATAGTCCATGCTTTCCTGCATCACCTTCTTCCTCGTGTTCACCAGCTGTAAACTCTGGTTGTTTATCCACTTTTGGACTGCAGTCCTATTCCAGAACCTGAGTGTTACGTGTGCATCTGTTTTACAGATCTGACTGATTTGTATGCAGACTACTGGTTCCTTGCCTCTCAGGCAGATGCATTCCAACTTTGAAGGAAGCTCCCATTAGTCGACTCTTACGACATGCTTTTGGGTAGGCAGTGGGTCTGTTCTTGTTTTCCCTCTAATAGGGCCCCGGAACCCATACTGGGAATTCCCGCACCAGAAGCTGTCCATTTCCTTTTGCTATGTGCCCCAGCTGCTGCTTCTCTCTCTTACAGCAGAGCCATATGCAAAGGTAATCATACCACCGGTGCAAACATTCACATAAACTGCTGAATTTCCTCTTGCTGGATACTGTTAACCCATTGTATTATCTTGCACAAGTCTGACTTTTCCTCTCGTATTCTTACTCACTCCTCTCCTTGTCCAATACATCAAGCATGCACACTTGGCTTGCTGTGTCTTTTGCTTCAGCATTCCATGATTGTTCTCATATCATAATTAAATACAGGAAGAAAAAAATACAGTGAAGTTAGAGACAACATTGCAGATATAGATAATGTATTTCAAGCGAACGAAAGAACAACAACAAAATTCCAAACACAGACACACACTGTTTTGTTTCTTAAACTTTTCTCAGTGCATTTCTTTTTATAATTGTTAATTTACAAATATTCTTTTTGGAGGAATAAATATTCTGTAAAGTTTCTTCTTAATTTAACTTACCATTTTCTCTCTTAGCTTGGTTTTGTATTCTTTGTTATTTTTGTCCCCCTTTTCATGGTCACTGGACTCACTAACTGCCCGCCTTTCTTTCTTTCTATTCTTGTACTGTATTTCCAGATTCGGATTATGGGCTAGTTCGGAAAAATTATCAATTTTACTAACATGATATATAAACATTCACAACTTCTGTCACTGTAATCAAATATGTTGGTTAAATTGGTTAAATAATTAATAATATGCAGTAACAACTCAGGAAAGTGGGCACACCAGGAGGTTTCTGACTGTCAGAAGCAGTCCCCTTGCCGAATGTTTCGGTCCCTGTACTTCCCTACCACTGTCTGGGCATGGGCCCACATTGGGCTGTGACTCTTAGATGTGTCTTTCTCGTATAGTGGATTGAATCTTTGACAACATAAAAAAATTATGTTCACTGCTAATGACACCTCCTCCCTACTGCTTATTACTGAGTGTGAGTTTTTTTTTTTGGTGCTCCCCCCCCCCCCCTTTTTTGTCTTTTCAGACGATAGTTATACAGGTGTGCTCGCTGATATTATACAAATACTCACAACTTCTGCATGTGACCAAGCATATGGGCTAAATACTATGTCTCTGTCTCTCTTGTTGTACCCCAACAGGACATCATACAAGCGATAATCACCCAGTGACACAAAGTGCCACCATGTGGATGAGGATCACCCATGGAGAGGTCCAAGAAACCCCTTTCAGCCGTTAGGCCATATTTATGGCCCGGCTATATTCAGGGCCCTCGGCAGAAGCCAGGGTGATGTAATGTAAAACGGCATGACAGCAGCATGATGATGATGATGATGATATTGATTGTGGAAATAGCCATCTGAAGCCCTCGAGCTGCTATGTTTGCACATCAAGCTTAGACTCTGTTTGTCTGATCCATGCCATAAGACAGAGACACTTAGGGTGTCTGCAATGAAGGTGACACGCACACAAAAACTACAAGACTGAACTTTTATAAAAAAGAGTAGTGTGAGCTTAGCCTATTGATGCCTGTGCTGAAAAGAAAGAATTGTTATGGTACGACAGGTTCATTGAGGTGACAACTCCCTGGATAGGTTCCGGGGCCCCACTTCGGGGTGGGAGGAGACCTACTGCTCCTCTAATGCTGTAACAAGCTCTAAATAATGCTCTAAAAGTAAAGGGGTTTTTACTTTTACTGACTAAAAACATACAGAGAAAAAAATTTAAGACATCTGTTATTTCGAGCTGGAGGAGATTAAAAACAAAAACGGATAGAATGGATCGGTATGAATTGGCTGCTCAGCTTGTACTCCAACGGAGGATGAAGGGCACACAAAAATAAATTTTTACTTTCAGTGGTAATTGTTTTCTTTTCCTTCACAATATTTCACCAAAACCATTTCATACATGCGGCAACGTGTCCCATGTTGTAAGAAAAAAGACAAATGTTTACTTTTAATAGAGATTTCTTTTATTTACTTATACAGTATTCACCAACCAATTCATATGTACAGTAAATTGTCCCAAAACGTAGGGGGGGGGGGGGGGGGGGGGGGGGGGGGGGGGTGGCGGGTGGGGGTGGGGGGGGGGGGGGGGGGGGGGGGGGGGGGGGGGGAACAATACATGTTTACTTTTGGTATTGATTTCTTTTCTTTTCCTTCACAGTGTTTCACCTAAACCATTTGATACATGCAGCAACTCGTCCCATATTGTGACAGGCTAAAGCCGATTTATCTACCCTCCTCCTATCATGTCCATACCTGATACAACTGATAAAGAAACACTTCTTAAAGTTACCTACCTATTCTCTTTCTTACTACAGCTTCAGAATGAAAGGAAATTTACAGATATTTACCTCTGCAAGCATCACAGTAGTAACGCTTGATTGACCTTGCGTCAAGCTGTGTGACTCCAATGCAATCTCCATGATACCATTCTTCACAATGGTCGCATCCACTGAAAACCACAACATCATCTTTACAAAATTATATAATTAATGGCCTATTTCCCCCTCCACTCCCCCTTTTTTTTTGCCCCAATGAGACTCCAGAACCTGAAATGGGAGAAGAGGCAGATACAGATCAGGAGAAAGGATGAAGTGGCAGGCAGATCAGGAGAAAGGATGAAGAGGCAGATGCAGATCAGGAGAAAGGATGAAGTGGCAGGCAGATCAGGAGAAAGGATGAAGAGGCAGATGCAGATCAGGAGAAAGGATGAAGTGGCAGGCACATCAGGAGAAAGGATGAAGTGGCAGGCAGATCAGGAGAAAGGATGAAGAGGCAGATGTAGATCAGAAGAAAGGATGAAGTGGCAGGCAGATCAGGAGAAAGGATGAAGAGGCAGATGCAGATCAGGAGAAAGGATGAAGTGGCAGGCAGATCAGGAGAAAGGATGAAGAGGCAGATGCAGATCAGGAGAAAGGATGAAGAGGCAGATGCAGATCAGGAGAAAGGATGAAGAGGCAAATGCAGATCAGGAGAAGGGATGAAGAGGCAGATACAGATCAGGAGAAAGGATGAAGAGGCAGATGCAGATCAGGAGAAGGGATGAAGAGGCAGATGCAGATCAGAAGAAAGGATGAAGAGGCAGATGCAGATCAGAAGAAAGGATGAAGAGGCAGATGCAGATCAGGAGAAAGGATGAAGAGGCAGATACAGATCAGCAGGAAGGATGAAGAGGCAGATGCAGATCAGGAGAAAGGATGAAGAGGCAGATGCAGATCAGGAGAAAGGATGAAGAGGCAGATGCAGATCAGGAGGAAGGATGCAGGATGGTCTTAGTCAGGGGTGTGCAAACATTTTTGTGTGTGTGCTTCCATGGGCAAAATGTTCAATTACTCACCTGGTCAAGGGCCAAATAGAAAACAAACCTTTATGAACATAGCATCCAGATTTCCTTGTAATATGATATTTTTATGGGATAATCTGCTTCACTAATATGACTTAATCACACAATACACTGAAAGGTCTGTTACTAACTGGTTGAAAACACATTCACAGCTGACGGTCTTTGTCACACAAAAGTCTACTCTTGTCTGTCCAGAGCTGGCTCTGTCCAGGGTTTTTGTTCACCTTCCTCGCTCAGAATTCCTCACGCTCTACCACACGTAGAGTTCAGTCTTCATGACTTTCTCTTCGTTGGTCATGATAGTCTAACCTATAGGTTGTGTCTGGCTACACACGGAAGAAAAACATAAACATCCCTCCTCACATAGCCGTAGGCTGAAATGGCACCTGACGCTGGAGTTAAGTTGGTCGACAGATTATCCTCATTGCACGTCGAACCACTCAATCCATAAGTGCTCAGATTCCCTCCTCAGTAAATCCCACAGCGTGTAGCAGCTAACAACACCAGTTCTGTGTTGGTTTATAATTATTCTTTGGCTACCTGAGTAGTGTTCTTGTTTGGCGACACCCCGTGTAATGGGGGATATTTTCACCTTGATTAGGAAGGTTGGGAGGGGAAAGCCCAAGGTTAAACCAAATACCGAGAGAAGCCAGATACTCGGATTACCCGAGGTTTTCAAGATAAGTAATGACCACGAGTTATCACGTGAAACCCGATGATAGCGACCACAGGTCGCCACATGAAAGTAAAGGACCACCATGTGTTGCCATGTGAAACTAACACGGGGTATATACTCAGACCCTAGTCTGATCAAGTTAGTTTGTGTTGAACAGTCAGAGTGGAAGGACGGAAGAGTGATTGAGAGAATGCCAACGTGAGACTGATTGCTGTGAGAGGAAAAACAGACGACATCCATTTGAAGCCAAGACCAGCCAGGCCAGTCTGTATGAAGTTGAGGAGAAGAACCAGATTCATCTGTGCGAACTCTGGTCAGTGACTGCGTGAGAAATCAGCATGTTGGAGTCTGAGTAATGTGGTGTGTGAAAGCTGTTTCTTAGGACAAGGACCGGACATGGTTGTAAGTGTTAAGATGTCAATAAACTAATGTATTGTACTAAGTCCCAGTTATGTCATCACTGAATGTGTGCTAAGAGCATCCACTACACACATCAACTTCTAGAAAACGAGTCAGCGCTCATAGAAGCAGCTCATTGCACCCCATTTAACATGTTGTTCTTGCAGTCTGACCATGGTTGCAGATTCACAGTTCTCAGTTGGTTCACGCAAACGTCTTAACTCTCTTAGCGCATTCAATATATCAGCCTGGTCCATGGCTTGTCCGGCATTCACAGTAGCCTTACCTGCAAACCTATCAGCTTGCTTGTTTCCTTGTACCCCCAAATGGGAGCATACTCCACTGTTAAGAAGTTAAGATTACTGATGTAGGAAAAGCTGAAAAAGATGCTCTATATGTCTATCAGTGTATCACGGATTTAACCTGAAATGCGTTAGGTAAACATCTTATTTCAGTAACACAATATAACCAGAATCAACAGCTAACTTTTTATCTCTGTATGCTAAGCCTAAACCATAAGTTGAGCCGCCGGAATACTGAACGTGAGTGAGTTATCTCTGCTGTCCTTCTAAGAGGTAAGTAGACCTTTAAGTAACTTTTTTTTCTAGATGGAAAACACTACTGAGCACTAAAATAAAATTTAAAAACTCAATACCTTGTAAAATAGAACTTTCCAAACTGTGTCCTGACACATTAGTGTGTTGGCTGCAATGTGGAGATGTGTCACGGGAGGGTAGAGAACCATCAGCACACAATACTGCAGTTATTTGTGTTATTACATTTGCTTTATTAGTGTTACTCATAAATTATAACAATGACATTATTTCTGAAGATATTTTTAAAAAATGTTTATGTAAATGAATGGTTAGGTTGTGTCAGAAAACACTGTGTTTTTACAATTTATCTATGCATCTAGGGGTTAGTGAACTTCTGGTTTTGTAGTAGACTGAATTACTGTGTCGCAAAATTATGTTTGTCTTAAAAGTGTGTCATCAACATGACAAGTTTTAAAAGCTCTTTTAAAAGAATGAACAAACAAAATATACTTCCCTCAGTGGGCAGTTATAGACAAAATGATAAAAACTTACATCATAAATCTTTCACAATCTGATGACCGACATATACAGTACAGTGTCTCGCCCACATCGCCTGAATGTTCCATGGCTGAAAGGTGGAAGTTTTTTCTTCGCTTGTTCTGTTGAGCGGCCACTGCTTCTGTTGAGCGGCCACTGCTTCTGTTGGGGAATAATAGAAAACATTCTTTTATTTGTCTGTGCTTACAGTTTATCTATTATCCTACTAACATTTTGGGGAAGAGAAAGAGCTCTACCTACATGTCAGTCCTGACCTACGGGTGTGAGTCATGGGCAATCGTAACGGTTCACAGAAGCCAAATTTAGGCCTCAGAAATGAAGTATCTTACAAAGGTGGTCCACATGACAGGAAGCAACAATGTTTCAACCAGACAATATGTCATGATCTTGAAACCCAGGCCTCACAAACTGGAGTGGATCAGTCAGTTACCATGGTTTTCACATGTACTCAGAACTGGAGAGAATCAGCCACCATGACAGACACAGGAGAGCATGAACCAGAGAACCAGACTGCCAGGGTGACCCCTGGTTCGAGGCAAAGACAATATTCGGCAGCCCTACGGAAAAAAAAAGGACTGGAATGGAACAAAGCCACACAAAAAATCTGCTGACAGATTAGTCTGGTGATCTCTCTGGCAAACCTCTTTACCTCTATCAGTTGGTTGCAAACAGTTCAGGACATTATTTCAAATTTAAACAAGAAAGTAGAGTAATAATAATAATGAACCATTATTATATTATTAATAAACTATTATTATATTATTAATAAACTATTATTATATTTTTAATTTAGTAAATTAATTTACTTTTACAATAATTTTAATAGTCATATTTTTCCAAATGTAAGCAAACAGTGGAGGAAGACACTTTGCGCTCCTAGTGAATAAACAAAAAGTGGGTCGCGGATTTAACCTGACATGCATATATGTTCAGTAAAAATATCCAACTATTTCAATAACGCAATATAACCAGATTCAATAACTCACTTTTGATCTTCGTATCCTTAGCTGAATTAAACTGCACCAGCAGCAATACTTTATGGGTGTCTAGTAAATTTCTGTTTTCTATATAGCAGACAGTCGGCTCTGTGGCTAAGTCGATGCTAACGCTTCGTAATGCCAGGATGCCGGGTTCGATCCCAGCTGTGGGCCATGTGCCTTGTGTTGGTTTCGACAGTGGTATCAGGAGAGCCAACCGTCCAGAAGGCAATGGCAAACTACTGGACGTGAATTTGCCTAGAAAAACCACACAACAGCGAGGGGCTGTTGAGGTTGGTTCTGCAATGTCTCGTAAGGGATGCGCAACTAACCTATAAAGAAGAGGCTTGTAAACACTTTAAAATAAAAAAAAACTGCATCAATTTTCATGTAAATGTGAAAGTTTTATCTTGCAGAGCTGACGAAAAGCTTTCAAAATATAATTCTCAAATTGTGTGGTACTGCACAGCAGTACTATAATGTAAATGGTGCCGTGAGTTGTAACAGACCTCTATGATTTAAGATATTTTAACACACTATGTACTGCCAGACAGTGGTAAGTAAAGATCCATTTTCAAGCCTTTTAGGCATATCAGGTCCATGGGAAGAGCGCCATATTTTTACAGACCATTGGCACTAGGTGAGTAATGTGGTCAGCATTATGCCGGTCGTCTTTACTTCCCCAAGACATCCATCCTGGTACCCATTTTAGGTTTGGTCGACCTGCAACGCCCCATACCATGATAAAAATCCACGCAGCTAGCAGTAGGTTTCAATTGTGGTATGTTAAAATTATGAGTCAGACTCGCAACGCCTAAGCCACGGACACCACGCCAGACAGTGGTGATTTTTTTAATACAAATTTGTTTAACATTCATTCCAATATGTGCCTGACCTGCTGGCTGCTCCCTGCTAAGCTCCAGAGGGTGCAGCCCGTGATGGTTGGAAAGCTCAACATCCAGATGTGAGGTTATGTAGTCATGTGCAGGATGTGACAATTCCTTGGGTGAGTCCAGGACAAGAGCATCATGTGTCAGCTCAGCATTTATGGAAGCCTCCTTGCATAGTGAGGGGTGCCCATGATTTGCCTCTTGCCTTTCCTTGAGGGCTGACCTGTCTTCACACTGAGCTGGTGGCCCCTTTTAAATGTAAATTAGGCCACACTGCATCATGTGTATTTGAGATATGCATATAGTTATATACAGATATCTCTCACTGCCCCGATTGCAACCCTTTATTTTACTAGGACACCACTCAGCATCAATCTGTTGTCAGCTGACACTATATATATACTATAACTATAATACTAAATACTATAATTTGTCTATGGTGGTCACCTGGTAGTGTACTCCACTAAAATGTTAATAATAATATCTCCGCTTAGAATTTACCTACTGACTTCACTGAGGATCTGATATTTTAATCTCTATCGAGTTGTATAGTTTCATATATATAAGACTTCAGGCGCTCCTTTGAATCATTCCCCAAAATGGCGGCATGCCACATTCTGGCCATAAAATATCCAAAAATATCCGAACGACGGTGTTCGCGTATATCTAAAATACGGACTTTCTGCTAAAGAACAAATCGCGGCAAAACTAGGATTACTTGACAATCAATACCAACTTTTGCACACGGTACTAGTAGCAGACGATAAATACCGACAGTTTCTGCAGACGATAGTAGCAGCAGACGATAGGAGCAGACGATAATTTTGAGCGTTTCTGCAGACGATACTAGCAGACGATAAAAACGATCGTTGACAATTTTGAGACATTACAGACAGCGAGTAACGGCCACTATTTAGAACTTCTATGTCAGAACTTTCACATATAATGACGTTAATAACAGGTTTTTTCTTTTCCTTTTTGTCCTCACACTTTTCAGCATGCGCAAAACGCGGGATTGGGGACTAAACTAGGTGCCTGGCACTCACGAGTACAGTAATTGGAGGAAGTTGCAGGAGATGCGGTAGCTGTCGCTCGTGAGTCCTAGCCATCTAGTTTAGTCCCCATCCACGCCGCACTCAGCGGCGCAGGGATACGCTCGGCGGTGAGGCACACTCCCAGAAGCAGGTCGGCAAGTAACGTATCGCCGAGACCCTGTCAAAGCATTTGTTTCGTTATCCGGAGCCGGCACATATATTTTTAATAGAACTGACCTGCATTCGGATATTTTTGGATATTTTATGGCAATAAATTGGCCAATTTAGCTCTCTTTCGAACGCCATCGTATTAAAGCCGCCATTCTGGGGAATGATTCAAAGGAGAGCCAGACTTCACTAGCATCACTTTAAAAAGAACTCAACTGTCGCCACAGTATATACATATATAATATAATAATATAATTACTACTACAGTTTATATAAACATGATACTTTTGCCTTTATAAATATTGCACACACATTGGTTTATATTCATGCAGAAAACAAAATGAAAAGTAAACTTTACATAGAGCGATGGTTGAGTGCAGATCAAGTAAGCCAACAACAAATTCATTCACATCCGTTTAACATTCACGCTCTCGCATTTGTAGAGTTTAGTTTTTGTATTTCATCATCATCATCGTCATCATCATCATGTAGCAGGTCCTTCTGCAAAACGTCGCTCTACTCACCATCTGTCAGAAAGAAACTCGTTGTCTCGCCAGCTCTCCCGACTGAGCCCGACTCATGTACTTTCATACTCAAGGAGTCACTTATATCCTGTGTCGATCTTCGTGTCGGTCGGCCCCTGCCCCTTCTTCCTGGTACCATGCTTTCTGCTATATCTTTTTCCAGTCCGTCGTGGCGCTTGATATGACCAAAATATTTCAGCTTTCGTGACAGAATGCTGTTTATTAGCCAATCTTCCCTATTGTTCAGATCTTTTACTGATGTCAGTATTTCTCCTCTTCTTTGTCCAAGATATTCTGAGAATATAGAATTTCAGCTCAAAACCACTATTCTCTTTCTTAAGGACTGGGAGGTGGTTCACGACTCACATTCGTATGTTGCTACAGGGGAGATCCATGCTCTCAAAATTCTTATTTTGATCTCTTTGCTGATTAGGACTGAGCACTTATGGGAGTATCCTGGGTGATGTGATGTCGATTCTTAATTCAACACTAAACATTCACTTGGAAATGAAAAATCCAACGGTACCTCATTCAAACCTCTATGTCACTTCCAAGCCGAGATATTTTTAAGGTCCTACTTTGGATTGTTCCATGTATTTCAACTATCACAACCATCATTATCACGTACCATGCTGATAAAAGTAGGCTGTCGCGTTCACCATCTCACAAGATTACCAGAATAATGGATCAGATTAATGTTTTTGTTTCGCTCCATCCATATGGCTAAGCCATCCAAGCATCAGTGGCGACAGAAAAAGAAAACATTCAAAGAGGAGGGGGTCGCATCTCCATACCCTGCCACACACATTTTATAGGTAAGGGGGTGGGGGGGGGGCTCAATGGGCGTAATCCTAATTCAAAAGCATTAGACATTTTTCTCTGCCCTCATTGTCCTAGATGCTTTACATCTGCTGAAAGGAAATGCTCTATCTCCTAACACAAAGATCACACTATATAAAGAATCGATAAAATCAGTTGCAGTGTTTGGCCTTGAAATCTGGAGTACAGCTAGAAGAGTCGAGCCCCCAGCCTATTACAAATATCTGAGATCTGGCAAACACATGGGCACGCTCAATTCTAGTTCTAGAAGGACCAGAGGTTCCTGTCGGAGTTTGGAAAGAGAAGATTGCAAATTTTGTTTCTTCTTCTTCTTCTTCTTCTTCTTCTTCTTCTTCTTCTTCTTCTTCTTCTTCTTCTTCTTCTTCTTCTTCTTCTTCTTCTTCTTCTTCTTCTTCTTCTTCTTCTTCTTCTTCTTCTTCTTCTTCTTCTTCTTCTTCTTCTTTCTTCTTCTTCTTCTCTTCTTCTTCTTCTTCTTCTTCTTCTTCTCTTCTTCTTCTTCTTCTTCTTCTTCTTCTTCTTTTTCTTCTTCTTCTTCTTCTTCTTCTTCTTCTTCTTCTTCTTCTTCTTCTTCTTCTTTCTTCTTCTTCTTCTTCTTCTTTTTTCTTTTTCTTCTTCTTCTTCTTCTTCTTCTTCTT